CTGCTTGGGAACCAAGAATAAACGAGGAAAGCGCCTGTTGGAATTCGCTTTTGGTAAGAACCTATCTATAAGCACTAATTTCTTTTACAAAAAACCACAAAGGTGTTGGACGTGTGACGGTGAACGGTTCCCATGTAGAAATGCATAATGTTGATTGTTAACGCTAACGCAAAAAATTGGTAATTTTTAACGTCCAGCTTAACTTCATATGATATTTAATGTCATAATTATGTTATGCCTAGTACCGCTACCAAATCAAATCAAGGTATCAGGCTTCTTAAAAAGTTATAGAAACATAGACAGATACTCCTTTTTGGACACCAAAAAAAGTACAGTACGATCGAAAAAAAGGTTAAGAAACAGTGCAATGGGCTGTCTTAACGCAGTTTGTGATGGACCAGAAATGGCTATACTGTATAGTGATACTTAGATAAGTCATAGTGCAACAACTACAATATATTAGATAATGGAAAATATACATTTTGTAATAATATCTCAATAATAATCAAAAACACATTACCGTACTTATGTACGGTAATGTATTTATGTGTATTATTTAGTTATCATTGAGAGAAGTAATGATCCTTGAGAAGTTTCTGAGAAATAGTTAATGACTGTGCTTCTCAGATAGTTTTAGCAATGTGTTTTAAAGCCGCTAATAAGAAACGGATTATAGTATGCTTTGACATTTCAAACGTAAGGTTTCCGATGATCTCAAGTATTTATTATTTATGTGTGCTGTATATCAATGCGAAGCGTTTCTTAGGATAGATAGTAGTAGTAGTAAAGAAACATGAGTACACCGGCGAATGCGAATAGGAAGCCTCTTGAGTTTTTGCGTGAGCTATCTTATTTAGAAATCCTAAAGTCTTTCAAGTTTATCAAATTGTTTCTCATTGAGATCGAGATAGCTGACATCGGCATAGTCAACTATAGACAGAAGAATTAATGACGTGAGGTAAATTTTAGTAAAAGTTGGCAGGATTTTGCGTAATCTTCTGAGAGAACCTGCATAGCAAATATTTTGCAGCTGATGTTTTTTTTTCTGGACACTCCATGATAGGGCTTTAACCATATGTATCCCTAAGTTCTTTGCTTGGAGGGATAACTTTAAAGACCATTAATGTAAAAGCCGCACTGTCATTTTTAGCACTAAGTCTGGAGCTACCAATAATTATGGCTTGTATCTTAGTAAAGTTAACTCTGAGCTTATTTTTTGTGGAGCATTTGCTTATACTGGCTAAATTTTTAATGACAGTCAATACCAAAAGCTATCCCATAGCTCGTTCAAACTTGTTTGACAGTAGATTTGCACAACGTCTACGTAAAGGTAATAGGAAAAAAGGAGTTCATTCGAGAGGGAAATTTACTTAATGTCTTTTAACTGTAATTTCAGTCTACTATCAAGATTAATCTTATGATGATGTACCGGTGATGTATGTTTCGAGACTCTTGTTAGTTCCAGAACCACACAACCAAACATGGCTCTTTCATGGATAAAATAAATGTCTCCCTCTGCTCCCTACAATATTCAAGATTATAACGAAATCTTTATGTGTATCATCGACTTTTTATGTACCATTATATTTTTATCCATGCAAATAAATAAAGTTGAAGTGTCTGTTTGTAATGTCAAAATAATAGTTTTTTTTATGCTCACACGGTTATTTGCACGATACCTATGTCTTAAAAACAGTTTATTTCTGTCTGTCTGTCTATTTGTTTCAGGTAATCTTCTAAACGGCTGGACCGATTTCGATCATATTTTACTACCAGGTAGCCGTCTATATAAGAAGTAACTAAGGCTATTTTTTAACCAACTTCAAAAAGAGGAGGTTGTCAATTCGGTTGCTTTTATGTACCGTATAACTCCGACATATATGGACATATTTTCAAAATTCTTTTTTGTTTGAAAGGGGTTTATTCCGAATTGGTTCCATTTAAATTTTATTAGATCTGATGATGAGTTTTGGAGACAGACCACGGAAACCTTCACAGCAAATCAACCGCGATTGCTGCTAGGTTTTTAGTGCTCTTTGTTACGAGTAGTATTGTTAGAAGTCAGTTCAACTTTAAAAAAAAAAGTTTATCCTCTCATAAGAACCTTATAAAATTTTGCCCGATCCGAGAATCGAACCCGAGGACCCACTTATCGTACCACACCACTAAGGCAGCGCCCTGCGCTACCCAACCCAACGGTGTAGTTGTATCGGAAAGGTGAAAGTAAAATAATATGAATTCTAAACACATGGAAATATGGATAAAAAGAACTTGATCAGAAATAAAATCCTTTCTGACTGCGCTTTCTGTGAGATGCCACGACGTGCCACGGTATGCTTTGGCATGCTGCTTCATATCATAGCATCCTATGCTATGATATGAAGTGCTTGCCGTGCCGTGTCGGGCCTTGCCGCGACGTTAGTCAGCGCCGGCCCTAACACCGCTCGCTGCGCCATCTCGGGCAGTAGCCGGCAACCTAGCGTAACATAGAAAGGAAATCCTTGATACCCCGAGGGGCCCCCACTCATTTACGGCTTACAGATGGTCTCCTGATGTATAGTGACCATAGTTTCCCCTTAATGCCCCTAAAGGAGCTCCGGAGCGCGTCGTCACCCCCAGGTTGGCGCTTATGAAGGACGGAGATCATTCAGCGACCACCAGCGCTTAAGCCGCCTGCAGTACTTGGTCCTATCCCGGGCCTGGTGAGCCGGGAGAGGGTTCGAAGTTCCTCCCTGTTCCACTTCGCCCCGGAGGAGGAGTTAGTCTCTCCGTAGCATGGTCGCAATCAGTCATGAGGTCATGCCTCAGCTAAGACATCAGACGTTCCGGCAGCGTCCACGTCCGCGTCGTAAAGCGTCCACGCTCTGGCCATCTTAATGGCAGCAACCGGGCGTTGGCTCTTTGCGGATCAGACACAAGGGACCTCCAGAGCGTCCTTTGCGTCAGCCAATATCAGAGGGTCCCGTGTTTCCTATCGAGTTACTCCTCCATAACGCCACTTACCGTCGCAATAACAGCGTGCCAGAATTAAGCCACCCCATAATCTTCCGAACGTAAAACTTTCGTCAAGTATAGCCTAGTATAGCCTGCATCTTGAGTGATTCAAATTATACATATTTACGTTTAATAAAGTAATTCGAATCTAAACATTTGCATATATTTTCGTACACTGATCAATAGTTGACTGACACTGATTATAGTAAATGATGAGATAAAAATACATTGGACATGCAAATAATGAAAAAGTTTGTGTGGTGCACGCTCTGAACACCCGTACCCGCTGCCCTGAGGCAGCGCTTTTCAAACTCCATGCGAACGAAATCTTGGGTACCAGCTAAAAAAAACACTTTATACTTACAATTAAAAAACACATTTCATTTCGACATTAGATTTTCTATCCTATCTTTCATATAATTGTAAACCGTTTAAACAGTTTTAAAAAGGCCACCCACCTGAGTTTTTCGTCTCACTAGTAAGTAATTTAACGAGAGGACATTAAACACAAGCACTTTTAAAACAGTTCATAAGACTTTGATGTCATTAGTGATAAGCCAACGTTTTGCTGACTGCTTTTATTAGCCCTTAATGCAGTTTAAAGTCTGTTTATTTGATTTAAAATAGACTATTAGGAACGTGAACTGCGTATAAAGACAACGTCGAGTTAAAAGTTTTACAGTCTAATTATACGTTTTCAACAATTCCTTCTCCAACCTCGAGGTTTGAAATTGTTTTCCTATCTGTTAGTTTTTTATTTTAAGAATCTTGATTAAATAATAGTCATGTACTTGTCCAGTCCTTCCCTGCTGTTGGACCACATCTCATTATGATAACGTTCTCCTTAACTGTCTGCCCGCCATGTCTACTTTTTCTAGTATGACTTGAATATAAATCTGGATACTGACACTTGTAAGGTTACAGTAAACCGTAAACTCAGCAAACATTCATTTCCAGAACTGTATATCATGAGGCGGTCATATACGCATTTAGACACTATTTGAAGGAATAGTAGTAATAATTGACAATTGCGTGAATTTATACATATAAAATTACTTGCCCTGATGACTAACTGATTCATCAACGCAGAGCCGAAACCGCTGGGCTTACAAACTTAAATTGAACGGCAGCTGATGCTTTTAATGTTGTATGCACCCACTAAGAAAGAATTTTTGGAATATTCACACCGAAGGGGTTGGACGAGTGGGGATGAACGGTTGTATGGAAGTTCGTCATTTCCAAAGTTAGAAACACGAAATTCTTATTATGTGTTCTAAGCGAGCGAAACAGCAGGTAATAGCTAGTTGTCCAGCGTTAATAAATTACTTAAAACTCACAAATATATAAGTTCACTCGTAGTGTGGGCCTGTGTGGCCCATTTTTCTTACAAGTTGACGGTGAGCCCTGGTTGGCTTCTGTATGCTAGGCGCTTTGTGGAGCAAGTTTTTTTATTGGTAATTATACTATATTATGATTTTGGCGCCCTCTGAAACTGCCATCCGGGGCGGGTGCCCCAGTTGCCCCCTAGATCCGGGGCTGTCACCTTTCGAAAATATACAAGTGTAAAAACATCACACGGGTTATTAAAACTTCAATAATTTATATACATCACTCCGATTACTCCTAACTAACGCAAAGAATTATAGTTAAATTTATGAGAAATTACTACAGACATTCAATTAGCTTAAAAGCACGTTATATTATTTTTTATCAATAACACAGTATAAAGATGAAATGTTCATAACTTCAACATCTTTACTCCGATCACATACAAGTAATAAAAATTTAAACAATGTTGGAAGAAAAACTGCAACTAAATTTGCTTTAAATATTTTATTTAATGACTGAAGTCTTAAAATAAAAAATAATTTATTATTTTAATTACCTATTATATAAGCCGTCGTAACCGCTGTCGCAGCATTGGAAATCCAGTCGGTAAATATATTACAATTTTCCAATAAATAACTAAGTCACTAGCGTATCTCGTCAGCGATGTAGTCGTGTCTTCAGTGGCCTTTCTTGTATCCATATTTTTTGTGGTGAGCGTGCTCGCCTTTCTTGCCGTGATCGTGATGGTGGTCATGGTGTGAGTCATGTCCACCTGATTCTTTGTGCCCTTTATGTTCGTGATGATGGCCACCCTTCTCATGGTATCCTTTTTCACCATGCTCATGATCGTGATGATCACCGTGATGATGACCTTTCTTATAATGACCGCCCTTCTTGTGGCCGTGTTCCTCGTGGAACCCTCCATGCTTTTCTTCGTGACCTGAATCACCCTCTTCATCAAAGAAGGTTTTATCCTTTTTGAATTCATCCAATTTATGTATTTCGTGATGTCCTTTCGTTGAGTGTCCCTTGTTGTAGTGTCCTTTTTCGGCGTACTTATGGCCTTTCTCACCTTTTTCTCCTTTATGGTGTTCATCATAGTGGCCATCTGCATGATGATGCTCCTTCTTGTGCCCGCCATGATCGTCATATTCACCTTTATGGTGTTCCTTGTCATGGTGTCCTTTTTCACCCTTCTCGTGGTGATGGTGGCCCTTATATCCTTTTACACCTTTTTCGTCGTGGTCATGATGATGCTCCGCGTGGTGTTCTTTCCCACCTCCTTTCTTGTATTCATGATTTTTGGGGGCTTCTTTTTTATGTCCTGATGCAGCAGGTTCTTGGTCATTATTGATGATCTCTACTTTAGATTCATCTATTTTCTTTGCAGGTAATCGACGTGTTTGTGCAATTGCTAGGAGTGTTAAAAATCCTAAAATAAACACCACCCTCATATTGAGCTGCACTATAATACGTAATGCCGCTGTAGTCTACTTTGCTCTTAATATTGGCAACATCAATAATGGAGCAGCAGTTTTATATAAGAAATTGTGTAAGCTGTGCTAATCGGCGCGACGCGCTATAGACTCTACGCGGCAACGCTGAGAGTTGGCGCAAGCGTTCGCTAGGAAACACTATCGTGTCCAAAACAACCCTGTCCAAAACATAAACCGCAAGCACAAACGGTGTTTATACCAAAACACTAGGACAATTCCTTTTAATACGCACAATAAATCAATAGAATATGTTCGTCGATTATAACAACAGCTGAGCTAAATAATAGTAGCTAAATGCGAGTTATTGTAAATATCAAATGATGGTGCGTAATGTAGAAAACTTTACTGATTAGTTTTTATGAATCTGAAATTTATTCTCAATATCCAAAATAATAAAAAGTACCTAATAAAAAAAAACTATTTTAAACTTTTTTATTTTCTATTTTTTAGTTTGGTTTTCAATAGAATGCGTGTTTTTTAGTTTTTTTAAACTATAATTTAATTTAAAAAGTCTAGAATTATTGACAGACAGTTAATGGAAGTAATAGAAGTAAAACTGAGATAGACACACTTATACGTACACTTTGTGCGTATAAGTGCACACACAGTATATTTATCATTTGATATTTGATCCTGCGCTAGACCGCTAGCCTCGAGACTTAACCACTTGTTGTACACATGCGGCCACAATATATATATATATAAATATACACATAAATTTAAGCTTGAAACATACTGATCTCTAAACGAAAATGCACTTAAAAATGAAGTGTTCCGGGATCACATACTCGGGAACGTACCCATACTACGTGACCCGTTCAGGGGTAGGAGGGGGATCTTCAAAATACCACGCTTGGTCACAATTAGGGGCTTAGGTTTTTAACACGTAGTCAATATCCGCTAGCGAAATTTGGCGTTTTTTCGAGCTACATTCAAATATGTATATTACATACACTACATTTTATATATTGAAAAAAAAAACAAATATTTGTTGAAGGTGATTGAGATGGAAAATAAATATTAAAAAAAATATTTGGTTTCTATAAATTAAGTTCTGGTTACAATATATTTTGAAATTAGTTTTATCTTGATAATATTTTTTCCACTTGTAATTATAGGTATTCATGCACTCTTGCCGTCACGCAGCAATTGCCGTATTAATAGATGAATTTAAACTTTTTGTTAGCAAGTTTTAGCTTTAGTTACAAAACCATATTTATGAATTACTGCGTGAAAACTGTAAGAAGAAGGAGGAGGTCTTGGAATATATTACACGTGGTCACCGAAGGGGTAAACGGGGTCAAAAAATGCAATAAGCAGGTCACGTAGTATGAGTACGTTCCCTAATGGCAAAGCGCCAAGTATTAACTGCAGTTCTTGTCACTTACAACTGTCAACGTACAATATCGTGCAAACTGGAAAATGATAAACATAAAAAGTTTTGTTGTTGTTTTATAAACTTTTTATGTTTATCAAACATCATTAGTATCAGTTTTTTTTTTAATGTAAACTTATACTAAGTTTAGTTATTTCCATAGTGTGTCATATGGCGTACTTTTTTGTAAATATATACGTAAATAAAAGTTTACATTTTACAACAATCAGGCATTTTTTGGTGAAAAACTCAGAACTGTCTGTTACGAAAATTGGCCTTCCAAAATGTCTGGTTCCGTTAACGGACCGAGATGAATATTGCTGTGTGCCTTAAAAAAGTATTGGAAATTATCTATTTTCAAAATAAATACATTCATCATTTATTGACCACCACGATCAATACGAGTTCACACATCTTTACAAGTCGTTATAAGAGTTATATCCGAGACACAATTAGAATTGAAGGTACTCAGTTTTTTAAATCACAACATATTTAAAAACAAAGTTCTCCGCTATGTCTGTCTGCCAGTTTGCGATAAACTCAAAAACTACTGAATGGATTTTAATGCTGTATTCACCAATGGGCAAAGCGATTCATAAGGAAAGTTCAGGTGTGTTATCTCGTGCTAACCTTAAGCTCATGTTGTAATATAATGCTCTAATACCCGCGCCAGGCCGGGGCGGGTCGCTACTGAACATATAAATAGCAGTTTCAGCATGCATTTGAGTTCCTGCTTATTGATCATACAGTTTATGGGGCCTATATGACACATGAATCAATATTACCATGTGATGGAGGCGCAAAATGTACAAACCACAAGATGAAAATTAATAAGTGGCACCGTCCGTTACTTCCTATAAAATAACTTTCTTTCAAATATTAGCAAACATTTTTGAATGAAATTAGATATTAGAACCATTGATCTCTACATAAATTACAGCAGATAAACAACATGGCAATGAATTTTCCACAAATTAGCCTACAAAATGCGCCTCGGTCCACAGACCTAAATATTTATTCGCAATAAAGCCTGACAGATGCAATGAATCAAATTATCTAGTTAATTTAATAGAAAATCAATGGACCTTGACCTGCTAATCTTGCAATAAAAATATTGCGTCATGTGTCTTTATAACACTTGTATTTTTCTTTGAAACGAAATCAGTAGTAGGTACAAATAAAACTTTGTACTACTTCGCGAGTGCAATAAACCGTGAAGAGTCGAGAAAAACGTTTCATGACATTTATAATATACAACTAAATACAGTATTGTCAACGTAAGATCGCTACGGATATGAATTGAGTCGAAACATCCCTAGCATGCTACAGATTGCTTTATAGACACACATATCAGTTTGACAGGCTGTTGAATGTTATCAATTTTAGCTGCAGTAAATGTTTTCTATAGGAAACGGTTGGTTGCCACCACGGCTAATTCTCTGCCCAGTATAATGTAGGCCAGTCTCGAGCGCCGCTCTAGTTTCTCAACTAGAGTTACTTATCTCGTCGGGAGCCGTTGCCAACGAACCAACGCCAACTATTTTATGTAACTTTGTTGTCGAAACGTGCTGCGAAATTGATAAGTTTGTTTCTCTACTTGTGTAAAATGTAAACATACTTAATGCATTTTTTATAGTTATCTAGATTTTGCTTAAAATTATTGTCGCTATCGTTCTTGAGCTTTATTTATTTCTGACTTCATTTACATATTATTGTATTTATATAAAAACAAAGTTAATATGTAACTTTTTTAATAAAAACAACAACAATCACAGTCAACAGATCTTAACAATTAAAAAGCTTAATTAGATACACCTAAACAGAGGCTTAATTATATCACATCGATCAGGAAAAGTCTCAGTGGAACATTTAATGTCCCTTCTTGTGGCCCCAGTGCTTGTGATCTTCGTGACCTCCCTTCTTTCCATGATCGTGATGGTGATGGTGATGCTCATGATGACCACCTTCATCATGATGTCCCTTATGGTCATGATGATGTCCTCCCTTCTCGTGATGGCCCTTTTTGCCGTGCTCATGGTGGTGATGGCCACCGTGCTTGTGACCCTTGTGGAAGCCGCCTCCTTTCTTGTGTCCATGTTCTTCGTGATGTCCTCCGTGGTGTTCGTGATGACCGCCGTCATGATGGTGGTCGTGGAAATGCTTTTCCTTTTTGAACTCGTCGTGTTTATGAACACCGTGATGCCCCTTAGTAGAGTGCCCTTTGTGGTAGTGACCTTCCTCATGGTGTCCATGGCCTTTGTGACCCTTTTCGCCATGATGATGTTCATGATGATGTCCATCGTCATGATGATGGTGCTTCTTATGACCACCGTGTTCGTCGTGATGTCCCTTATGACCCTCATGATGGTGGTGGCCCTTTTTGCCGTGCTCATGGTGATGATGTCCTTTGTAGCCTTTATGACCTTTTTCACCGTGGTCATGGTGATGATGAGCATGGTGTTCGTGACCGCCACCTTTATCCCACTTGCCGCCACCGCCGCTGGCCGCTACCTCAAGATCAGCATCGCGTTTTTCACGTGTGATTCGGCAGCTAACATAGGTTAGTGCCGCTAACGCTATGCAACACACTAGTAAGCTCCTCATGGCTGAACCGGTGTGATCAAAGCAGTTGACTGATGCCTGAAGTTACAACTGGTAAGGTTTTATACTGGTAGCCGGTTTTGTTGTTATTGTTTAAAAATTGTGTAAAACACCAAGGTTGCAACTTTGTAGCGAAGGCGTAGAACGGGACCATTGCGCAGTGCTACCCGGTGGTCGGTGTCTCAATATGAAAATCTGAACAAATCTAACAGAAAGTATACATTGATATTGGTAACAATGTAATATCTCATAAGTCTAACCATTCTATTCTTCTAAAAAAATATCCTGGGACTTCCCGAGTGTCATAACTCGGTGTGTTCGTAGATCACGTTCGTAGCTGTTGATCCTGGTGTACAGGAGTTAAAGTGGTGGGCGTGTGGGAGGAATTAGCTCCAAGCCGTTCTACGAAACCTTCCATCTGCAAATCTCTTGCTACGGTCAATGCCTCTACTTACATCATATTATTAGCTTTTTTTAAAATATACCTTTTTCCTCTCCTCTACTAAACGACTACAATAGTACGTACTACTATATTTTTAACTTGTTTACTATTTACGTACATATTTTATAAATTATAAACACCACAGACTTATACTATTCTTAAGAAAATAAGAATAGTATATTACCTAAGCGCCATTTGAATCTTAAGATTTAATATATATTATAAAAACCAATGTTTGACAATTATAATATTTTGAATAACAGACACCTCCCGCTCTAGGAATATTCCTAGGTCGCGAGGGACTTTTACAGACACTTATGAAACGGACACAAAGAACTCCAGCACAACAATTTGTTGATTACACAAAGTGTTGTTCCATGTTGATCGAAAAGCGGCGAAGCGCATAGTACATTTGTCATCCGATGATCATGTAATCCTGCATGCAAGTTGTCATATTATGATGCACAATAGGATTAGGGTTCTAAACATGGAAAATATGTGTATAGTATCTATATTTTAGGTCTTTACCTATGAAATTGATGCCCTTCTTGTAAAAATCAGCTGGACGGGAGGCAACAAACTCTTCAAAGGCATTTTGTACTGCCTCTCGGGAATTGAATTTTTACCCACTAAAAAGTTGTCTAAATTTTGGAAAAAGTAATAGTCGGTAGGTGCAAGACCTTGCACCAAAAGTAATAGTCGGTAGGTATTAGTACCAAGACCGTCCCCGTCCAGCTGATTTTTACAAGAAGGGCATCAATAAACTGCCAATGCGTTGGCAAAGATGCGTCGATTGCATGGGTGATTACTTCGAATAACAGAAATAAAAAAGTTTGAAAAAATAAGTACTTTCACTTATTGGTATTCACGTAAAGACCTATTATTATAGAAATCAAATATAGCTCACTTAAGACCCATAGTATTTTGTGGCCGTGGTGCTACCGTTTAAAAGAGTCTATTGATATGGGTAAGAAGGGAAGTGGATTGACTGTATTTCTTACCCTCCAATTTTCTTCTTATTAATTTCATTAAGGGGTTCCAAGACAGTTTAATTTTTTCCTGGGACTTCCCGAGTGTCATAACTCGGTGTGTTCGTGGGTCACTGCTGTTGATCCTGGTGTACAGGAGTTGCAGCGGTGGGCGTGTGGGAGGGATTAGTCCCGTGGTATGGGATGTTCAGCTTTATTTGTGGCGAGTCGCATGAGTTATCACATTCAAGCCATACATGGCATTTCATAATTTGTCCACGGAGAACGTCTGTACACTACTAGAACGATATCAGCATTCATCTGGAAGTTTGTCCAACTAGCATTAGTTTAAGTCGAACAATTTAAACATTTTTCGGGTAATCAGTAAAAAGAATTCTTTCTTCAGCTGATCTTACTTTTCACGTGTATGTATATACATATATTGGACTAATCTTTCAAGAGTGGTTGCACCTCAACAAAATAAAGATAATTGGATATTACTTTTACACCAAGGGTACAAACCTTGTTTCACAATAACGTTAGCGAACGGAACAGTTTTGGGAATGAAACTTGGAACCAAGACGTATTGCCAAGTGACTTCAAGTGCATGAAGAAAGCAAGAGGAATATAACAATGATCAAAAACTATACTTAAAAATGATTTTGAAAAATATTTTTCTTTTCTTCGATAGATGTTCTCCCTGGTGCCTACTAAAAATATATTTTGAAATTTTATGTGAAGTTCAAGGAGTTAGTATTGTTATATTTTATGTGTATATGTATTTATAGAATAATCCGGACAAGGTACTTGGTATAAATGACTTCTTGTCCTTGTGGTGGCGGATTAAGAATACAGAGGGTGATGAATAGGGGTGATGACACTCTTGACTGTCATCACCCTATTCATTCCCTGGGTGTCGTAAGAGTCGACTAAGGCAGCATACTACGAAGGAGAACAGTACCGCAAGGAGAAGGAAATCCTGTATAAAAATTACGAATTAACCTAAAATTATTTAATTTAAGTTTATCGCGGCGTCTGCACTATACCTGCGCTCCAAAATATGATGTCCGTTTGGATTGAGGAACTTTTCATACCTTAATAAAATTAATATTATTATTTAGTAGAAAATTTAAAAAAATTGTAGCCTCAATCCTCGATTTTGTGGTATAATACTTGTAAAGTTATATGAACATAAAGATGGCTCTTCAATCGAAATGTTTGGATTGAGGAGCCACATCAGAACTAGGAACATAATGGATATATATTTATCATAATTTAGTATGATTTTGTAGTATTTGAGAGTAGTTAGAAGACAAAATCTGAGCTCGGTAATGTTAGAATTAAAAAAGTAACCATACATTATATATGAGAATACAGACATCAGACCAAACATACGACTATCATTTTTCAAAGAAGCAGTCTTTCAATTGATGCGCAATTTGTTCATCATTTAGTAGTAAGTATATTAAATTTTAGTGTAAAGAGTCAGTTATTAACAACGAGTGAATTGGGAGATAGATCGATTTGATTCTAATACTTGTGACGAAATTTGGCACATAAAACATCTAATTTTGTATAAATTTATACTAAATGTACGGATAATTTTATCCATAAAAAAGTACAGTATCTACGAAATTATTAGCTATTCTTTAATTTCCTAACAATTTTTTTGTAGGGTATAAATAAATAACTTATGTAAAAGGTATTTTTTCGTTCCTTTTCGTACACAAATTTATTTTATTTCATCTAATTATTTGGTGGTAACTGCAAATTAATGTGGTTACCTACCTACCCTCTATAATATTTATTTATACACCACGACACAAGAGCCAGTATCTCAACACTGGTAAATAGTTATTGCAGACGTAGTGAATTATTACTTTTATATTTAATTACTAAAATAATGTACTAAATGTTAGTGTCTCTGGTTTTTGTTTCTGTTGTGATCTGTGGTAGGTACTGTCGATTATTTATTGTGCAGAACGTCAGAAATAAGGAGCCAAATAAAATGCGTTTATTTACTAAATCCACTCAGTTTTACTACTTTTTCCTGATCCTAACAATTCAAACACACTTGCTACTAAATGTTTTTGGAGTAAAATATAAAATTTTGACCTATTACTTTCATGGCAATTCACGCTCTTAAATATAAATTGAGGAGCCACATTACAATGATTGTATATTCGTAATTATCAACAGTACTGGATTCAAATTTTTAGTAGGCACTATACATCATTACTACTAAATTTTAAAAAATATTCATTAAATAGGTACTTCCATGTGGCTCCTCACATCAGATGTTTACATTGAGGAGCCATTTCTACAATGACATAACTTCGGAAGAAATTTCAGGCTTTGTCCTACAAAATTATTTGCTCACCTACTAAATAAGGGGCTAGGTTCCGTTTAAAATCTGAAGTGGCTCCTCAATCAATACGGACATAAAATATGAACACACCTTTCTGCCACATATATCTTCATAAGATCGTTTGATTAGGTAAATTGAAATAAAAAGTCCCCACGATTTTTGCTTAATTTATTGTTACAATCCTCAACAACAATTACATGAGCACTACATGATGCCGTATGGTTAATAATTTTTATCTAAATACCTATTAAATTTAAACTAAATATATATTTAATCGTAAATTACTTTTATAATGATAAATCACAATATATACCAACTTTCAGTTGACAAAATTATTTAACTAAAGGAACATATCTAAATATCTATTGTAGAAACCCATAAGCAGTGTTTCACACCTTAAAGTTAGAATTTTATATATTTTATAATTTCAGTCCTAATTATAGTATCACACTGTACTGAATGTAGCGGCCTCAGACAGCGCAAATCACTTCTATGACAAACATCATTATTTCACTTCGAACTAAGGCCGTTACACTAAATATGTGTAGGTACTTAATGACAAGCTTTCATTTCACTTTATTGTTACTGGTATGTTCGCAAAATAAACTAAATATTGCCCAAGTGTTTAAGCGTGTTGTAATTTATAATGGAAGCACTATGAACTAAATATTTCGAATCCATAATTGCTGATATGGTAACCTATATGATATACCGGAAACAATTTTGCATTATCGGAAACTAAATATTAATTATCACCACTCTGCACAAACGGTTGTATAAAATTAGATTGAAACCCTACTTGTCTAGTCTTTTATCAATATTAATACATACTTTAAACACACTAATATATTTAAACAAATCTACTTTACACTTTTGGTGTAGTTAACATTATTAAAGTGATGTCAATTGCAAGTAAAAATCACTTATAATCTATATCCAAAAATACATTTGCAGATAGTATAGCTGATTATTACAATGTGTATGATCACGTCAACAATGAAATGGATATTCTATGCAAACTTCCAATACTGTCTTAAATTCCAACGATATATATGTTACAGTAAGCAGCCTCTTTTGACAGTCACGCTATTCTGATTCTTTTAAACAGATGCAAAATTGTTTACCCTTTATTAAATGTATAATTTCAAAGTGTGTTAGATAATATAAATATCATTTAGTACTCATTTTTTCATTTATTAGACTGTAATATTGAAGTATAAAGAAATATTTATTTTGTGTATATGTAAAACAGGCAATATCTTGAAAACATATCGTTCAAGAGATCAATTAACAATTATGAGCTGGCGAATAACGGTATAATATTAAACTTCTAAGTTAAGAATAACTAATTCCTTAGATAACATACTCTGCTAGCTCTTTTGTATGTACGTTTTAAGAGCAGAACACTATATAGTTCGTATTTCACTTGGTTGTTAGGAATATAGGCTAATTGATAATTAATAAATTGGTTATCACAAAGACAATAATTATTTTTACACTAATACCATATATCGGTAGAAGCAAGTGCTTATGTAACAGAAGTGTAAAAGGTATTTCCAACACTATTCCATGCGCGCTGGCACCAAATAGCGTGTTGCCCAACAGCACATGTTGGAGTTAGTTGAGATGGAATCCGCGTTCGTTGGTCGCAGCTAGTAGCCTTTCTCGCAAAACTTCTTTGCACGAATATTCTGGCAGTTTTAAGTAGTGAACACACGTATTTACAGATGGATATGAACCATCTCCGGCGTCGACCTAAAGACAACAATGTGACAAGTTAATAATATTATAATAGTCGTTGTTCTAGGCGATAAGTGTGTATTCCGAGGAGGTAATAAATTAAAATAACATAAGATTTATAAATATTATATTACACCCGGAATACCACTCGCGTGAATTTTGGTCACAGAAGTAATCGATGTGTTCAGTAATAGTGAGACGGTTTTGTACCTTTACTGTAGAACAAGGACATAGTAAATACCAAAATACCTTTCGCACTACAGTGAGCCTAGGATGCAGATTCGCCAAGCCTCCGGGGGGTAGACTGCTACAACCGGTTGCGAATTGTAGGAAGGCCTTTCGTTCCCGAAGAGACATCTCGACTAGCACGTCTACAAGTCGAAGGAATCCGGGACTGAAAACATTCATAACATATTATTGAAACCTTTTATTTGTATTAAAAAAAAAACAGGTTCCAGTTATGCATGCTCGGCTACGGTCAGATGGGCGGTATCACCTTCACGAACATACATTAGCCCGGGTACATCGCATAAATTATAATAAACAAAGAATCCGGTCTAAAAAGTCACTGTAGCCTGAAAGACGTCAGTAAAAGAAGCAAGTAGCCAAAGGCGGAGGAGAGTTAGGTTCAACAGTGAGAATATATAACCTGTCGCGCGTGTAGCCGAGCTTGGGCTCGGTGTACTGCAGCAGGTGGTCGCGCGTCCACACGGGCCCGCGCTCGCCGCACAGCAGCAGGCGCAGCTCGGCGGCGGAGAAGGCGCGCAGGCGGCGCGGCGGGAACACGGCGCCGAAGCCGCGCCGGAACGCGCCGGTCTGGCGCCGCACGCCCTCGCGCACCATCCAGCGCGCGCTCGCCTCGGCGTACGCGCGAGCGTTGTGCCCGCTTACCTGTGGTGTCGACGTTTTAAATATACGATCCGTTCGTACCCCCATCGTCGTGCAGGTCCTCCGAGTACGTACCTCGATATTCTCGCCGCTGTCGCACAGCGGTTGAACGGCCACGGCGACGTCCGGGTGGGCGGCCACGTGCGTCATGGTGAGCGCTAACTGTTCGAAGCTGGCGCCCTCCACCGTCAGCTCGTTCGCGAGTCGGTCTCGAGTTTCCGAATCTAAATTGGAATCGCGCGATAACTTTTCGTATTCTTCCGCCGCCGTCAACACGTTTTGTAGGAATCTATATAAAAAAAAAATGTATTATAAATTGAATTTGTAAATATTGCTTCTATCGAGGGTTTTGCGAGTGGGTTGTGATATGAATTGATCGATAAAAGATACAATTCAGTAAGCATTCTTCCTACGAATAAGGGGTCTTAACATTTCAAGAACACTCAGTTATTAAGGATTATACGGTTGTTTACGTATAACATAAATAACGACGATCTGTATATTTGTTTGAATATCCTGTTAAACTAATACAATAATAAGTCCTTACCTATGTCTAATAGGATCGATTTCTACGAGGCAATCATTAGTTAGTTCTTCACCACACATAATGCGTAAGAAAGGCTCCGACAGCGGTAGATCGACCAGTCGGCCATCTTGTAATACCTAGACCATTAAATTAAAACCTAATTAGTTATTTTGTACATTGATAAAGTATGCGGATGTATAATATGATACAACAAAGTAATACAAAACATAATATAATATTCATGCACAACATATACCTTAGCCAAGAATACACCCAGGAACCAGAAATATTTGCAGACTTTATCACAGATGGGGGAGTCCTGAGGTAGAGGCGCCGGGAATAAGCCACCGGCACGTGTCACGTAGTAACCTGGAGGCTTCTCTGCAAAGGTAAAGATCAGACTTATTTAAAATATTAAAGGATGTTTAAACAAATAAATTAATTTTATCTTTATCTGGCTTGAGCTACTCTGTCGCTCAGCGCTCTGTCGACCAGGGCATGCTACCCAGTATTAAAATTATAGTCGTACGTAGATCACCTACGATTATATTAATACAATGGGTCGATTATATATTTATCACTTGTCATAAGCTGTTTTTATTTCAATATGTGTAAATTCATTGGGTATTTCTATTTTTTCCGACTTTAGTAGAACAAACATGTATTAACATAATGACGATAGAGTCATGTGAAAATTCTTTATTTTGTGCACTAAATGTATATCATTGCCATCTAATATTACAATTTTTCCACACGACGACACTACTACTAATTAGTAAGTAAAACGGTTCTTTCCACTTGCCCCCGCGTTGACCCCTAGGGGGTCCATGGACACTTACTATTACACTTGGTCTCCCGACCCGGGGGCGGGCAAATAGTTATTAAATGTGTATTCAACTTCAACCCCCAGTCATTATACACTGTAGGACATTAAATTTGATAATTAAAATCTAGCTTTGTAAACAAAACGATTTAGCGGCTTTTTCGCTCTGAAGCGATCTCTTACAGGCAAACATCTGCAAAGACTATGTTGAGGGGATCCAAGTATAATAGTGGGTGTCCATGGACCCCATAGGACTAGTAAAACTACTTCTAATATGCATATTCGTACCCGAAGGTAGTGCAAGGTGATGCGGCGCGTTGTCGTCGTCATTGACTTGTGTCGCGTGATCGTTGAGCCACATGTAGAGATCAGCGCGCTGCAGTTCAGCTGCCACCAGCGCGTAAAACTCCAGCGTCGGGCCCAGGCCCGTGCCTTCCTCCCCGGCGAATTCTACCTCCAGGACTGATTTACGACCAGCATGGACATGCATTACCTGTCGTTAACGATGTCAAGATATTATTTGCAAAATGTCTAAAATCCCGCTTATAGTCTTTATTAATTAAAAAAAAGAAAATATATACCTACTCAAGAGTTTTCAAAGTATATAGTTTTATACAATTTCACTTATTTATTTGCTGTGTACTATGTACACACATGTATATTCTGTATCACGGGGAACTTTACAGACATGCATGAAACGGATACAAAAACACTCAGACTCAGGATTACACAATGTTGTTCCAAGTGGAGATCGAACCCACAACACTCAGCGCATTAGGAAGCTGCGAGGTGACCGCCTAAACCACTACGCCATCCGTGCAGTCGTTTTGCACCCAGATACAAGTTATTCTGCTCATCACACAATTATTAATATTATTCTGTGTGGAAATTGATGCCACGAACCACATATTGTAGTACTTATTTAATCTGTTGTTTTTATTGTGGTAAAAAAAATTCTATTTCAATTATTTTATGCAATATCAAGTGAAAGTAAGGTTTGCCTTTTCTGTTATTATTTTTAACTTTATAGCACTTACTGTTTAAAAAAATTACCTTGCCGTACTTCATAATATAAAACATTAAGTGTTCAAAATATGATATGATTCCGTGTGCCATATGTGTTTGATAAGAGGTCCAAAGAATTTTCTTTACTTAAATGTACTTGTACCTATACACATTTATGTATTATTACTTAGTTATATGTTTATAAAATAAATATAGTATCTTAGGAACCTAATAATATAAAACAATGAATAAACTTACCTGCATAGCAGAATGCAACAAGTTGGGTTGGCGAGGTATCCTCACCCGCTCGTGACGTAAGCGTCCCATTCGGAACTCAGTGGCTTCTAACTCCGCACGCCTAGGCGATACTGTGTTACCAGACCTAAAGACCAAATTATTATCACTATTTACAAACTTTAAATACAATTTGTTAACAACATAGGGGTTAATCAGAAGTATATTAGAATCCTTTCTGAAATCAAATTAATCGTCGCATTGATTTTCATCGATATTGACTAGATGACAAGACGATCCTTACAACTTTTTCTCTTATCTGTATACAAATGTGTAGTGTAATGTGTGTAGTGTGTAGTGGAAACACCAGATTAGCCCGAGATCCGAAGGGTACAATCAATACAAAAAAGGTACATCTCTGTGCAAAACCTAAATTTGAAATTTGCATGTGTCAATTTGGTCCGTGAGAAACAAATAACAGGCTATAGATACGAGCAGTGACCCCAAATTGAGAGGAACGCTAACTTGTCTATAAGTCAATTTCTAGAATTTTTGTACTAAAAACTTTTTAAAGTGTGTTAAAGCTTTTTTAATGTATTCATACATACCTTTGCCTGTCGAGTGCACGATCTCTTTGAGCTTGTAACCAGACGATCGTACGAGACGTGCCGAATGCGGTGCACGCGAAGAACATCTGGCGTGTCTCCAGGGGAAATAGGAATGGACACCAATCGTTTAATTGCTGGCACCTGATATAACACATTAATAATATAAACATAATATACGAACATTTATAATTTTCAACAACGATAAAGCTGGTAATAAGGTTCTATAATATACAATAATTGTACGAGATAAGCTCATTAGGAGTAAAATTACCTACTTAACGTGATATGTATAAATTATTAGTAGCTTCAGCTAACTAGCATAAACTGAGACCTGTTGAAAAAAAAACTAAGACTCAGATGGAGTCGAGGTAGTGCTGACATGCTGCATGTTTCAGTGAATGATTAGAGTGTGCTATCTTGACTTCCTCGAGCTAGTGTTTACCCTCCCCAATTCGTCCGCTAAATACGAGTCTGCCTACACCATTCGAGGCAAGAGACTCGTGAGTATGGATGAAGTGAGAGCAGGTACCAGAGCGGCGTGGCGGCGGCAGCCAGCGTGAGCGGCTCCTGCAGCTGCTGGTGCAGCTTGTTGGTGAGGCGCGTGGACACGAAGGCGTCGGGCGCCAGCGCCGGCGCGGCCATGCGCAGGCGCCGCAGCACGCGCACGCAGCACGTGGCCATGGCGCCTTCCGCGCCCTCCGCGCCCGCCAACCCCCGCTCTGCAACCATACACGTTCGTTTATAGTACAGACGATACTTAATTGTAAAGCATCTATAATTTTCAATTAACTAAATAATTATTACAATGTATGGGACTATCGATAAGTAGTACTTGATTACATGATTATATTAATTGTGCCATCAAAATAATGTCAGTATTATTTGTAACAAATGTCACTACTTTTAATCTTTTTAATGATTACTGATATTGAGATACTTTTAAGAACATACCTGGATCGCAAGGCTCGTCATCTTCGCTATCACTAGACGAGGCAAAAGTCTCCATGCCCTCGATTTCCTTGTACGTCAATCTGATAAAATAAGATCCGTTTAAAACGTGCACAATGTAACTTGTTAAAAACCCAAATAATATTTATAACTTAAAAGCCATGTTATATATATATATAAATTATAGCTAGTTTTATAAAAAAAAAGGCTAGACTTACGTATAAGTAGTATCTCGATGCGTGTCATGAGCAGGCAAGCGCGCATTCAATGCCAGCACCGCGCGGTAGAGCGTCCACGACGGGCGCTCTAGTGCTAACGACGCGCCTGCCGCACTCAACACTAAACGTAACGCCGGCAAACGACCATTACTATTACTGTTATTACTTCCATTCACTGTAGCATTGGCAACAGTTGCAGTGTTTGCAGCGTTTGCACTAGAGGCACCCCCAGTTGCGTTTTCCGAGGTATTTCCATCCTCGCCATCTGATGCTTCATTTAGAGGAATTTCGAGATCTGAAACGTGGGTTAGAATAAGTACAGAGAACTAAAAACCAGTATTTAAAGAAAGGAAAACTCTCAAATTCAACCACGATCTGAAAGGCGAAACATGAGATGCCTTCCCGGTCATGGTAGGTGGTGGTTCATCTAGTAAAAGCATTGAACTAAGGGAGGTCTATATTTATCATACTTTGATTAACCTTCTAGTGATAAAACCACTTACCAACAGTTTGATTGAGATTAGTCCTGCCTGGTCGTGGGTCAAAAGCAGGTATGAGTGCAGAAAACTGTCGCTTGAGTACAAAGTCGTCGTCCCAAGGTTTTCTTTGACGACCCTGTCCTCCTGCAGTGCTACTGCGTACAGCCTCCAAAGCTTCTTCCTCCATTAGTGACAGGAGATTTCGTGACACCTGTAAACGATCGCCACATAAATTAAAAATTTGAGTGACTCTCCATGTATAAAACGCCGATTCCGACGAATTTCATTTTCATTCTTTGCAGTGCTGTGTTGTGTGTTCGTTGTCCTGCGTAGTTTGGTCCCTTAGTTGGCTCTTACAACTCCTACGGGATGAATAGGGTGGTAACACTCCGTACTCTTAATCCGTCACTACACGCGTCAGGCAGCGGGCGGCCATAAAAGAAAAAAGCCAAAACCAATTTTGTTATGAAGTAAAAAACTGCGTGAAAGAGGATGATGAGTTATAGAGGAGAATGGAAAAAATCTTCGCACCGACCCCAAATCAATTTGTTAAAAGGGTAAAAAGATGATAAGATGATGAAATATAAAAAAAAACAATTGTAAAACTGAGTCTAATTACCGAAAGCATACTCACTACCTCCTGGTACGTGGGTTCGTTTTCCTTATCGCTGTCAAGTGCATCATCCGCATCGTCATCGTCTTCTAGTTCAGTGAGAAGCGCCGGAGCACGGCAAGACTCCAGGAAGTCTTCTAATGATACCTATAAAAATTACGTTCATACCTATAAGTAAGTACTGTTTATGGGTGCATATTTTCTACTTCATAATTATCATGAAACTAAAAAAAAATCTCCTTGACAAGCACTCTCATAATAAAAGGGATTTGTGATCTCTTGTTAAAATTAAATAATACCTTTACAATACTAAGCCTTTTATTTATTAAAACTACGTATTTAACGCATGTATGTTTACATACGTATTCGTAGAATATGTATCATCATCAATAATTACTAAAGTATCAAGCTTCAAATTTATAATGTCTATTCTTTCAGTATCTACCCATGACAATACTACATAGTAAAAAGCAAAAATAATATTAAATTGACTGACTGCCAATTGAAACAGTTACCTGTTCACTTTCACTGGACGTTGACGTTAGAGAGAGCGTAAGGGCATTTTGCGCATTTGGAGCAAGTGATGGATAACTTTGAGCTGCTGACAACAGCCCACCAGGAAAATTGCTCGATAGAGCTAACCGCACTAAACTGTAAATAAAAAGTGGTGTAAAGTAATATGTAGCAAATGAATTCTAAGGCAAGAGGAGACACTGTTATTGCCAACCTAATTTATACAAAACTAGCTGACCCGCGCAACTTCGTCTGCGTCTCTCAATAGTAATAAATTTTCTCCGTTTTTAAACATTCTTCATTGGTATTCCGCTCCTATTGGTCTTAGCGTGATGATATATAGCCTATAGCCTTCCTCGATAAATGGGCTATCTAACACTGAAAGAATTTTTCAAATCGGGCCAGTAGTTCCTGAGATTAGCGCGTTCAAACAAACAAACAAACAAATAAACAAACAAACTCTTCAGCTTTATAATATTATTAGTAATTAGTATTAGTATTAGTATAGATAATGTTGACAATGACACAGATATGTAATTTTACAAGGAGTGTAAGGAGTATGTATATTTTGGTACGCAAGTAGTAATATTTGTTTTCTGCCTATATTACGTTAAGATTTCTGTACAAACCACTAACCTGGGGAATAGACTGGTAGAATGATTAGACCGTGGGGCGCGCTGTGGATTGCTGCCGCGACCTGCGCCTGCTCCGCGTCCCACTCCTAACGTTTCCAGTAGCCGCGCGGCACCCTGATCAACAAACACATTGTTATTAATGATTTATGAATGAGTAACTCATTCATAAATCATTAATAACAAACCAATATATCATAAAGAAATGGATACATGTAATGTATGTATTATTCGTAACTTAAAAACCTACCTCACTTTGAACTAACATGGATAGCAATTTATATTTATTAACTTGAAAAACGATTTAAAGAAATTAATTTCGTGTAGAAAAGAAATACCTGCTGTGTCAAGTCCGGTTCACTAGCACTCATTGTGTTAGAACCTCCGGACTGATTATCCTTCTTGTGGTCACCATATTGACTATCAGCTCCATCGTTGTCCTCGCACTGGAGATGATCATAATAAATCAATTAGTTTACGTTTTTTATAGTAGGTACTAAGCCTTCTATGGATGGAAAGCGTACACCCTATCAACACACTGAACTGGCCTGGCTACGGACACGTAACTTACTACTACTTATCTATATGTTGTTCTAAGTGTTAACTGACGTTATTCTAATTGTTTTCCGTATAGAAAGGACGTATAATCTTTTTTATCTAGAGATGCCTAGGAAATAATAATAACAACTAAAACTGTAACAGTGTATTGTGGTTAGCACGGGCTGATACCTGATGACCAGATGCCATACCGGTATGTATGACATAAATAGTATTCAAACAAAATTTTTGAATATTTCTTTGCTTAAGCGCTTATTTAATGAACACCTTTAACATGTACATAATAGTTTCGATGATAGCGAGTATACAGTAATGGCGAGATGTGGCGGTTGCGTGACGTGCGGTGCGCGATACCTGTATTTGCAGGCGGTTGGCATTGTCCCGCAGCGAGTGCAGCAGCGAGGCGGGCAGAGCGCGCAGTTCGCTGGATAGCAGCGCGTTGGCGCTGTTGCGGGCCGCGTCCCCGCCGTACCGCTCCGACAGAGCCTGTGCAACAGCGCGCCAGTGCAGTCAGCACACGCACACCCCTCGCCGAACCAGACCCGACCTACCTGATGCGGTCTAGCCTAACCTCGCAGATCTTAATTGAAGGCGGTATACTTATTTAAATACACCCGATTCGCTTCAATGAGTTTGACTACATTGAACTCAGTAGCGTTGCCATCGACCGCCGATTTCATTTGAATAATTTGACCATAAAAATTTGGTATCCTCGATTGTATATAATTATTTAAATATTCATGCCTTGGGGAATATCCATATGAAATATTTGCAGTCTTACAAAGATGCATGTAACTAATTAGCAGTGGTGTTATAATAGTGGTGTGTGTTATATTACTTGATACATTACTGTAATTACTGACCTCTTGGCTGTTAGCTTCCGGTAGTGGTTCTTTGGCTGGATAGGGTTTGGTGATATCAGTGATACTTGTTGGGCCCATTTCCATGTTAGTGAATGAAGTGTTGCCCAAATCACTCATACAATTATTGCTCTCCGCTCCTAAAGTTAGTGATTCAACTATTGTTGCGAGATCTGAGAAATAATTTAAAAAATAAATAAAATAAACAATATATCTCACACACTCACACACGGCCGTCTGATCCCAAACTAGGCAGAGCCTGTACTATGGTAACCAGACCGCTGATAAACATACTTATATATTTCTAAATACAATCGAACCCACGACCTCCGGTTTAGCAGTCAGGGTCACTAACCACTAGACCAACAGGCCCGCCAAAAGCAGAAGTAGATCCATCAGTATACTGTTGAATTTAACATTTATAAATTATGATCGCCGCAAAGAATCGTGGTACATACCCGTGTTGATATGATGTGTAGAATTATTAATAGCCGAGAGGTCAGTGGCATGGGTCCTCGGCCGCGACATGTTGCTCGCCATTTCTTCGCCTGATATGTTATCAGCTGATGATGCTTGCTCGGTAGACGCCACCGAAACCTTCGAATACATATTTATTAGTTTTAATTCATAACAACCTGAGAAGCTCAAAATTTAATTTTCAGCATTGCCTTGAATAAAAGATAAATGACTGGACTGTTAAATAGATACTATGACTAGACAACGACTAAATTCTTAACTGACATATTTTATATTTTGAGATAAAAATACCAGTTCAGGAGAATAACTCGATAAAACATGAAAGAGGTAAAAAATGAGATTATTTGAGCTACGAAATACGATACGATTTATTTCAATTAGTGATAATTTTATATTATTAAAGACAGACGACGCGTCGGGCGAAATATTAAATGAAATTGCGGTTACAGTTACGATGAGTTTGTCAGAATTCATAATGAGTTCGGATCAATATCCGAAACCGAATTCATAGGGTCCGACTTGGCGAGAATTTCGTGTGTTATATACCTGATGGTCTACAGCTGTAGCATCGGGAAGACTCGGGGTGGAATGACTCTTACGGCCTTGTTTAGTCTCGCCACTTGTGGCGCCACCGCTCACAACCTTTAGATCAAACTTTCCTTCGGCACCCATGCGGTATGAGTTGCGCCCGCCATGATCCCACCTTAATTGAAAATAATACACTTTGTTTTAATTTATTACACGTATATTTATACCTTTTTATAAAAATAAATATAGGTGGACAGTTTTTGTCATATATCCGCCGCAAATGTTGCGTGTTCGACCAAAAAAATTGTATTAACAAATTTTAACGATTTGTCGGACTGGACACAGGACGCGCTGAAAGAAAATCTATGTCTAATAGTCAGAGCCTTTCTGAACAATACCAATATTATCAGGTCGATATAGTCATTCTGTAGTACTAATCAGACAACGAGACACATAAATTATTATGAGTAATTTTCAAACTAAGCAAATCCGTCTAGGATAAAGAGTTACAAAGTATAAAATTAGAAATGAAAATGACCTGACATCCACCCATCCGTTGTGAAGGTCGGAAGTGACGGTGCCGAGCGCCGGGTGCGGCCCGTCCTGGTCGCGCCACTTCCAGTCGGGCCCGCGCAGCACGCGCGCGCCCGCGCACACGGCGCGCGCGCCGCGCGTCCAGCGCCGTGCGCGCGCGCCACCCGGCGTGGTGCTCGCGTTCCCGTTGGAGTTGCTCGCCGTGCCGCACTGCCGCGGCGCGCTCTCACACACGCTAGTCACCTTTACGGAACGTGGAGATCACGATATTATACGGTGCCAAAAAACAGTATCAGATAAGTACTTAAAACTTATTTATTTCACGCTCCATATGAAATACGTTACGATTAAATTTAATTTGTATATAAAGGTAAGCAGCCATGTGTAAAACTACTTCAATACACCTTGATTACCCATTGCTTCTTCTCATCTAATGTCCATCAAAAGGTTGCCTATACGAGATTGCTTTTAGCGATAAGGCCGCCCATTGTACATATCTGTTTGTAATATTTATCTAACATATTGTAATCGGTGTACAATAAAGAACATTCTATTCTATTCTAAACGAGAAATGGAACTAGCGCATGTCGGCCTTAGCCATGTTCTTCACTTAACGTTATCACTTCAAGGAAGATGGGAAACTTACCTTGCCATATATCTCCATACCAGAAAGTGACAAGTAGTGGCTCTGACCGCTTGCATTCTTGCCATTTTGCTGGATACGTAAATAACGATACGCAGTATCGGCGCGGACGCGCCACGTAGCGGTACTGCCCGGTTCTTGCAGCGCTTGCTCGTCACTGTGTACCAGTAAAGTATTCCAAGTCACACCATCGGTAGATACCTGAATAACGGAAAATTATCAGAACAAAACATTACGGCCAGCACATATTCATACATACTCACTATTATTTATTTTATACACTCACTTGAAAAAGCCAGTTCCTTAGTGCTGATCGTCCATATCCTCTAGCGTGTCGCAATGTGTATGCCGATGGCACAATATTTAAACCTAGATCTACTGCTATAAAAGCTCTTCTATCGTCATTTGTATGCACGTTTAATGGTTCCGGCGACCTCGAAAGAGCGTCCTCGGCCCGTCCGTAAGGCAACTGTCTCCCATCAGAAGACCAAACGCTGACAAGTCCGTGAGCGCCAGGATTAACCCATTCGCAAGTACCCCCATTAGTACCAATGAAGTAAAGAACACCATTTTCATCGAAGTCGTGCTAAAAACATAATATAATTATAAATCTAATCTAAATTTGCATTAATAAAATATTGTAATTACTGTCGTGGTAAACTATAAGATTTAAGATTCCATGATAACTTACGTCGTAATTAAACACAAGAGGCGCTTCTGCTTTTATTTTCTGTACAAAGTTGAATGTGGACCTCTCCATATCGTACCACTGACGAGCGACAGACTTGGCGAGGAACCTTTCGAGCTGCCGCACTGTGGTTAACGCCTCTACTTTTAGGTTCCGACCGGCGTTATTGCCATTATTCGCAGTCGTTTCTTCGGCAGTATCGTCGTTCGCACGCTCAACACGCAGTCTATAACGTTCAGTGTTACATTTAAACATAAGGATTTACATAAAAAATTCAACGATAAGGTATCTAAGATCGATGAAAAGCATGATGGGTATTTTTAAACCAGACGAACGCGAATTTAACTCACGTTTTAAGGGTTCCATACTGTATTCCGAATGACGTACACGGTGCACATTAAAATAGCTAACAGTGTAGTAGGAAGTTTACCTGATTCTCTTGGTGAGGTGATGCAGCGTGCCGGCGGCGGGCGGCGGCGCGTCGCCGGCGGGCGCGTGCACGGGCAGGCGCTCCACGCTCTCGAGCACGGCCACGAGGCGCGACGCCAGCACGCCGCCCGCGCGGCCTCCGCAGCGCGAGAGCCACTCGCGGACGATGCGCTCGCGCTCTGCGGCCTGGCCTGGAACATCTGTCGAACGTCACAATCCACTAGATACGCTTTTGGAAATTAAAGCTACCATCGTTCTCCAGACTGCTTCGACCAAAAGTAACTGTTATACGGTATTACAGTGTGCAATTAATCATTTAGTACCATTTCTCACTTTAACGTATTTAAGATTGTGTATTTTAATGTGTATTTATATAATAGTTATAAACGTATATTTACTTTTACAATGTATTATTATAATGTTTGAAATGCTTTCTTCATTGTCTAAATGCTTTTTTCTCTTTAATTATATTTGACTTTATTCTGTACAAACAAGATTATTCTATTAGGTATATCCTTTATTTATCACATGATTTTATGTTTTGATTATTCTATGAAATACTTTATTTATCACATGAAACTTTAAATTAAATTAATATATTTTTTAAGCATTTAGGCTAAAGCAGTTCGAGCTGAGCTATCCGTATTCTAATAGTCGAGCGCGATAATAGCTAGCACATAACGAGCTAGTATGTGTATATTTAATGTAATCGAAATTACTGAGAAGATAGGCGCTTCACTACTCTCATATTGTAATTACATAATTCTGTATACACCATTAAACATAAATAATAGGATTCTTGCAAAATCACGTTATGATTAATTCCTATTTGTGCATATCACATGTTTATGTTTATCTACGTACCATTTGCTTGTGAAGACAGCACTTGTAACAAAGATGGAGCAAGGCCTGAGGATTGTAGCTCGTACGCAGATAGTAATTCTTCTCCACACAGTAATTCCGTCAACTGTTCCAGTGACTCAATGAGTTCGTTTTGCCAATCCTCTACAAAAGTTCCAATTAAATAATCAATAGCCAATAAGTACGTACAAATTTAAAAAATTACAAACCAAAGTTATAGTTACCGGTAGATTGTGTGGCTAGACGTTGCATACGAGCCAGTAAAGCCCGCAATCTTGCGACCGGCGGACGAGGTTGACGAGTAGCGGCATTAGCAAGGTGACGAGAGTACAAAGCACGAGCACGTTCACATACCTAGGAAAAAGTATACAACATGTGATCTATCTTTTAACGAATCTGTATACCACATATTCTGCACTTTATTTCTAGACGATTAGCAAAATATGAACAAATAATATTCAGTGGTTTAGAAACAGGACATTTAGTTTTTTTTTGTTTTCGTAATTTGCAACATCATGTGTAAATGCAGTCATAATACATTGATCTCAGGCGGCGATCAGCTGTATACGTTGCCGCTTTTACTTCACTCGACTTTTCATCTTCGTCGTAAGATGAACGACACGCGTTTTTAATTAGTTCATCCAGTACGTACTAGACTTGCAACGAATAGTATATTCGGCAGTATACCGAATACCGAATATTCGGCGAGGCCCCTGACCGAATAGCCGAATATTAGGCAAAAGTATTCGGCTGGATTTTAGCGCCAAAAACTTGTACAGACGTGAATTAAATTATGTACCTGTTTTGTACCAATGTACCAATGTACCAATGACTACTTAATAAATGATTATAAAAGAAATGAGAACCTTACCCTTCTAAATTTTGATTACCACAATAATTCAAATACATAGAATCCTCCATTTTTCCAATTCAGAAGATGATTATGTACCTGTGTTATGCACCAATGACTACTTAAATGATTATAACAGAAATCAAAATATGAATATATACGTAATCAATCGATTTTAATTTTTCATTTTACCAATTATTTCTCAATGTCAAAATATATTATTTAAGTATTCGGTATTCGGCCGAATAATATGTAGATATTCGGTATTCGGCCGAATATAATAAAAGCAGCCGAATAGGCCGAATACCGAATAGTAACCGAATATTCGTTGCAAGTCTAGTACGTACAGTCAGACGGCCCTTGGCCACCGGCGAGTGTTATGCTGTTGTGTCACGGTACTATTATAATACAGTACTGCAACTTCATACAAACGGACGAAACGGGAGCTATACCTACGCGCCTCGATCTCGGGGTGCGCTCGGGGCGCAGACAGTCACGGCTGTACCGCAGTGTCGAACGGACTGCGTGTTGTTTTTTTAACAATAACCGCGCGATTTTTTCTCTAAAAATCAGTTAATATGACGAGTAGGAAATATTGTGCTGTTTTTGGTTGTATGAATTCGTCAATAACGCATCCAGACATAAGTTTTTTTAAATTACCTGGAAACTCTGAAAAGTAAGACTATAAAATAATTTTACTTACTAGTACGTAGGTACACAATGTGTGTCTTTTTAATGGATAAGTATTTCCTTTTATCTCACGAAAAAAAAGGTGTTTGGATGAATAAATAAAGCAAATAGAGTAACGGAAAGTTATTGAGACGAGTGAAATAGGGAATTACATGCGGTTCTGAATGAATCATGATACGGTAAGTACCTACCTACTTACGCTTGTGTTAAAACTTCGGTGCATGTTTGTTTTGTTACTTTGCATAATTCAAAAAAAAGAAAATTCTACTTAAAGACGTGGTATTTTATTATTAATAATATATCTTTATTATCTGTGTGTATGAATAATACTAAAAAAAATTTGTTACCGTCTGTGTGTCATTAGACAGTTTTCGAAATTTTCACAAAGTGTTTCTGCTGCTACTATAACAACATATACCACTAAAAACTGGTTTTATTTTCTCGGTATTAACAACAACAGTTAGACTCATATATAATATTTAGATGTTTGAGGGTTGTGATTTTAAAACATTCGTAGTCAGCTGTTCAGCTTTTTAACAATTAATTAATTGGTGACCAAAGAATTTTTGTTTTGAGTTGTTGCGAGTTGTAGGTTATAGGTTAGGTAATTTATAGAGACGTTAATTAGCTGAGATAAAAAGTTACTTACTCGTCAGCTGTTTCTTGCATTCTAGTTGAGTAGGTGGTAGGTGTTGGAGTTTCTAAGGATTGGAGTTTTGTAACGCGTATGGAGAAAGCACATTTATTTTATTTTATAGAAGGATTTTTTTCGGTCGCTAATTTATAAGCCCGATTGGTTTTTCAAACAAAAAAATGTTTTTTTAATTAAATCTACCAATCAAAAAACAACACGCATTTTTATTGAACAATTCCTATTCAATATACAAAGTATTTCATTTATTTATATAAAAAGGATATTTACAATCACAAATCTAAATAGAAACAGAAAGTAGGCAAATATAATTAAAATGCTGGAGACGGGCAGCCCTAACGCATGTTTAAGTACCGCGCGGCTGTAGGCATTTATTTCTATCATGCGGCCGAGTTACAATACTGTATTATAATTGTACCGTGGTTGTGTCCTTGTAGATGCGCTCACGACAAATTAGCGTAATAATAATATTGTTGTTGCTCGTGAGATATTTGTTTAAAAAAGTTTTATTGTGTTAATAATTATAATAATTAGTCTTGTTGCTTTCGACATAATATACGGCAAACGTGTGAACAATTCATGTTATCGTGTGCGCAAGACTTCGTGTTGTAACGAGTTCCGCTAATTTTATTTTGAAAAGTGTCAATATTAGGTTTTGTGTGTAGTGCAGTGTGAAACTGAGCGAATTATCAGTCTAGTGACCTTCACAGCCGCGGGATATCCTGACATGATTTTAATTTACGGGAAACTTTATCAAAACGCATCTTTAGCTTTACGGACAAACCGAGGTATGGAATCAATCGTGTATGTCCTACGGACTGCCGAATTTTTGTAAGGGCGGTACAAAGATGACGTGACAACCATAGTACCTACTTTTTGAAGGAGTGACACGTACTGCCGGGTCCGAAACTGGTCGAGCATTTCCGAAATGAACACGTGAATAAAATCGTATTTTTAATAAATAGATTTTAAAAAGCAAGTAGTGATTAGTAGGTAGGTAATAAGAATATAAAGTTCGCCGGCCGTCGCGGCGGCGGCGACGCTTGTCGCCGACAATGCTAAACAAACGCTGCCGTATACAGTTCACCGACTCATGTGAAGAATTATGTTCTAATTCCGCAATTATTTCATTGTATTTTTGTTCTAAATTTGAATTTCTATTTTTTTTAAATTTTTATTTTAACCGACGTATATAGAACCGTGTTATCTGTTATTTCATTTTTTGTGATAGGCTTCATCACACATTGTATATCTTTAATTTATTATCCTACTAACGGCCCCGAGAGACGTCCTGACCGAACGTAATTATAAATCAATCAATTATGAATTTTCTTTTTTGTATAATAATGGATTTCGGCTATCAAGCAAGCACGTTGAAACTCACAATACTAAAATCTTATGAGAATAACAGTAAAACATTAATCAAAATGAAATAAAATAAAAGCGCGGCTGCAGCGCCACCTATCGGATTAATAAGTGACTTTAAATATGCAGGAACCTTCACACACAAAAAACGCCTGAAATATGAAAGGACGTTTATGATTCTTTCTTTTTTGGGTCGTTTTTCGCCTGCGAGACAAATTCGTCGTATATAAATGGCCTAAAATATAATATAACCTTAATTGAGCATGTGAAATTTTTGTTGTAAAGTAATTTAAAACATTAATTAAATTTCTGAAGATTTTTGTGTTGCGAACAATCCGAAAGGAATAAGAACTCAGAATTATTTAAACAGTGTCAGAAGAACTTTCAAGCTTTAACCTAATTTCATGTACAAAAATTCAATAACAAAAGCCATTTTTTATTTACAAAATCAAAATTGCCAACTTCCGTTACTTTTCTGCCTTGCAATTAAATAATTATGTGACATGGGTTACTTACAAAATGTAAGAGACAATAATATAGTGATCGTAAAATTTAATGAAGGCCCGATACCGACAATTCCAAAAATAAACTTCTGAAAATTTCAGGGAATTTCCGTAGCCAATCCCCTCCCACCCCTGCAGATGGGCGATGATTCGTTGGCCTATAATGCCAAGGAGAAAGCCGATCTCCTAGGTGAGCTAGCTCTTTGCGTCCAACTCGACTTTGGATGATGGGGGAAACATACCGCCAACCATACCGCGATGCCAGAGCTGTATGCCGGAAATCCGGTTCACACAGAAATCACTGCGTAAAGCACTCTTTTCCCAATGGAATCTCCCCTATCGTGCTGAAGACGTGTGCTCCAGAGTTGGCACCGGTTTTAACTCGCCTTTCTCGACTCTCCTACTCCCTAGGCGCAGGTAGCGTTTGAGCACCCGATCCCTAGTAAAGGTGTCCGCTCTGATCCGTTTAACTACAGGCCTATAGCCATAACTCCTTTGTTCTCTAAGGTTATGGAATCCTTAATCAACTGCCAGCTCCTCCGGTACTTGGAAAATCACCAGCTACTCTATGACCGACAATATGGTTTTCGGCGGGGTCGCTCAGCTGGTGATCTTCTTGTTTATCGAACACACCGATGGGCACAGGCAATCGAGACCCAGTGAGCTTGTGCGGTAAGCTTGGACATAGCGAAGGTCTTCGATCGGGTGTGGCATAGGGCGCTTCTCTCGAAGCTCCATTCCTATGGGCTTCCCGATAAATTATGTAACTGGGTCACCAGTTTCCTTGCAGGTAGAAGCATTAAGGTCGTTATCGACGGCGCATGCTCCGACTTGAAGTCAGTAAATGCTGATGTCCCGCAAGGCTGTGTACTATCACCCACGCTGTTTCTTCTGCATATCAATGATACGTTCCGAACTTGTGGCATCCATTGCCATGCAGATAATAGCATGAATGAAGCGTCCTTAGCGGAGGTTTCAGCTTGGGGTCGACTGAATCTGGTCCATTTAAACCCAAAAAAGACACAGGTATGCGCGTTGACCGCAAAAAAGATACCGTTTGTCGTATCGCCTTGGTTCGAGAGCACCTCCCTGACTCAGCCAGTATTGCAATTCCAGGGATCGAGATATCGAGCGAAGTCCAGTTTCGCGGTCATTTAGAGGGTAAGGTCAAATGGGCCTCGAATAAGCTCGGTGTGCTGAACAGATCGAGGCAGTATTTCACTCCAGCCCATCGCCTCCAACTCCTATAAGGCGCAAGTCCGACCGCATATGGAATACTGCTCTCATCTCTATGCAGGGGCACCACAGTACCAGCTTTTACCCTGGATCGAATACAAATTATGTTTTATTATGTTACGTAAATATGTAGCTTCGCTCTGCGATAGAGAACTATCGTATATATCATGGAGAGTGCTCCGAGGAATTGTTCGGACTAATACCGGCCGCAACCTTCCGGGATCGTTCCACACGGCCAAAATTTTCATCCCCACCACTTGGATAATTGGCGCTACACCACTGTGCGCTTTTCAAGACACTTTTTGCCACACTGTGGAACAAGTTATCGGCTGCGGTATTTCCGGACCGATACGACCTTCAAGAAAAGAGCGTACTCCTTCCTCAAAGGCTGGCAACGCGCTTGTGTCTCCTAAGTTGGAGACGCTTATGGGCGGCGGTAGTCGCTTTGCATCAGGTGACCCGTCTGCTTGTTGGCACCCTATTCCATAAAAAAAAAAATTACAAACCTGCGCTTTCAATGCCTCAGTTTTCGCCGAAAGTCGTGATCTACTCTGATTTGGAGCAGTATTATTAGTTGCTACGGGCCTACGGTCTGTCCACCCGCTTGCTAATTCGGGACCTAAAAATACAAAAATAGGACGTGAAACTAAACCTAAACCAAGAACGACTTTATAAATTTATTTGTAATAGCTTGTTTGGCACAATATTAGAATCCTTAATTAGTATTCTTATCAAGTAAATAGTATTCTATTAGTATCCTTAATTAGTTTTCTTATCAAGTACAATAATAAATATTTAAATTTATTAAATACTTTAAATGACTTTTGGTGTAGAGAATACAACAACGCCATAGGCGAGTTAGATTGTTAAGCGAGGTTTATTGATGGCAAAAGATGCTCCTACTTTTCAACCCAAGCTAAAACTACATTCGACTCGGGCGCATATTGTGCACTTCAGGTTCTACACAGGGTACAGAAGAACAGCTATGGCCTGTAGGCTTTTGGATTATCTTGTTAAATGCACTTCAATAATTTATAACACGAAAAATCACTTTAAACTTACCTAAAAATGTTTCTGCTGTAAACGAATGTTTTGTACCCCTGTTAGACTCGAATATGAAACCGGCTAAATCTTCTCTGAGTATTGTGGTTTGTTGTTGGCCATCTGTATTATGTACTTGAAGTTCTTTTTCCCTTAAAATGCAAAATCGTTGTTAACACTATACCTACCTTATATTGATTTTTATGATGAAGTTTAAAAACCTAAATTTACTATTTATTATAGTACATCTAATCTAAGAGGTACGGTTTGACAGTTCTTACAGATTGAAGAAAAGGGAAGGGGTCAAAGAAATTGATTACTACAATATCCGATTCTTAAGAGGTTTAGATATCATTTCTTTGTATTTACAAATCGACTACAGTTTTAGATTTATGTATGTTACTATACTCTACTATCTACTCTATTTATGTAATCTAGAAAGATGAACATTGGTAAAATCACACTTAGGTAAAGACAAATAACTAACACAACTTCAGTTTGTGTCAACAATGCTAATAATAACTGGTAAAATAGCTCGAAAATACATCTTGCACCTTATTTTATGGTAGTCAACACAAACGTCGACTGGCCGGATGGCGTAGTGGTTTAAGCGGTCGCCACACCGCTTCCTACTACGCTGAGTGTTGTGGTAGGTGCAAGTAATTTTCAACGTTATGAATTAGCACAATGAACAATTTCTTTTCAATAGGTATTCATGATCAGTGTCATTTCGGTCAACCAAAAGAGACGTATTTAGAGAAATGTCTTAAGGGCGATAATTGCTTCCAAATGCTTTTTTCATTTGTATGTGTTGAAATCTTAAGTAGAACTACGTGGAGATAATTAAAAGACTGTACAAAAATCTACCGTAAAGCGAATATATGCTAAAGTAAACAAGGGCTGTGTTACTTATTATATTGATAGTAATGAAATCAATAATTAATGATTCACGAAATGAGTAAATTAAATATATTTTTATGGTAAGTACGTATGCTTGCGAGTGCGCAATATTCAGTTTGAAGCTAACTTCATTGGCGCGTATTGTAAACAGTACTACAAGACGTCTGGATTGAAAATGGCAGGTTATTAATAAATTCGATTAAGCGTATACAATTGAATTTGAAGAGTCGCAACACTACGGTAAAGGACCAACTACGCGCCTTTGAAACGAAGTTAAAAAAAAATATCTATTGCATATGTTGGTTATTTTGCTTTGTTTTCAAACAAAGCAAAAGATATTTTGCTGTGTTTAAAAAAAAAGGAAAATAACTTTTGCTTTGTTTGCAACAACCAACTAATATATGCAAAAGATATATTTTTTAAATCGTTGACGATTTACATTTAAGTTTAGTCATTAAGAATTGTATATCTTGTGGTAAAATAGAAATAGCTTCATAATTTTGTGCGTTACGCACATACAAAGTTGTTGTGGCTTGAAAAATATGAAACGTCAAACGATACCTCTTAGATTAGAGGGGCTATACTTACTTTTTACATGACAGTGCCCAGTTTCCAATTATAAGTTTAGCAGATCCAGGTTTAGACAAAATCGGTTGAGGAACTGAATTTTTTACCGAAGCTCGCGCTCTTTGTAGTTTATCAATAAATTCACCACGATTCTCTGTAATACATAAAAGTTTTTTTTCATTTATCAAGATTATGGAGAGGCAGCAAAGCTTTACCTTGCCTTAATATGTAGTTCCTTAGGAAGTAATATATAAAGGATACGTGCATTATAGAAGTGGCTCTCATAATATAATTATTGTAAGAAAGAGACTTGATCCTAACCACATGAAAATCGCCTGCTACTGTCAAACTTGAGTATAACCAACACGCCTCTGTAAGATACATTTACGCAGAGTCACACAGTCCCAACTGAATAAGCGCTTAATAATAAACCTTGTCATGAACATGGAAGTGAAAAACGTTAAATTCCAACTACTATATGGGAAATGAGAATAAATATCAAGACGGTACTCGCTTATTTATTGAAATCCTTTCAATCTAAGATCTATCTAAGAGTATGAATTCGAAAGCATTCTTTTCGGAAAAAAAGGGACAAGCCAAACACCCACTGCAGTGTCAATTTAACTCTTCAGGAAAAGGAGTATTTAACCATGTTGTGTACCTTGAGTATATTATACTTTTTCATTTTAAAATTAACTTTCATGCAATTCCATGCTGAAATTTAACCTTTAATGTAAAGAATTAAATTGCTTCACGGTTTTATTAATTATTGCTTTATAGTTCAATATTATGTCCGATAGTTGTATGAGCAGTCATAATCTGGAAAGCATAATTCTCACTGCGAAAGTATTTCTACCCAACACGTATTTTCACAACGAAGTATGTACTAACCGTAGAATTATATGTATGGAAATATATATAAGTAACTTCTCCACGAAATCCACTCTCGGAACCGATGACCTAGATGGTTGTGCCACCAGATAGGGAATTTCGGTATAGGTAATAGTTTAGAATAGTTCACTGTTACGTCATTTATAAAACCATAGTTACCAGTATTATCAGTTTGATGTTCGGGACTGCCACTAGAGTACATAGTGGCTAGCTTTCCATCGAGTAAGAAGCGGAACCAGCCATTACTGCCTGTGCTAAGCTCCAGCGCGGCCGCATCGCTCCACACGTAGAGGGCGTCGCGGCCACGGCACAGGGACCACTCTCCCCAGGAATACGCCACGCCACTTGAAAGACATGACGCGTCTTCACTACATCCTGCGTACAAATATACTTCGTAAGTACAGAGTTAAAGACCAATATAACGAGGCCCAATCATACTGGCGATAAGAAGCTAGTGACTGAAGCCTTACTCTTAACAGATGCGACATAAAATTTTCACTTTTATTAAACATGATTTTATTAGTATTTCTTGAGCACATCAGCTCTTTTTATGTAAATAAGTTGCAGGCACCAGCTAGTTTAAGAAACATTTATTTACTGACGACCTTTACCTGGCATGCTTGAACTATCGCTGTCCGAAGAGAAAGCCGCTGGGGCTGCTGCCAAGTTTTCTACCTTGCTGAACACGCCAAGTCGAGCAAACTGTTCCAAATATATGTCCGAAGCCTTCACCATCAATTCCTCCGCAATACCAATTACAATAAGATGGCCGTCGTCGTCATCCTGTGCAAAAATAATATAACTTGTTAAACTGCTCTAGAAAATATTATACGTGATTGTTACTAGGTCTTTGTAACGATATTCTCCAATCTACACTTCAATACTGCATTTTCATCCTAGAAATTGTTTAGGTCTAAAGCATTTTAATTTTATTAGAATTTCTTTATTAGCAAGAATCAATAATGATTAACTGGTTTATTATTCCAACTTATGGATTATACGACAAGACATACAACAATCAAAAGGGCATATTCAAACAAAACAAAAGAAAAGGAGGTCGATGCAAGTAAATTTCGATGGTGTGATGTCTTTACATAAAATGTGGATGCATTGAAGAATAAATGAGAGCGTGTGAAACAATAAATATTTATACCAACTCAGCACTTTACAAATAATTAGTATTTTAATTCTGGTGAACATGGCTTTTGAAACTCATTATTTGTTTAGCTATTCTAAGCTGGACAAATTGGACGGCGCCGTCACTTGGATTTAGGCCTCACGGTGAATGTCAATGATAACACATGAAAACCGTGCAGTGTTTAAGGCAATAATGTTACGGCCCTAAAACGGATGACCGAATTCTGGCAATACATTTAAATAATATTAGTTTACAGTAGATTAGACAGTGTTGCTACCTCATTTTTGTATAAGTGGCTAGTCATAAACATGTGTTAGTTATTTTAATTCATGCGAGACGATTTATAAGAGGTTTCTGTCGTTTTTGACATGAATATCTGTTTGCTTCAAAATTATTATTTAAATGTGTTTTTTTTTTTTTTAATTATTTTTAACATGTAGCATATTTGAGTTTTTTTTTGTTGTAATCGAAATTAAGTTTTGTGAAAAAAGACGAGTAAATTCGCTTTGCACTAAACGCTGGCAAACCGGTTTAGGATTCAAAGAGTAAAAAGGACTAAAAGCTAGCAACACTGATATTTGGGCCAGATAGTACATTCATAAGTTTTTCAAAACTGCATAGAGTCGGTTAAAATTGTTGAATAGCATACCAAGTTCTGTTTCAATTACAATTGATATTTTGATCGATTGAATCTTAATATAAGTGGCGTTTAAAGAAAAGAATCATTCGTTATAGAGCCGGTTAAGATCGCGGGTCACGCGGGAGGCAGGGAGCATCACACCATCGGAACATTACCGCCGGCGCGCGGATATAGCGGCTGCGCAGGTACCGCGGCGGGGCCCGGCGAGGTGCCAGCTCGGCCTGCCACACACACAGGGTACACTCACCTTTACAATCCACTACCGTTAAAACGTATCTGCAGACTTTAATTGAAATAAAAGCTCTAATTGCATACTATCTTTAGAAATCAAACATAGTCGTATTAACGTCTACTCTGCGTCTTTTAAATATGCGACACCTTGCGTTTGATTCACCTGGATAGTGTTTACAAAAAAAAATTGAAACTTTAATCGAGAAAAAGAAAATATTTGAAAGGCGGGAGCCCAAAATAAGGGAAGGTCGAGTTGCGAGCACAGTTACTCACGGCGTTGTCGAGCACGGCGGCGATGAGCTGCGTGAGCAGCGCGGCGGTGTGCGGGTCGCGGCGCGCCGACAGCGCGCGCAGCAGGCGCGCGGGCGCGTAGTGCACCATCTTGCGCACCAGCGACAGGCACGCGCGCCGCACGCCCGCGCCGCCCGCGCCCAGGTAGCGCGCGCAGAACACCGGCACCAGCCGCCTACGGGCACGACAACCGCTTAGACCTCTTTAGGAAAATCTATTGGCATCCGTTTACGACCCCAGTAGGAATAAAGGAAATCCTGTAACGAACGGGCACCGGCTCGCATGTCGCACCAGATCCGTTCGTACAGCGTCGCACGAATGCACGTAAACCTAATATAGTTTCGAAATCACCTCATCATCATCATCATAATGATCAGCCTATCGCGGTCCACTGCTAATGGTCATATATTACTTAATAGCCTTAATTTTTTTTTAATAATATCTTCAGTTAATGCCATAGAATAAATTCAAACAAAGACTTATGACGACATAACGGTACTCACTCTAGATAAACCGCGGCCATCTCCTTGTCACCGGTTTCAGGAAAATCGTCATCGTTGGAGGGTGAAGGTGAATCATGACTACCGACTACCAGCCACTCTCCGGGACACTGAAGAATTGCTGCTACTTCTCTGTGGCCTATAACAATATACCGAACACTTTATAAAAAGAAAATACGACACAGGATCAACAATAAAATACCCACAACTGGTGTTACTGATTACTATCAGCCACATTATTTGAAACCTTAATAATGTGGAAAAACCAACATAAAAGTTCATAATAAACATTGCAATTGCAAATAAATATGTATTTATGCCTATATTAAAAATGTTAACAATTACAACCTTTTTAGAAATAGTAATATTTATTTATCAATGTACGTAAAATTAATATTAGATGTTGCATATAATCTTAAAATAGGTCACTACATTGTACCCATAAGCATACAAATTTTAATAATTGTTAAATCCTAATTAAAATTAACAACACAATACCTTAAATTTTATACCATATATATAATAACAAAACCTTAAATCTTATACCATATATTATTAGACCTAAAAATACACACAACTACAAAAAAATTAACAAATAAATTAATCATACTTATAATCAATAAACTCAGTTGTAGAATAAAAACTTTTTTCATGAGGAACTCCTTGAAAACTTATTTAAAACTATTTAATTATAAATCTCTAATTTCTAGGGAAATTTTGTTACATACTATTGGAGCCATTTCAAATATACTATTTCTAAAAAGTACTGTGTTACTAGGACAGGAATCTAACATCTGCTGGTTCTTTTTTACTAAATAAATATGAAATGTTTTTGACAAATACTTAATTACCTTAAATATATATATAGTGCACACTACACTAGAGAACGTAAGTAAATTAAATTGTTAGAAATATGGCTGACAACTATCCCTCGAACTTAAATTTCATATTGCACTTATACATTTTTTGTGCTAAAAAAACTCATTTTTATCAGTAAAATTTCCCAAGATCACTATGTCGTACCTTAAAATGGATTCTACATAACTATGATAGGCTACAAGTACGGTTTCATGATTCGCATGCTTAGAAATTTTGTAGGCAAGGCAAAACTATTTACTTTCTTACATAGTTTCTCTATGTGCTGTTTCCATGTTAGCTTATTATCTAAAATTATTGCTAAGAATTTGGTGTTCTCTTTTTTAGTGATTGGTACTCTTTCATAATTAATGTTTACCGGTTTTGGTAATGTCGTTGATTGAATTGCATGATGTGAGTTTTGTCTAAATTTATTTTTAAATTATTGTGTTGTAGCCATTCTATAGTTAGTTTTAGCGTATTATTCACTTATTCTTCTTCTTTTTCTCTTCTTCGTAAGATTTTATGGTCCACATAATCAAACGCCTTGGTCATACACAAGGCGCATTTAAGTACTCTGTTATCCACACTTTTCATAATTTGTTTGAGAAAGTCAAAGATGGTAGCATTTATTCACTTATTTGAGCTAGAAGAGGCTGGTCATCTGTCATGCAGGTTTTACCTAGTATGGATACCTCTCACACAGATTTTCATTTGCTCGTAATGTAAAATTAATCTATAACTTTGTTACTAGTAAACCTAGCACCCTTTGGTGCAAGTATTATGTATTGTTAAAGGAATTTAATATTATAATCTGCCTTTTCAGTGTATAAAGACAAAAGATTCCGTATGTTTCATTTGGTAGGAACACAGTTTACTGAACATTTTTTTTTTAGGATAAGTTTTAGTACCAATAAACTATGGGGATGACAGCATTGGGTCCAGTTTCGCTATGTGGTTTGTTATTATGTCTGTAATAGGATTATAGAGCTCCGTACCTTGATCATGTCTCTCTCGAGCTTTGTCTAAAGGTGTTTTTCCATCCTCGTCTCTTAAATCGGCATTGGCACCATAACGTAGGAGTACCTTTGCTATTGCAGGCCGTCCAAAGCACGCAGCGTAGTGTAATGATGAACTGCGTTGACCACGATTCACGTCAGCGCCTAAAACAAATTTCAGTTTCAAAATATTAGAAGATTTTAAAGGTTAATTGTAACAAACACTTATCACTTTATCCTGATGGTAAGTGACTACCGTCGACCAAGGACACCTGAAACTCAAGACTCACAAGGGTGTTGTCGTCTTTTGAGTCCCACCTCCCTAGAATTATGGGGGAATGGAGGGGGGGCGGTGGGCGGGGGGTTGGGGGTTGGAGGTTTCGGTACTCTGTGAAAAGCAACGAGCACTGCTTAATATCGGTTTTCTGTGAGGCCGTGGTATCACTCCAGTTGAGCCTAGCCCATACGTGACGAAGCATGAATCTCAAACGATAAAAGCATCCCACTTTTTAGCATCTAATAATTTACATATTTCTACTGAAATAAAAAAAAAATCTAACCCTTTTCGCAAAGAAACTCGACCATCTCTCGTGTGCCGAAAGCAGAAGCCCAATTTAAGAGAGTTTGTCCGACATCATCAGTGAAGTTAACATCGACAGCACCACTGGACACGGCGGCAAGAAGTGCGTCGGTATCTTTCCCACGGATACAGTCTATCAACTGCCTGTGCGACTTGTCTCCGCGAGGCCCGCTACTGCCGCTACCACCGCTGGACCCTTCGCCGCTCGCCCCGCTAGCTACTCCGCTCGCAGCGCCAGCACTGGAGCCCGACGTCGATCCACCATTACGGCTCGAACCGCTAATATGCAATAATGATATAGAATAAATCATACATATATTTGTATATTTTGTATTTCAATGGAGTAAATTTTAGCGAGAATAATGGTAAGTTATAGTACGCGCAGCAAATTGATATTTTAGGTATCAGAGGGGTAATTTCTGCGCATCGGAAAGAGACGAGGGGGCACTTGTTGCACCGCTGCATTGTCAGTAGTGCATCTCGCTCTAACATATTAAGCGACTTATCTGCTTTGCTCTAACGTCCTGTTGTGAACATAATTGTTAAAAATAAACTGTTAATATTGTCATTTGCATTGTTTACGAGTATGTTTGTTATTGTTTGGTTTATGATTGTAAGTTGATTTCCCACTTTTAAAACTCCGATTTCATTACTATGATGCATGACCTAGCCTGATGAAATAGTAATGATGAGAAATTTTTCGTCTCCTCTATTTACAAGTAAGAAACACATTACAGATTATATTTACGCCGCGTCAGTAACAACACTTACAATTACACTAACAACAGTAGTGCGTAAAAATTAAACTGTTAATCATTGTCTAGACTAAAAACTATCTTTAAACTATTATCTTATTGATTCTTTACAGGCTCTTTTCAATGTGTGCTATAAAAAAGTATTTTTTATAGTGTCGTCATATCCTGCTACTACATCTAAATTGTACATACAATTTTGTGTTCTCGTAATATTAAAGTACCACTACACTTACTTTTGTATAGCGTGTCGCCCCTCACACAAAAGTACAAGTAACAAGTCCACGAGTCGCATGCACTCAAGGCACCAACGCTCGTCCGCCTGTACAGCAGCCTCTACCGCAGAACATAATTCTAGACGCACGAGATCCTATACAAAAAAAAAATTTTGTCAAAAATTTGTCATACTGATTCATTCATGACTAATCAATGAGTAAACATTTTACAAAAACTGTTAAATCAACTTACATGTGTAATTTGTGCAGAACCTCTACATAATGTTGAGAGCAAACTAACTGTTGTTGACACTGATGGAGCGGAACACTTATCGTCACCACTCTCCGCACTTCCCAACCGCCGTACAAGTTCCTCAATCAGACCTACGACACGATAAAGTTAGTATTTTAGTTTTCTGATGACAATGACATTAAAGCACTCAGAAATTATGTTTTAAAATATGTTTAATCGTATAATTACGTCTACGTCTTTTAAAAGACAACTCCCGCTCTAAGAATATAACCTTGTGTCGAAGGGGACTTTACAAACATACATGAAACGGACACAAAGAACACCCAGATTTAGGACAATAATTTATGGATCACACAAAGTGATGTCCCATGTGGGGATCGTGTTTTTTTTGGTATTAATAGACACGTGGCTACAGTGCCACCAGAGAATCGTAAAACGGTTTATTCTGAAGGTACACGACCAATTGTTTGCCAGAAGTCTTTGAAAAAATAATTAATAATAAAGGACAGCGCACAATCCTTCTTCATCATGACAATGTTAGCTGCCACACATCGGCCTAAACAACTCAGTATTTGCCAGATCAAAAGATCAAGTCAACGGGTCATCCGCGTACAGTCCTTACTTGGCCCCTTGGCCCAACCATGAAGAACAAATTACGTGGTCAAGGCTTTTCGTGAAGACGCTTATGATGCGTTTAAAATGCACTTTTTGGAGATACCACAATCAGAATGGAAAGAGTGCAACGATAATTGGTTCCAACGTATGCAAAAGGGCATCGATTATCACGGCGAATATTTTGAAAAACAATAATACTATAATAAATGCTATACGTTTGTTTTACTTTGTTATTCCCGATACATAAATAGCAGCCCACGTAGTACAATTCAAACTGAACACTTCACTTCATCAGAAATTACAATCCTAATAAAATCAGAACAACATAAATGTATTTTAAATTCAGAAAACTTGAAGACTTATTTTGTTCACTTATTAATAAACATACCATGTTCGGCAAGAGGAGCAGGATCGGCATGTGCACGCGCAAAACGGTCGGCAAGTGACGCAAAGCACCGCAAGGCTGCGTCCGCAACTCGAGCATCACTGTGACGTAACAGCGAGGAAAGTGATGATACCGCATCTCCTACACGGGAATTGCCCGGTTCCATTTTACCACAAACTCTGTAAAAAAATATGTAATAAATAGTTAAATATGTATTTAAAAAACAATGGAAACTATTTATTCCATGTCTATAGAAACATTACCTCGAAACTACAGCCATAGCTGAATGAAGAGTATCTTTATGGACAGAGGTGCCATGATGCGTAATAAAATGTAGTACAGCAGGGAGGCCACCTCCCTCCCATACAGCACCAGCTTCTCTTGTACATACCAATTCCAGTACCTGGAACATGTGTTTTTAATATTTAGAAAGGCTGTCAATAAATAATAATGAAGCTTGTTTCTAATCCAACTTACTTTTATACACTGCTCGGCAAGATCCCTGCTAGTACGGTTGTTAGGGTCTACTGTAAGTAATCTGCTGCATATAGCTTTTACAGCTCCCTCAATGGCTACAATTCTTCTCGTACATTCAGCTAAAATTACAACGAAACATCTCAGTAAGTTGTGACATTGATGTAACTATTAATTCAAGCATGAGAACATAATGACAATGATACTATTGCATAAGAAAACCATTTAATAAAATTATAAATAGCTGTATACAAAATCAAACTCCATTCAATGGTCTTTGCTTTTAAAGAAATGTTTAAGAGTACTGTGAAATTCCATGATTTATAATGACTAATATGGGTATTTAAGCGATCAATAGGTATTACATACATTTTATTTTTTAACATTTCAACAAATTTGCACTGGTTGTTCATAGTCAGCATCACACAGTTGATTTATTATGTTTATTAATTCCTATATTAATACTTTTTATTTCGCCTCGAAGACATTATTTTAACCAATTGGTATAGATACAAGAGAATTTAATCCCTGAATTGCAACATGGTGTCATTTTATTGCATATTATAAAATACTTATATGACATGACGGCAGAGAAGATCAAAACATGGTACTTGATTTTAACATAGACCATTGAGATTAGTAAAGTACTATATACTATGCTTACAATTTATAATACAGATATTTTTACATTATAATTGTGTTAATTATTATAGTTATTGACAAGGATCCCCATTAAACCAGAACATGACAATCAACAGCTTAAAACTAACCTGATACATCCAAATAGTAGGTAATAGCTCTAGCAGTGACTTCCAAAACATTATCAGGTGCACATTCATCTAAAAAGATTTTGCACAGTGCTGGAAGAAATGTTCTGGGCGGGCAGCTGAAATACAACATTATTAGTTTAGACATATTATTAATACAACCCTAAAATCAGTGTAGTTATAACCCAGTAAACTATAAAATGTGTGATTGTTGTCAAAAACCTCAATGTCAAGTTTTTGTTTTCTGGTAGCATAAACTCCATAGGCTTACTTTATTTTTAAGTAAAACAAGGTTAGTATAAATATTTCTCAATAAACAAGTATTCACTTATGGTAGAATTATCATCTTTTGAGACTATTTAGAAATCACATAATTAAAAAACAAAAATGAATAAATAACTAATTACACATACCAGACAATGTGAAACGCAAGACACAATCTGGCAAGCTAGATAAAGCAAAAAATGTTTCACAAGTTGCAAATACTGCATGTTTGCATTGTGCAACATATTTATATTCTAGCCTCAATAAAAGATACTAAAGTGCATAGTGTGGACAATATCTCCTGTGTTTTACCAGACCTCAAAAGCAGCAACAATTCTTGTTGCAATCAAATGATTTGGTACTTAGTAAGCTTTAACTCACTATAGTATAGTATTACACTTATTCAATAATGGACATTATACCAACTCTCAATTTTACTGTATTTATGAGTAACAGTCATTATAATTTTTATTATCAAAACAGTGAAAAAATAGCTCAAAACTTGGTGCGGTGACAAAACATCCACAAATAGATTGTATTTTGGTTCTTATGAAAAGCTCAGGACAGGGTGTGGCAATTAAAGAAAGATCACACAGTGAAATTTGTTGTGTCATGTTCAATGGGTGGTGAGTGTTTTTATAACACCCAGAATAAGAATTTCACTATGAGCATCTTCTGTTTTTGAGCGAAAAGTACACAAAGCTGAATAGGCTAACACATGCTTCATTTTCTGATAAACAATCAACAAAAATATTTTTAAATAGTAATTAGTAGAGTTTTACATACCTTTCAAAGCATCTATCAACATTATCCGACATGAGCAGCAGCATGCAAAGCTGCTCGAGGGCAATGAGCTGCATATCCCGCTCATCACCTTGCCCTGTCAGCAACCACTCCAACAATGTTTCTGGATCCACTTCTGCCATCTGTGGATCAACAGACGAATAGTTGTCATCAATAGATACGGTTATTACATATCACTGGGTTTGAACACTTCTTCATATACCCAGTAATATCTATTAGTTATATCCATGCATTGTGTAGTGACGGATTAAGAATATGGAGTGTCACCACCTTTTAAGTATTATGTTTCTGATACAAAAAAGTGAAACAAATACAAGAAACATAAATCAAATGTTTACCTTGTTGACTCAGTGGCCCAGATCACCTGTAACAAGTAATGTTTGTCACCAATACATAGTCTCTATTATTTACTCGTATTATTAATCACATGTCAAAATAATTGAAATGTAAAGAAATGAATATTGTTAAAATAAATATAACACGTTAATAATAATCTACTCTTGGCTTCAAACATTATGAAACTAGTTCAATGAACTTAATTGAATAGGATTTAAAAAAAATACAAAGTAAAACCTTTGAAATGTCTGATAGGGATTGATTTTAGAATTTTTTATTAATTCCACACAATATAAAACAATCCATTTATTTATAATTATATTATATGTAGGTTACGGCCTATTAGGACAAGAATAATGTGGAGAATGGGCCTTTCTCTTTCGTAACAGTAGTTTAAAGGATGACGGCCACATTTATTGGACACATAAAAATAAATACACTAAATTAAAATACGTTTTGCAATTAAAAACACAAACACTGTTGAATAAGCATAATAAATAAATAAATAAAGTCATAGGACAAGAGTGAAGGTGACAATAAATATCTTACCACTTGCACTCAGTTGTAACTAATCATCTATATCTAATGAAATGCACTTCAAACTATTTTAAAATCTGATATTTTATGAACAAGAATAATCATTAGTTGTGGAATAGAACGCAATTTATTCGCACGAGATTTTCTACAGAATATTCTTGACATCGAAATCATCAATCGCCATTTCCACAGATAAATGAACTATTTTTATTGGCAACACTGAACTTAATTTTTATTTTAAATTCTATTAATGTTTATGGTTACAACAACTTGACGATTTCAAGAAGCTTCTATAGGTATTTTTTCTCTGCCTAAGCGGCAAACGGCTGGCTTACTAGACTACTAGAAAGTAAGCTGGTAAGTAGAATGCGATTCTTGAATTCACCCTCTCCACCTAGCAAACGAAGGAGCTCGAACAATATGTTTCAGAGTTTATCCTCCCATCAACAAATTTTAGGGCAGAGAAAAATATGGTTTTTGTCGATTCAACTTCGACATGATCACGGTGTACAAATAAGTATACCAGTAGTACCAGTGAGTATGGCGAGAACAGAGTTTAGTAAACAACGGGTACGTCCTCAAAAACTTGCGCTAGTGGTCTAATGATTGCAAAGCAATCAGATATTCTGGCGATGGTAGCCGCATTACTGTATGAAATTATAGTTTGTCGGAAACACATGTGTGGTTTATAAGTGCTGTTTCCCTTTTTTGATGGAATCATGTAAACCTACAGTAGGTGTCTTATGTCAAAGATTTGGCAATAAGCCTTGAATGTTGTTAATTTAACCTTCGTGTTCTGTACAAACCTACGTACTATCATATTACACCTAATGGCGATCCGAGAAACCTACGCTCACATTTTTTGTACGAGTAACAAACGGGTACAAAGTAAAGGAGAAAATAGTGTTATGGTGGTTGCTAAGAAACCATTTAATGATAAACAATGAAATAGTTTTCTTTTAATCTTGGAACTTCTTAAAATAAGAATAGTTTAACAATATACCATAAAGGCACGAAATATTTACATATTGGTTTTCTTGATCTTGTTAGTAGTATTTTGTCTACTACAAGGACTAACAAAATTGCAATTGTACACAATTGATGTATCTCATTTAGTCAGTAGTGGGAATTTAGTCAATATGCCAACAATACCAGAAATAGCCACACAATTGATTGATAAAAGCTTATCAAATGTTAACGAGAACAACTCAAGAACTGTTTTCCTTGTCGGAAGTAAATCCGTGGTAAGAAAACCATTCATTTTTTATGCTGTTGAATAAGCATTATAAGCATTTATTTATCGTTAAAATGTTACACAATTGTTACATTACCTATGATAGCCACACTAGGCGCAGCCTGTATCGTGGCTATCAATAAATACGATTAACTAACGCCTAGGACTTAAACTATCCCAAAAGAATTCACATTTAAATAACAAAAATAAATAGATAGCTGCATATGAGTATGTGTGTGAGAGTGTGAGTGAATGAGTGTTTGTCAGAGTGTGAGTAAGTGTGTGCATGATGTGTGTGCATTTATGTGTATTTATAGGTAAGGCTGGAGTATTGGTACAAATAAAAAGGGGACACCTGGTGCGACACGTCAAGCGATAGTTTGAATACGTGTACCCGTGGGAGTCCCCGAGTATCACCTAGATTAACAAAAGATCGTGCTTTCACACATTTTTTTGTCCTCGTTAGGAATCGAACCAGTCTTGGAATTATGACGTCTTGATATCAATTCCAGTACAACTTTGGGATAAAAAGTTATATATATGTAGTATATGTATGTGAGTATAGTAGTGATATTTTTTTGTTATGTTCTTTTTTCTTACACATCTTACACACGGCAGTCTGGTCCCAAACTTGGCAGGTCCTGTATTATCGTAACCAATCTACTGATAATCATACTTATATATTTCTGAATACATACACATTATAAATACATTACACCCATACATTAGGTGTATGTTGTTCAAAATCCCACCCTAAGGAATTACAACAGAACCGTACGACAACCGTGGCCTTTGACCAAAGTTATATCCTTTATGTTTTTTATAAAAGTTCTTAAGTGCTTATGTTTTTAATTCACATTACATCAACAGTCTTTAATAGTCAGTGGACAATAGTGGAGTGTACGGGAGTGGCTGGACATAGGCCTCTTTTTAGAAAAGAGGTTTAAAGGTGGTTGTGGTTTGTTTTTAATGAATTGTACAAAATACTTATAATTATTTTTTTGTTTTAGGGGAAATCTTCTTTACTACATTACTTTCTTGATAAAAGCGATCAGCCACGGGAAACTTTAGTGGTAGAGTATTCATTCGCAAGGAAATCAAATCAAAAACAAGGAATTGATAAAGCTTTGTGCCATGTTTGGGAATATGGTGGCAAATTGGAAGCACTAAACAATGTGCTGGCATCAATTCCTGTTCGCGGTCAATTCTTTTTCTGTATTATGGTAGATTTAAGTAAAATTAAAACTATATGGGACACTTTAGAAACTTGTGTTCAGACGATGAAAGACATTACATATGTTACATCGGAAAGTAAACCAGAACTGATTGTAATTGGAGGAAAATACGACAATTTTAAAAATTATGGTTAGTTCACCAAACATTATATTTACCTGATGACTACATTGTGTTGAAAGAAATACTTAAGATGTAAATGTTCAGTACGCTTCTTGGAAGAGGTGTATCGTATGAGAGTCATTGTATCGACTTGCACGTTTGTAAGACAAACTCAAAATTTAAAACAAAAAGGTTTATATTGAGAGAGATAGATTTAAGAATTTAGAAGGATACCACTGGTTTGCACAGAGCTTTCTAAGTAAAGATTGAATAAATTTATTTGTTGCTTACAAATAAAAATTAATGATATTCTTTTTATTATTACCAGTTATTCTTCTATCTATATTCCTAACACAAAAAGAACAAAAATCAACTTTTCGTATATTAACGTTTCAGATAGTGAAATTAAGAAAATCATCTGCATGACGATAAGAAGCTTTGTGCTGCTTAATAATGCCCATTTGTTATTCTACTCATTAAAGGAGCCACAGTTACTGAGACGCGCAAAAGATATGCTGTTCAATGTAGGCTTTGGAAATGGAATTCCTGTCAAGGAAAAAAATACTAACTTTACAAAGCCATTATTTATACCTCAAGGCTCAGATACTTGGGAAAGCCTTGGAGTACCTCCTTCAACCATGGAACAGGTTAGTTCCTGTAGTACACACATAGTAAGACTGTATAAACTAGTAGTTGCCCAAATCTCCTTAAAACTACCTGATTAACAAAGATCTGATATCATCATTTTAAATTAATATCATTCCGATCCTACTTATTGATATTTGTGGATGAATACAAGTTGTCAGCTATCTAATTTTTTTTCTGAATGTGGAAAATAAGTTTACACTTTTCTTGCAAAAGGAATTCTTGGACTTTATTTAGATCATGTTAGGTAACGTGATCTAAATAAAGTTTAAGAATTCCTTTTGCAAGAAAAGATATTTTTTACAGACAAACATAATCTCTGTTCTCCGTTCCCTAGAATTATGAAGTGTTTGATCTTTATCGTAAAAGTTCATGGTTGCATTAAATCATAAACATTGTAATACAGGTGAAGATGCGTCATCTATCACGGATACCATCGAACGAGACAAATATCGAAAATACTCCTGTAGCGACTCAGCAACATGCACATCCCGAAACCTCTTTAGATTCACTACTGGCTTCCAAGTACAATGAACTACGCAACATGGAATCACTGGATATTTCTATAGATTATTTGTTATCACTCAATAAATAAGATGTTATATTTAAGCTTTTTAATACGTCATAACAACTAAGTCTACTTTACAACAGTTCTTCTAGCACGCAACCTGGCATCTAGGGCTTGTAAAGCGTGTTGTGACGCTTCATTCTTAGAATCTGTTGCAAGGCTAACTTGTAAACATCTGTATGCTAAGGTCACATCACCAGTGGACTGAAATGAAAACAACATAAATAATTATTTCAGTAATTAATAACTCCTCATAATTATGTCCTTCATAAAATCCATACCAGTGCAACATGGGCGAGATTGAACCAGATATTTGATCGGATTTCAGGACTTGAAGAAAAGTAGAGTGCTTGCCTGAAGCATGGCAATGTTAGGTCCCATTGATTACAATACAAACAACAAAGTCCCAGGTTATTGTAAATTTCTGGACCAGCAGGATTTGTAGCCAATAGCCTTCTGAAAAAAATTACAATTGTACATTTCAGTATTTTGAACGATTAGTAACAACAAGTTAAAGTATGAACATATAAGAAAAAAAATCCTTTTTATATGTACCTGTAATATCGCAACGCAATTTCGGGTTGGTCGTTATAAAAATTGTACATAGCAATATTAGCTATAGCTTCCATATTCGATGGGTCTTCTAAAGCAACCATACGGTATTCTTTCACGGCTAACGCGTCATTACCCATTTGATCGTGGATCCTAGCTTGCTCTAATAACAATGGTGAGTATTCGTGAAAAACAGATAATCCCTGTTTACAAACTTCCAGCGCGGAAATCGGCTGATTTAGTCCAACGTACATTGCGACCAAGCGAAGATAAATTGAAATGTGTTTGTTTAGTTTCAAAGCCTGACGTAAGCAATCTTCTGTATTCCTGTACATTCCAAGTGCATAATAACACCTAGCTAATGAAAAATTCCACCACCAGTCCATTGTATCATCTGCCTTTTGCGATTGGAACGCTACCTCCATAGCCTGCAGAAAATAGTAAACAGAAGTTTTATTTTAAAAGTCACATGTCCCTACGATTTAAGCGATGTAGGTAATCCATTAAACTTCTACAAGTAAAATTTTAATAGGTACCTACTAACTACTTTAATATTGAGGTACTTACCAAAACTTTGCTTTTAAAACTTATTGAAGTAAAACTTCTTTACGCACGCTTGACTTGGGGAGTAAGCTGGTGAATGCGTGAGAAGAGCGTTACGAAAAGTGGGATCGGACGAGGCGAACGGAAGTTGAGAGGGAGATATAAGTTAGTGAAGATAGAAAGAGAGATAGTTACGTTTCGTATATTACTGTAGGGGATAAAGAGAGGTGCGAGCACACATTTTATTTCACACATTTCGTTTTTTTTGTGCGCTAAACTATTGATAAAGCATAAAATAATGTCGATACTTCGTGTTTACATTACCTACTTAGCTACTCATTCTTACTCATAAAAACAAATTATAGATAAGGAAAAATATGTTTTTTATTCAAATTTAGTCCATCAATCAATCAATCAAAATACGGGTAGAATTGGAAAGTGATGACATTCGTATAAAACTGATAATAGAAATATTAGGGGAACCCATGATACTCAATTTTTAGACGGGTCAGTTTGATGTTCCTCTCATACTAGCCAAAAATCTGACAATAGTTTTGCAGGGTATTTTAAATCTAATATCAGTTAGAAATATTTTGATTTTTTATAAAATGTGACTTATAAAGGCACGAAAAATTATGTAGACATTTAAAGAAGATTTCATGCGTTGTTTGCTTCAAAATAAAAATATATGTCAAGGTTTATGTCACGCTCAAATCGTCTGATTTTTTAAATACACACTAATGTGTATGTAATTGACAAAACTTACCTTAATCTTACACTCTCAAGTATTACTAACCATATTTTTTTAACTAATCTGACTGGCTGTCCTAGACGCTCTCCCCTATATGTAGGGCTCATGTATGGTGGAGGTACTCAAATGGGGGTAAGGTATTCCTCCTTATGTTAATCTGAAACGCTCGAGTAAATACTGAAATCCCTTCGAGGGCTCCCCTACTATAAGTTCTATAGAATCAAGGTTGATTATGGATATATCTGATAACTCATATTTAAATTATTTGAATACTAAAAGTTAAGTAGGAAGAATGCCGCGGTGTGAAGGAACAGCCTAACCCTCAATCTATTAGTACTGAGCCTATGTAACAGCATGTGGTAATCCATACTTATATTATAAATGTGTAAGTGAGTTAGTTTGTTACTTTCACGCCTAAACTACTAAACTAATTTAAAAAGTAAACCAATAATATAAACTTCTTATATTTTATTTATAAACATCAATTTAAAGCTACGTTCTCAGTGAGTAACATATGCTATTTTTTACCGCAAAAAACGGACATACACGCGGGCAGAGCCGCGGGCAAAAGCTGGTATTATATAAATAGTTTATGGATTTACGATAGTTCATTAGATAAGTTTTTTCTGTTCCCACGTGGCCGTATGTCACACAAGTTTCTTCGGAACGTAGATTATATCTACTATTATGTTATTTAAGAAAAACCAATGAAGTGTTCCATAGGATAAACATGTAGATCAGATACATATTCGGGTCATACTCAGAAAAAATGTACAATAACGATTTTTCTTAATAAAAGAGTAATTGTTACGACTATTAGTCGACTTACATAAGATTAACTGTAGTCATTAAGGTCTCTCTCTTTTAGTCCATCATTTAAATAGTAATACAATTTATTGTTTAGAACTTTTAATAAAATTATTAAAATTCATATCAATGTTGTCCCAAAATTGTTACATTTCGTTGCTCAGTTTTAGTTACGTGGGTATAATTCTAAACGCAGTTGTTCAAAACTGACGGAAAATAATTTTCCTAATATTGACAACATTGCTGCTTTTACGGGACCCGCTTTTACCGTCAGTTTGTTTTCACCCGTACACGGGAGTCATTGTGTTGAATTCGCATTTGGAAAAAAATACTGTCAGGGTGATATACGATTTGAATTTCGATAAGCATATACGATTGATTGTACTATTTTATGCCCGCGTCTTAGTTATAATAATATATAGACAAATAAATTCAGTTATTGTGCATACAATAAGTGGTACTAACAGAATTATTTTTCGGGGTTACATTTTCTCAGAGTTTGTCTTCAGTTTAGTTATATTGCGTTATGTTACGAAACTGAGAACTTGTAAAGCTGAGTTTACGAAGTTACTCTAATTTGAAAAATTAATTATTATCTATTAAAATTTTATTACATTAATTTAGGGGAACAGAAGTGTAATCGTGGTACAATGAAAATGACGGGCTTGATTCCCGAATGTAAAAATATATTTCTGTTGAACTAAAAAAAATATGATTGACTTATTATTTTACTATTTGTGTGGGTACTTATGCAGAGTAGTCATAAGTATTTAGGATATTTTATATTTAAGTATAATTCTATATTTATTTATATATTTACTTAATTATAATCAATAATATTATTATTTTATTAATTTGATTCTTCAGTTACCAAAATATTTAAATAATGGAGCAGTACGTAACGTTGATATCTTTTTGTTACAAAATTGTTTGTTATGGAGATATGAGACTGATTTTCATTATGAAAGATTATATTATTTTTAAATATTGTTATTACTATATTGCTTATTTTTTTTCAATTTGGTCTTAACGGTTCTTGACAACTTGTTTTCTTTCGTTCCTCGAAATATGGAAGGGCCCGATTAAATTTTGACAATATTACTCCGATTATTTAATTGATTTTTTAGAAATGTGTATGATTGTTCTTGGTTATTTTTATGTTTTGAACAATAATTTGTAATTTAACGAGAAAACTTGTATTTTGTAACTACTTTATTAATTAAGTATTTTTTAATTTAATTTGTAACTACTATTAAACCTACAATAGCATGTTATACTCGTACATACTGATTCATACAATTGAGGTTTTTTCATTATTTTGTAGCTGGATGGTCCCCCATAATAATTGCAACCAAGCCTTTAGGCGTAATGAATAATTTAAATTTAGGTATTAGCTAAAAAATTATAATATACTTAAAGAGTGCGTCCATTGGTACTTTTCTTATGGTTCCTACTCCAATGAAAATACACTTTGTACTTGTTCTTCAAGAGTAGCACTCACTGCACTACGTCACACTAACTTAACTAAACAACTAAAAAGGCTTAGGGTTCTTTAGTCTTAATGATATATTCGTATCGTTGGAATATTCACTTATTCCCGTCGGGTAGGATGAGCCTGATTTAGATTTCTGAGATATTATGTTTTTATTTAGATTAATTATGCGTGTTCTGTTCAGTATGTACCCTGCTTTACAATATCAGTTTCGTCACATTGATTCTCCATTTCGTTACTTATCAGTTTATTAACAAATGGCAAATGTACATGTTTTCTGAGTATGACCCATTCATGACCTTTAATTTATACTATTGACAAAGTAACAATATATTCTCTCGCACATTGAAACTGCAAATATAAGATTCTATGTAATTGAGAGATTTACCATAATGTAATTTAACATACCTACAGCGTTTTTATAAATAATTAATTAAGGGTTTAATAAATTCTAAGTAACTATTGAAAGCACTTTTTTCAAAAATATAAATATTTGTATATACCTTTTCTTAGTAGTTTCGTAGAAGGACAGACAGTCTTACAAATGGACATTTGAGGGGACTGTTTTTGTATTCGAAAGAACAGAACCCAAAAACAGATTTGACCAAACGGTTGTATGTTTTATTGGAATTTGCCTTAATCTATGACGTGTACGAGTGCAAAACGGCGAAAGTACCTACATAAAACTGTTTAAAAAAGTTACTATAAAAATAAGTAAAAGTACTATTTCCGTATCCCGAGGCACAGTGAATAAATGTCAAAAGTACCTACATTAAAGCAAACATAGCTGCGAGCAAAAGGTAATCAAAACAATCATAATTAACAGGCGTTTATTTACCTTTCGAATATCCCCTTCACAATAATAAACATATTCAAATAGAGTTTTGGCAGCTGGTAAGAAGAGTTTATCATCTTTGGCCATAAATCTTAGGGATAAAGGAGTGCCAGCTGTCAAAGAACTTCCTGCGACAAGTGCTGTCGCTGCCCGAGACATTTGTGATGCAGTATGTAAAGAAGTTCTCGATGTACGAGCACAAGAAGCATTGGTACCGGCTCTTGAACGCACTGTTGCCGTAGTCCTTCTCTATGAAAAATAAAAATAAAAAAAAAATACAAATTTAAATTATATTCCACGGAGATTATAATTATATTTATTTATACCTGAGCAGTTCTAAGATCACGGGTTGTTTTATTATCGCGTTGGAAAGATGTTCCAGGTCTAGGAGTCTTTGCTATTGCCGTAGAGAGCAAGTCGTCCTGCTGTGGATAGTATTCAACCTCCTCGTATCCATTACCAACAACTTTTGCTTGTATAGTCATAGCTCGCATACGAATAAACTCTATCATTCGGTCACTCTTATCTTGTAGGGCTATTGCACACAAATTGAGGCATTCGTCGAATTGTTTTGTTTTGTACAGATTCAATATTTTATACTCAATTTCCATTTTTACCAGCAATACAGGGTACCACCGTATAACATAACTCTACGTACGTCGAAGCTTTGAATGCTTAGCAACCAAGACCATCAACAAAATATAAATGTAATTACGATAGCGTTAGTATAAGCCAAGCACACTTAATAATGCATTGGATTAATTATGTATGTAGGTATAGATTTATTTAAAAGCGTTTTTATTGCCCAGTAAAAAAAAAAGAGTTTAACAACATTTTATTTAATTACACTATAAAGAAGAAAACGCATGTATTAAAAAATATTAAATGACAATGATACCACGATCTATTATGATAATTATATGAAATCTATTACGATATGTCCAACCGTTCGATCCAAAGAACAGTTTATTCACTGTTCTGTGGTTCGATCGAATGGATTTCCTTAATTGGGTATGGGTATTCTAAATGTAGTTTACCTTTACAAAAAAAATATTAGAGCTCTTAATGCAACGAGCTCAGCTCTTATATTTGAAATTTTACCCACTGCAATAGAAAAAATGCAAAACAATAAACAATTTATGAAAATAGGTTCTTAAATTGTTATTAAGTAAAATGTAAAAAAAGAAACTGCAGTTTGTTTCTACAATATGGAACGTATTGGTACAATAATCATCGTCAATTGACAAGAATAAGTGACAACTCGTATAGTGTCAACTTTTTTAAAGCTAGGTTCGGCTTTTCCTCATTTCTTAAATGACTTAAAAAAACAGGAGATTCTCAATTAGGTTATATTTTATTTAACCTCAGAAATCCGCAATTTATAAACCGGTTTGGAATTTGGAAAAAAATATATTTTAGTACTCGATGTCGATGGATGATCATGGTAGGCTTTAGCATGGCTTTAGCTGTCAAATGCAAAATCGGTTGTGTAGAGGCTTGAGGGGGGATTTGTAATTTCATTTAGCTAAGAGGACTCTTAGACACCGACTGAGCTCTCGACTCTCGACTACAACTTGTGAACATCAACTATTATTAATTAAGAGTTTGCTCAAACGCGGTTTGATATTTCTCTCCGCGTAGTTCAGAAATATATCCTGTTTTATTAAATAAATAAAATAAAAATCATGTCAATCGGTCGCTCCGTTTCGAAATGAAAGTAGACACAAACAAAAAAATAAAAACGCAACAGACACACTTTCACATTTTAATAGTTATTAGTATTCCTAGAAAGGTAATTTTCGTAGATAAAAGATCGCGGGCAATCATGTTTTAACAAGTTTTTGTTAAATAATCCGATTTGTGCATTCCTGTATCATCAAATTTTCAGTTGCGGTTTCGCGCGTAATAAATAAGCAGTAAGTAAGTACTTAAGTTCAACACTTACTTACGTTTTTCTCAAAACAAAACTGTCGGCAGTAAAAAAAAGAGACGGCAATACTGTGCGGAATATATTAAATTCGAATTCATTGAAAATCCCACAGACAAATCGTCGCCTTTGTCTATGTCTAAAATCATTTACGAATAAAGCAATGAAGCCTTCAAGACTGCAAGGTCATTTGAATAAAATGCATCCAGATAAGAATGACAAGAATGTAGCATATTTACAAGATTGACCTGCTAAGCAAGATGACGACGGACTTCGAGCTTCGTGCAATATCTCTTTGTTAATTGCTCAAAAAGGCAAACCAGACAACATCGGAGAAGAGTTAATTTTGCCAGCAATAAAGGAAGTAAAGGAATTCAGCTCGATGAGTCTTCTTTACCAACTAATGAAGCATTGTCTTTCGTGAGGTTTATTCTGATCAACAGCCTATACTAGTCCACTGCTGGACATAGGCCTCTCCTTAGAAAGGAGGTTTATTAAAGATGATAAAATATGTGAAGAACAATTGTTTGCTAGAAATTTAGAGACCGATACAAAAGGTGAAACGATATGAAAAAAATTGAAAAAAAATTGTGATGAAAAAGAGATTCCCTTGAAAACTATTATATCAGTTGCTACGGATGGCGCTCCGGCTATGACATGGTGACATAAAGGCTTTACAGCGTACTTAAAAAAAAAAGCCGTGTGGTGTCGTGGGACACCCGATAGGAACGAAGTTGTGACGATCGAGTAAAACTGATTCGACACTATTAATTATACATTGGTAAAATCTACTTGAGAAATGATGTCGAATACAATATTTTTTGCTCACATACACAACATAAATTTTAATTTTACTGAGATGAAAAGTAATAATTTCCTATCTATTCGATAGATGGCGCTGAATGACTGACATAAAAAGTGTCGTTACAACTTTTCTTGAGATTTTTTTCCGTCTAGCCCCCTTTCACAAAGCGCGATAAGGAACTTCGTTCCAAAAAAATTCCAGATGTCCTTGCTGTACATTGCGTTATTCATAGACAACATTTCGTTGCTAGAAACTTAAGTGAACGACTATTTCAATCACTGCAATATGTCATCAAAGCAGTCAATAAAATCCGTAACAGCTCTTTGAATGATAGGTTATTTCATCAGCTTTGTGTGACTAATGACAAAGATTACAACCGTTTGTTGTTTCATACTGAAGTTCGTTGGCTATCAAGAGGCAATTGTCTGACTCGATTTTACAACCTGTTTGACTCTGTGATAGAGTTCTTGGAAACTAAAGATACAGAATTGCGCAACAAGCTCATTACATCAACGAATGATATAGATTACATGACAGATCTGTATAAATTGTTCAACGACAGGAATATCCAACTGCAAGGCGATGAACTAAATTTAATTAAAACAAAAAATGTCGTTGTTACTTTCGCAGCCAAACTGCTTCTACAAAAAAAGAATATGGGCAGACGTGAGTATCACAATTTTCGGAATTTATAAGTATCCTGCAGTAACGATGACTTGTTTGCCTACTGCTAACATTTAGAAAACCTCCACATTGACTTCACCGAACGATAGCAGGACATTTGAACTTGGAAATACCAGACTGGGTGTTGGATCCATTGTCAAATGTCAACACAGTAATGTCACCTCAGCTGGAAGAAGAGCTTATAGAATTGACAACAAACGAGGATACAAAAATCAAGTTCAAAAATGGCTGCCAAGAATTTTGGCTACAAAAACCGATCCCGCAATTGTACCCTGGATTGTGGTCAATCGTTCAACGATTCTTGATAGCATTCTCATCGTCATATTTGTGTGAACGTGGATTTAGTGCTGTAGCAACGCTGCTTACTAAAAAGAGAAATCCGTGTCCATGTTACCGAACGTGGCGACTTGGCTGTTCTTGAGTAATTTGGAACCCGATATCAACAAACTTATTAAACAGCATCAGATTCATCCTTCACATTAGTTTTTATATAAGAATCGATTATGTTTGTTTTATTTTGAACAAAAGATACTCTGTCTGAATGCTATAAAGTTGCGTTTCAATAATCTTTCTCATTGACAGGTGTAGCCCGTAAGAATTAACTTGAGACCTGAGCACCGTTGTGTACTACCTACTGCGTTCAGGTCTCAAGTTAACTCTTGCGGGTTATAGTAAAAGTCTCGTTTAGAGTGAATGTTCAATATCCGCTAATATAGCTCACAATAATTAATTAATTTAATTTGAAGTTATAGTGTTTTTAAGTAGGTGAAAAAAGGGGGGCGCTAAAAATTAATTTATTCTCAAAGTGGGCAGTAGACAAAATAAGTTTGGGAACCCCTTTGAGGTTCGTTATTTTTGTTTTTCAATTAGATTTTTAATTATTATTTTTAATTTTTAGTGCTCTTTGTTAGTATTGTTTGAAGTAGATTCAACTTTGTTTTAAGAGGATTTATTTTATCATTTTTAGTGTAATATACGTTTGTAATGAGTAGATACATATAGCAAGCAGCAGATATATCTAACAAGTACTTTGACTTAACTAAATAACCAAATAACTAGAAATGGTTATTTCGTTGAGTTGTATGCCGTGGAAGTAGGTGCGAGTGGTACACGAGCTAAATCCTTAACAACCTGCTTCAAGACCTTGGATTGCCAATAGCTTCAGTAAGCTCAACAAATATCTAAAACGGCATTGCTAGGCTCAATTCAATTATGGTTAGGTAGATGTGGTAACACAGCAGAAATTGGAGGTGAGCGCTGACGCGTCGCAAGGAGTACTCCCTAAACCTACTCCTGGGTCGCAATTCCCAATCGCTGTCACAGTCGCATATGTTGCCCTCATCTACCACGCCATGGACCCGGCACCCGCACGGTGAATAAACTTAACGCTTTTTTTTTAAAACTATGTATTATAACTACTATGTATTATACTATACTATGTATTACTATATAATAATTTTGTGTATTATATCTATACTATGATTAAATGAAACTACACATTAAAAATTAAATTGCAATATATATCTCGGAAATCCCCTCGGATGCCACTTACCGGTGGCAATGTCGGACTCGAACCGACTTAAAACCGCACGCCGTCTCGGGTACCAGTAGTCGGGGAGCCAGGTGTACCCTAGAAAGGAAATCCCTGGTGCCCCGACGTACCTCGGACCATCTATGGCGGGTAGACGACCCCCCCTGTGTGGGAACCCCCACATTCCCTCTGTGCTCCCAGCCTGCTTCTATTAGGGTGACAGATGGCCTCACCTGTCACCTCCGGTGCCTGAGTCGTCTGCGGTACCTGGCCCGTGCCCGAGCCTGGCGGGACGGGAGAGTTCTAAACCTCTCCCGGTCCCACTCCGCCATCTCCTTTACAAGCATAACTTGCTCGCAAAAGGAGATGTCAGAGTTCATCGCCCTCTCGCTCCGCACGATAGTCGCAATCAGGTTATCGAGCGAGAGAGCTCCCACTCCGATGGCTACCACGAGGTCTCGCCTCTGCTCTACCTACGTCGGGCATTCTGCCAGCGTGTTGAGCGCCGTATAAACGGCCCGACCATCGCAGTGGTGGCACTCAGGCGCTGGCTCCTTGCGGATCAGACACAGGTGATCCCCGAAACATCCTTTCCCAGTGATCACCTGCCTCTCGAGCTAATCCTCCATAACGAGTCTTATCGCCGCAATGGCGGCGTGCACAGCGCTCGGTTGCCCAAGTCGTTCCTTCCACTCCCCTACGAGGACCCAACAGTCTCAGGACTCCGACCCAACTCCCGCGCCTCGTTGCACCACTGATACAGAGCCGCAAGGGTTTTCGCCTCCAGGTCCCACGGTGGAGTTCCGGCCAGGAGACTCGCCGCCTTAAAGGAGATCGTGCGGTACCCCCTTATGATCCTGCTGGCCAGCACTCGCTGCGGTCGTCGCAGTAGTGCGACATTGCTGGCCTTCGCACTACTGCGACGGCGGGCCGCCCATACTGGGGCCTCATAAAGGGCCATCGACCGCACAACCCCCGAGTAGAGTCTCCTGCAGGAGTCATCTGCTCCCTTCATGTTGGGCAGCAGCCGCGCCAATGCACGTGCTGCCCCAACCAACTTGGGCACGAGACCTCGGAAATGATGTCCGAAGTCCCATCGGCCATCGAGTACGAGCCCCTGATACCTACTCGAGGGCTCGATGCCAATGCGAGTGCCTCCAACTATGAGGCTAGATCCCTCAGGTGGCTTCCTCCGAAGCCCATGGAAGAACAAGGCCTCGGATTTGTGCAGAGCCGTCCGCGTAGCACGTGACGGCGACACCATCCAAGAGGGCACCACGAAGCACCCAGTTTGAAGGTTTCCCTCGATTTCTCTGGAATCTCATTATCAGATCTGGATTTGATGGTAATGGGACTACCTCGGTACCATCAAGAAGAATTTTGAAAATTGGTCCACAATGATGAAGATATCGCGTAACAAACATACAAAAAAAATACAGTCGAATTGAGAACCTTTTTTGAGAGAGATTTTGTGTTTTTGAAGTCAATAATAAACACAACTGTGTCTACCGGGGCAGAACAATTATGCTTTAAAACATAATATGTGCCTGCTCGACCGAAGTGTAGTGGGTATTTCCTCGAAATTTCATTCTTTGACTGATTCATATGGCAATTTTTTTATTTCGCTTTCAGCTCTGTAAATTGTTCATATGAAAATAGGTATACCAAATAACACATATTTGAACGACTCGGTTTTATAGTTTCCAATATATCAACGTTCAAATATTTTGCGCCCATATGAATCAGAATTTGTTACAGATGAATTAAACAGAATAAAAAATGAAAAACTTTATTTAGATAAAGTTTTTCATTTTTTATTCTGTTGTCTAAATGAACTCTGTATTTAAAAGACAATGATATTTTAACAACAACAATAATTTGTTTTTATGAACAATTTATTAGTGATCATATCCCTAAAAAAATCTGCTGAATACAACAATATTTTTTGTAAAACATTTATGAAACGCCAGTATATAATAATTCTTGTATTATATAGGAACACGAGAATATCGTAATATAACAGGCAACATATAACTATTGCTAATATGTATTTGTAATACAATAAATTCTGTTAGGTATAAGAAAGTGATTACGTGTATAATACGAGTACCTACATTATATTAATCTCTCTGTTTAATTATTTTCCGTGTGCAAATAATTAGTCCCGTTTATTATACTTAAGGTTATAGCTAAGTAAGTCAACTTAACTATAACCTTTCACATTTCAAAAATCACAGAAGTACAAACCTATTCTGTTAATGGCACTTTTCATATCAGTCATAATTAGGTATTAATTAGAATAAACAATTACATTAGTGTATTTATTAATAACAAAAATTTGATAAACTTTAATTAAATGGCGTTTTTTACATTAACCGGTCTTATTAACTTTTAAAGAAATATACATAATAGTATTTTTAACTAATACGTTATGAAGTCAAAGTTAAGAGCCTTAAAGCCTTTTTCTAGTTGACGAGATCTTGAATTTTTGGAAAAAGATTGAATAATCATTATGTTCACCAATGGCGTGAAACTCTTTAGTCCGTTTAATACATTTTAAATACAAAAATGTCCTCATAGTCAGAATTTGAGCGATCATCCATGCTTTTCTGATAAAGGGTAGATAGGACATCTCTCGTGAATTTTGGGGTTATAAGTTATTCATCGATTGAGAAAGTCTCCATCCAAAAGCTGTCGTCATCGGGAAGTTCGAGGTGGGCTGTATCCGTCATCCGAATCATTTAAAAAAAAACACTCATTTCGTGCTGGAGAGGAAAAACTAATTTATTTTATTATTCATATGGGGTTTTGAGCATATCAATCAGGCACAGATGAAGCAGGATTTTGCCTACAATCATGCATAACTCGTCATACATACAGACTTCAGTATTTGCATTTTTCTACACGAATCTTTAACCGAAAAGCATCGCACGAAACTCAGATTAGTTTTAAAATAATAACATAAATTTTATAGATTCGCAGCCGCGTCGAGCACATGACTAGCACCGCAATCCGGATTACGCAATGATCCGAGGAGCCAAGTAGGACCCCAACGCTGACCTTTTAACCGTCCGAATCAGAGGTCACCAGAAAGTCGTAGGCATTGCTACCAGTTGTTAGAAGCAATAGGTCAGGACGAAATCGTGAACATATGTCCCCGCGTGATCGGTTTTTAGGTGAACCAAACCATTCGGCGTTATGAGCGTTAAAGTCGCCAAGTATCACAATCTTTTCAGATAGGATCTGCTGCAGCACAGGATCTGTAGCCATTTGGTATCACCACGTTGGTACTCAGTTTTAGTATCACCGCTATTGGACCAGTAGAGCCATGCACGGGAATGGTTGTCGCTGTCTACACGGAACCACAAGAGCTCGGCTGCGTCTCGGTTAAACAGAGCAAGGCCCGCTTCGCTGTCTCTGTATTAGTGGACAGCGTTGAGGTTGGAGTGTAGACCCCTGATGTTGCAGAAGTCAGGCATGATGTGGGGTGACCTGATGTGCCTGCACTTGCGTATAATAAAATATCTGCCCGCAGATATTTTATTATACGCAGTTGTGCCGACCCCAGCCTCCTAGTAACACACGGAGTTTCTAGGAGAGAGGGGGCGCGACAACGCACTTGAGTTGTAGGTGTCCATGAACGGTGGTAGTTACATACCACCAGGTCGGTCTGCTCGTTTGCCGCACCACCCATATACCACCACTTCCACTAAGTCTTCAGTACACTCAGTGACGTTGAACTGTGTGGTAGGGGCCATTGCCCATTTCATTTAAACTTTAAGCTTAATTATTTGCAAATTATAAATATAGTTGATGATATGATTGAGTTCATGATATATATACAAAGTCATACAAAGTTTCATTTCAAACACCAATCCAGAGTTCTGCAGCCAGGTCATGGTATTTAATGTCGACCGATAAACTCAAACTCAAACTCTCCTTATTTCATAAAAAAAATTAAAATTGTTTGAAATCGTATTTTATGTTGACTCTAAAGTCATAGATCAACACACACAAAAGCAACAATCTCTGTTTTGTCAAATAGTAAGCAAATAAATTTAACAAAAATCAAACCTATACAAAATCTATGATATGCCTGTGCCGATCTACAACCGCCCGTTTCCAAGGGGTTGAGCCTTATGAGAAGAAAGGGCAAACAAACTCATGGCCACTCTTTTCCGATTCACAAATAGATACATTGAACAAGAAAAAACGAATAAAAGAGAAAATGAAGCGTAACATAAAAAACAGAAAAAACAATAATAATAAAAACACACTAGCCACATTAATAAATAATATAATAATAATATTTTTATTGACGTAGAAAAGAAGTACAATGCTTACATACATACATATTATCACAACAGCATCAGTGAAAACTTAAGCAGTCGAGCTCTGGCACCCATTGTAAGATTTAACTTGAGTCATGGGTACCAGTTCTTCTCACAGTTGTAGACTTATGATAAGACGCGTATGCGCGTGCGTGTGTCTCTTTCTGTGTCTTGTTTTGTGTGTGTGTGTGTGTGTGTGTGTTTGTGTGTGTGTGTATGTGTGTGTGTGTATTTAATTTTATAGCAGAGTCTCATTAACTTTTCGGTTGTATCGTAATCCTGTTCAAGTAACCAGTTCATTACTTTGGCCTTGCCTTTGACATTACATTTTTACTTATGAAATAAATAGCCTGCGCTAATTAATCCCAAGCATTCTTGTCTTCCTGTAATCCACAATTGAGTAGTAGGCCCTCTGGCACAAGCCACGTTTTATTGCGGATTTAAATTTCTTAATACTTAACTCTTGAATATTATTTGGGATATAATTCGCTTGTGTAGAGTCAATGTTACAGAATAAGGTGATAGCTACTTATCATACAAATGAATTGTAAACTTAACCAAGATATAAAGTTTTACCAACATTAAATAATACAACATTAAACATTTAATGAGTCGTTTAAATTAAGCTTCCAGCATTTCACCCAAATTAACAAACATTGGCAGATAAAACTTTGAAAACTACGAGTATAACACTACATGGGCCTAAGCAATATCGCAGTAGGTACTATATCTACAACCATCCCAGTTAAGTAATAATCACGCTCGGTTTATTTATTTTCTTTACGCCTCATAACAATTGAATGTCCTCTGAAAGCTCTGCGTCAAAGAATTTTATGAAGTGAAAGAATCTGTCTATTTTCATAACAAATGTCTGGGGTTGTCAACATTTTTTTTGTTTTAAGGAATGGGTTACTTTCTAAACTCCATAAAAATTTCCTTACTGCAATCTTCTAGAGGATATTACCAATTATAAACCATTATCTCCATGGATTTTTAAGTAGGTACCTAACATTTAATCTGGATTAATCTTAATAGAATTTTATTAATGCAGTGCCTTCCCAAATTTTTCCTTAATACATTTGGTACACTTACTCTAAGCTCTTTGTTTCAAACAGTTTCATTAATTTATTCCTTATTGGACACATTTATATGCACATGTAGCAAGCACGTAATTTACGTACAAGTACGTAACTGTTTTAATATAAATAAAAAAATATAAAGGTTTGAATTTGACGATCTCTGATAAAGGTTTCGAATATAAAGGCAGTCTCGCCAGAACTGTTTCATTCGCAAACTCTAGTTTGAATTCACCGAACTCAACATGCTTTTAAGGATTTTCATATTATTAATATCTCTCAGCAATGTATTTACAGCAGAGTCGTGGAGAAAACCTGGATGTCACCGAATCGGTGGGAGATAATATTTTATTTTCAAAGTTAAAATATCGAATTAAATCGGACATTGTTTTTTTATATTCTATGCTTATGAATTAATACAGTTCACATATAATTTAATTTATTATTTCAGGACATACAAGGACCGTCAGCATACCAGATTGTGTTGAGTTTAAAATAACAACAAATGCCTGTCGTGGATTTTGTGAGTCTTGGTCTTTGCCGAGTATAATGCTGGGTTTTAAGCGGCATCCTGTCACTTCTTTGGGGCAGTGCTGTAATATAATGGAATCTGAAGACGTAAGTATTGACAATTTATGAATTTAACATATCTACCCTGCCTTTAAACTCTAACGCAAAGAATATTATCTTATACTAGATCATAAACTACCTGTTTGCATATACAAGAAACTCAAAAACAAACAAATTCTAGACAATTTACATTTTAAGTGAAGATTCTGTTTTTTCTAGGTACCTGTGAAAGTATTGTGCCTGGACGGAGAAAGAAATTTAGTATTTAAGTCAGCTGTTTCGTGTGCATGTTATCATTGTCAAAAAGAGTAATAAAGGGAATACCAAACTATTTTAAAATGTGATGGTTCAATTAAGTTAATTTACAAGAACTTTATAGAATATTTAAAAACAATTCCAATGTATGAAGCTACTTACATTTTTAAGTGTAACTTGCAACATTTTTTTGTCTAATTAAAATGTAAGTCTATGAACAAATAAACATATCGAACTGAACAGAATCCACATTTTTTTTATTGTACGCAGTAAGAACCGTTAAAACTTTAAAGGTTTGAGGTAGGTTAAGATTAGAAGAGGTCAATGTAAGGGATAATACCACTTTTAACTTTACTAATTATGATGACAATATCTGTATTTCTATCATCTTGATTTAGCAGAAGACACCTACAAATGCAAAAAAAAAAACAGAAATGAATAGTTGATCTATGTAAGTTTCAGTTGCTGTGATTTTCGCAGTCATATTGATTGTCAGAATGGTGTGTAAAGGTTTAATTTTATCCAATTTCTATAGTCTAAAATAATAAATTGAGACTGGCACTTAATTTACACACCCTAAAAGATTTGAGCCTGTTGAGTAGTAGGAAACTGTAACATAACCAGCAACATCGCTCTACTATGACGACCGCAGCGAGTACCTACTGGCTTTTAGAGTCATAAGAACGACTTGGGCACCCAATCGCCAGGCACGCCGTTATTGCAGCTGTAAGACCCGTTACGGGGCGGTCATCTACAAGTCGTAGATGGCCCATGATCCGTCGGGGTACCAGGGATTTCCTTCCAGGTTCCCCGGCCATTGGTACCCGAGACGGCGTGCGGTGTTTGACGGTTCAAGTCCGACATTAATACCGGTAGGTATCCGAGGGGATTTCCGCATAGGAAAAAAAAGGAGGACTGTAATATAAAATGAAAGCATGGATGAAAAGATTTTTCTCTAAATTTAATAAACTATTGGTCCCATGCAAAATTTGATCTCCGCTTTTGCAACCTTTACGGTTTAATTTTGTGACCATAAAGTTTCTAACGTCCTAAAACGTAATATGAACTTAGTTATGCACAGTTGCATTTGAAAGCATTAAGTAGTTTAGGCGAATTGCCCAACCAAGATTTAAAATTTTACCAGTTAGATAGAAGATTAGATGTCAGATGTTACAGATTATTCTTTATCACATAGGGGGTAAACGTACAGACACGTCACCTGACGGTAAGTGACGAGTCGTTGACGGCCTTTGAAGTGGGAGTACGCTCTCTTCTGAAAGTATTGAAGCTCGTATCGATCTGAAAATAAAGCATTCGACAATCCGTGGAGTTTTTTTATGACATAGGGGCAAACAAGCATATTAGTCAACTGATGGTAACTAAGTCCCGCCGCATATGGACACCTCTAGCACAAGAATCATAGGTGCGTTATGGGCTACAACACGTTGAAGTTCACTCCGCTCAAAATAAAAAAAAAATAGTTACCACCGGTTTTCTGTGAGGCCGTATCATGATATCACGATGCCAATAATCCAAGTGATGGGGATGGATATTTTATAGCGTTGAACGAAAGCAGAAACCTGCGGTCGGTATAAATACGATCAATTCCTTGGATAATTTTCTATAGTTAAAGTGATAAAAAACTCAGAGTAAAGGTACTTCTTTACGTTACTGACTAAACTAAAAAAAACGCCCCATACATAACTGTAAATTCTCCAAGCGCAAATTATATAATCCCAAAATACATTTTCAACATCTCCTTGTCTTACCCCGCAATGCAATTGGATTAGTCTTGTGCTCTGTTCTTGTACTTGGACGGTCATCTTTGCGCCTTCGTAAAGACAGTAATATTTAATATATAATATTATATAATAGGTCTTTTTCCAAATTATCACTTTTTCCAAAATTTAGACAACTTTTTAGTGGGTAAAAAATTCAATTCCCGAGAGGCAGTACAAAATGCCTTTGAAGAGTTTGTTGCCTCCCGTCCAGCTGATTTTTACAAGAAAGGCATCAATAAACTGCCAATGCGTTGGCAAAGATGCGTCGATTGCATGGATAATCACCCATTCGAATAACAGAAATAAAAAAGTTTGAAAAAATAAGTACTTTCACTTATTGCATACAAAACGGCAATTTCATATGTAAAGACCTATTATTATACGTATAATCATCGTTCATGCAATATTTGCTAAGTTTGAATCGTTCGGGAGAAAGTTATGCTCCGATTCATCATTCATTCATCCATTTCAAATTTATTTTACAACACAGATTCAGACGACAATGTTAAGGTTTTTAAGTTATGACACATCTATTTAAGGAACCAAGTAAAATAAAGAACCAACCCACATGCTTTTATATGAAGTCTAAATATTAAAATAAATACAAGAAACCTTGTAGCATGATTAATTTAAAAAATAAATAATTACAAACTCTTGGACCCTCGTCCAGTTACCAGGGCACATGGATCTTATTAGTGTATTGAACTATTGGTTTAATGTGGGTTGGTAAACTTGTCATGAAAATGTTTTGTTCTATCAGAGTTGTCGGATCATTTTGATTCTAACAGGGTCGATATAAAGTACATTTCGAAAGGTTTCTGCCTACGTAACTGTGTGCCAACAAGCTCCGCTTTTATAGCGCTTTTGAATTTTACTAAAAAGTTCCTAGTAGTCGACGGTCCGTTCCAGACAAACACGAATATTCCTGAATCAGACACGCGTACGCTGTAAGGATCAGAACTACTCGCATTTACCACAATCTTAATAGATGTACTTGAGTCGATACTAGATGGCGCTGTCCTCAACATTCCATACAATCGAACCATTTTGTCCTATGGCGCAACAATATGTTACGAACTAGTGGCATGCATTGCTATGGAAATGATAGAACAGGAGATGCCTTTTATACCGGCCGTGTCCCAATATTACTCGGGAAAACGTCATCGAGAGTCGAAACGAACTTGTGTCTGAAGTTGAAACTTCCTTAGCGGAGGTTTCAGCTTGGGGTCGACTGAATCTAGTAGATTTTAACCCAAAAAAGACAGGTTTGCGCGTTCACCGCAAAAAAGATACCAATTGTCGTATCGCCTCGGTTCCATAACTGTCTCAGCCGGTATTGCAATCCTAGGCATCGAGATATCGAGCGAAGTCCATTTTCGCGGTCTTTAGAGGGTAAGGTCAAATTGTCCTCAAAGAAGCTCGGTGTGCTAAACAGATCGAGGCAGTATTTCACTCGAGCCCATCGCATCCAACTCTATAAGGCGCAAGTCCGATAGCCTATGGAATATTGTTCTCATCTCATGCAGGGCACCACAGTACCAGCTTCTCCCTCTGGATAGTATCCAAAGAACAGCGTCCCGAATCGTCGATAGCCAAAAGATTTGCGACTGCTTCGCTCTGCATTCTCTATCGAATATATCATGGAGAGTGCTCCGAGGAATTGTTCGGCCTAACACCTTCCGCCATCGTTCTACACCGCAAAAAGTTCATCCCCACCACTTTGATAATCGGCGCTCCACCATTGTGCGCTTGTCAAGACACTTTTTGCCTCGCACTACCAACCTGAGGAACAAGTTATCGGCTGCGATATTTCCGGACCGATACGACCTTCAAACTTTCAAGAAAAGAGCGTACTCCTTCCTCAAACTTGTGACTCCTGAGTTGCAGGCGTTCTTGGGCGGCGGTAGTAGCTTTCCATCAGGTGACCCGTCTGCTCATTTGCCCCCTATTCCATAAAACAAAAAAAAAATGTTTTATTAATATGTACAATCTTATTAGTAACTCATAATAATATATTTTTTAGTCAGTGATACTGAAGTGGGGATCTGATATTTTGTTGCTTCCTAATTATTGCATGCATCATTTATTGCCAAGGCCTATTCTTATTGACAATCCATAGTGATATATGTAACATATCAAGTAGCATGGCAAGATATGACAACAGTCCCTATGCCAGATATGGCCCTATAGACACAATGCTGACGTTTCGCAAGTGTCAACGTCAGTCTGATTGTGTCAACTGTCACATTATATTTACCATGTCATAGACTTTTAAGTAAATCGTTTACTAGTTTTGTAGATTAATGGAGCTACCTTAGAGATATTAATTACTTTCTTTGCTGATAAGGAGAAAGATGGTATGGAGGACAACTCTTCATCATATAGTAAGCCAACATGGCAAAATTGTGTTCACTGCCCGAGTTTGCTTTTTACTTCTGCCACGGAATTTGAAAGGTTAAACGCATAATTTGTATATTATTTTAGTTGAAAACCTATACGAATGCTTGTTTATGGAGTGTTTCATATAATTTATCAAAAACAATTGAATTTTCCAGGCATGTTCAAGACAAACACAGTTTAAAGGAGGGTTCCATAATACTTTGTCAATATGGACAAAATGGAATGTGTTCGGCCTTGCAATTTGGTGATTTACGAAAAGCAGGTTTCAAGTACCATGTAAGAGAGTACCACTTGTACACTAAAGACACAAATGATGACTGGACCTTCTATTCTTCTTCACAAAATCTTCCAGCAGTATTAAATGATCCTAACAGAGGCAAACAGAGTAATTTTTTTACGAAAACATGGGGAGACAGTTTTATTGATAAGGTAGATATATATCCTAGTCCATATTTGCCAGAGATTACTTTAGCCCATTTTGAATCATACTGTAAAAGAGTATCTAAAAAGTATCGCCGCCACTGTAGACTCAAAGAAGGTGTCCCAGTCAAAAGTAAAACACCAATTGTGGAAAATATATGTGAGGTACCTGGTATATTTTATGAACAGTCATTGCCATTAAATAACCCTGAAGTATTTAGTAAAGTATTCCCTAGTCTCTGCAACTCGGAAGACCCAAGCATTGCAATAAGATCACTACAAGAAACACTGAGTACATACCTAGATGTCATAGAGATGAAAATATCTAAACAAGTAGCCCAGAAATCAGATGCATTCTTTCATGCTATGCTGTCTCATGATACTATTATGGAGCAGATGGCTAGGGCAGTAAAAACTGTGAGAAAGACAAGACAAAATATAACCAATGTCAAGGGAAATCTTACAGAACGTCCGTTAAAACTGGCAAGCCTAACAAGAATTAATCACAATTTAAATAATGTTCATGATTTATTGAAACTAATGGCAACCGTTCAACAAACACAACCAATGATACAGCTGCTTTTAAGTACTTCTGATTATGTGGCTGCTTTAGATCTTATTAGTTCTACACAAAAAGTACTATCCACACGATTATCGGGCATACAGGCATTTCGCCATCTTTCTCCTCAATTAACTGAAATGAAGAGATTGATACATAAAATGTTAAGTAATGAGTTCCTAAGATTTATTGTAACCGACTTGAATAGACCTCTAAAAGAAGACTCAGATATTCATGAAAGAGAAAAAATTGTATCTATCGTGTCTGGCATTCTTCGTCTTAAAGAATTTGACTTTATAGATACACTCAAAATTGAAGCAATGACTTCTATTCAAACCACAATAAAGCAATGTGTTATAGAAATAATTTCAGAGAGAGATGGAAGCACAGAGATTGTGCTCAGAGGATCAAGTGCAGACAACACACGATTACTATGCAATGAAGGCATTACTTTTCTCCAGAAAATTACACCAAACATAATGAATCTATTTAAAAGAATATTAGCAGTTAACAATTTGATTTTGGAAATTACTCAAATGGATGATGTAACAGGAAATGACAGTGAAGATATTTGGACTGCAGAGGAACTACTCTCTGTTGAAGAAAAATTAAAAAAGATGGTTGCTTCACTTTCAGATTACTGTAATGAAAGATGTGCTAATCTCATAGTGACTAAAACTGACAAGGATTATGTTTTTTCTGACATGTCTCAATTATCAATCTTATCTAAACTTATTGAAGAATTTTGTAACAAATGTGAAGAGATAACAGGGCATTGTAGTAATGCAATGAAGTTAGCACTAAGAAGCTATGCTATGAAATATATACAGTGCTTGCATGCAGAACGAAGAATCCAATTGACCACAGCACTCAACACTGAAAGATGGAAAGCTGCAGATGTTCCATGTGAATTACAAAGTGCTATTAATGAAATACATGAGACCGGAGAAATTCCAAATTCTCAAAATTATGATAGTGGTAAAACTGATGGAAAATACTTACTAATAAATAAAGAGAGTTATGCTGTTGTGGCTACAATTCAACTTTTAATAAAAATATTACTGGAATATTGTGATGCAACAAAACAGTCACCCGTTATTGTCCAATACTTAGTACATTGTATGTTAGAATTGATCCAATTGTTTAATTCTCGGTGCTGTCAATTGGTACTAGGTGCTGGTGCAATACAAAGTGCAGGATTAAAAACTATATCTACTTCTAACCTGGCATTAGTTTCTAGATCTCTACAGGTTGTAATCTGGATTCTTCCTAAAATTAGGAGACTGCTTGAGAGGCAATATTCAAAGGAATTGTCTTTAAATGGTTTTAGTAATATAGAGAATGATATAATTAGCCATAAGCTGGAAATAGAGAATAAAATTTGTGTTATAGTTAGTAACATGCTCGCATCTCAACTTACTACATGGGATGCAAAACCACCTGTTCCGTCTCAGACATTCCGAAATATTTCTAAGCACTTAGTTAAATTACATGAAGCCCTCATTGACATCTTACCAAATGAACAAATAAGGACAATTTATAAGAGAGTACATGATAATTTTAAAGATAAACTTAGAGAGCAGTTGCTAAAAATGAATATAGTTGCAAATGGTAGCCCTCAACATGGTGTTGTTACATCAGAATTAACATTTTACTTGCAAACTCTTAAAACATTGCGAATTATCAATGAAAATGATGCTGAGGACAATATATTGTATGATATTTGGTTAAATTAAGTTCACAATTAAGATATATGTATATGAATAAACAGTATATTGTGTAGCCATTTTTTGTATAAAAGTACTTATATAATGTATCTATTTATTAATCTTAGTAAATATGTATGTTGAATCATACTTTGGCAAAAATTTGACTTGTAAAAGGGCCAAAGAAAGATGTAATATAAAGTGACTGTGTAAATATAGTTGGTTAGTAGGACAATGAATGAATTTATGCAACTAATAAGCCTTGTTTCTGTTACTAATAACATTTGTAGTGACTGTACCTATACTGTAATTCAAGCTCTGTATTGCAATCATTGGCATTTAACCAATATAGTAATATTGTAAAATTATAATATTATGCACTTTAATACTAAAGATTATTTTATTACCTACCTTTTATTATACCTACTAGTAGAAATCAAAATAAAGGAAAATAAAAATAATCTCCTTTTTGATCTATCTTTCTAATATATTTGTATTTACCTATCGCTCTCAAAGACAGTGATATGAAGAACGATCTGCTAATGTAATTATACCATAACTAGCTTTTACCCACAGTTTAGCTCGCGTAAATGTCGATTTTGTCAATTCTGTCCGGGATTAATGCCTCTGTGCTATTCTAGACTATAATCTATCCATGTGCCAAATCTCGTCCAGATCCAGAAAGTCGTGTTAGGGTGATTGACTCGCACCAGGGACTTCCTTTCTAGGGTATACCTGGTTCCCCGGCTATTAGTACCCGAGACGGCGTGCGGTTTTAGTCGGTTCGAGTCCGACATTTTTTGTAACCACCTAAACATGGTCGGGTTACCACGGTCTTGCAGCTTCTAATGACTTTTATTTAATTATCTCGTAAATTATTATATGTACTACGCTGAAATTTTACAGGTAGACAACTGAACTAAACAACTAATTATTGGCATAACATTCAGTTTATATATCCACACACAGGTTTATCGGTGGCCAAAAAAGGCCGCACACATTGTGATCGTGAACGTGGAGAGCTACATTTCATCATAACTTTTTAGTCACTTACAGTATTCTTACGAAAATTCGTATACATTTGAAGGTAGTAACAAGCAATACAATAACGTTTCAAGTAAGTCTTTAGAGGTCTTATTTAAAGTGTTAGGACGTATTGAAGTGTTTTCATACTTACCTAAATAATTTTTAAACGGTCCATTATTTTTGTTATTTTATTGTCGAACAAATTAAAACTAATCCTTAAGAAGTTATGTACAAAAGATGGTTACAATCCGCTTACCCGTTTCAGAGATCCAGCAAACCCACAAACGTTACTCCAGCAGGATTTCGAATAACTTCACAGCCGTAGAAAATACAAATACCAAATAAGTTGTAACATTTACCTAGTCCAGATAACTAATTATTAAGCTAAAATTTATTTCAATATTACAATTAAAAAAGAAAATGTCTGGCTGCGGTAACGTTTCAAACGTTACCCCAGCAGGAAATGTTTTTTTGAAATAACTAAAAAAGTTTAAGTGAAACAAATTTAAAAATGTGCTTAACAATTACAGAAGGGGAGCAACTAATTATCTATAACGTTTAAATGACCATTTTCGACATTATTTTGCTGGGGTAACGCACACATTGTGCACTCTTAAGGGAGGAATTTAAAAAATCCTTTCTTAGTACTTAGGCCGCGATTTTTAAAGGTAGTTACAAAAGTGCTTGTTTCGGGCCACAAGGCCACAAAGCAAGCACTTTTGTAACTACCTTTAAAAACCGCGGCCGTTTGTCGGAATACGATTTTTTTATTAATAATAACCTTACACATCTTACACACGGCTGTCTGATTCCAAACTAGGCAGAGCCTTTACTATGGTAACCAGACTGGTGATAAACATACTTATATATTTCTAAATAAATACATATTATAGAAAAATTACACCCAGATACAGAACAAACGATCGTGCTCATCACACAAATATTTATCTTGGGTGGGAATCGAACCCACGACCACCAGCTTAGCAGTCAGGGTCATTAACCACTAGACCAACAGGCCCATCAAATGTCAGCCATTAATAACTGAGTGACCGTTTTTCGCAATTGCCATACATTACTTCCTTATTATTCTTAACCCAAAAGTTTCAAGTAAGGGAAAGTACAAATAAATGCAAATGGCATTTAGTAAGCCTTGTGCATTTAAGTCGTATCCATTGAGGGTAGAGGTATGGAGAGCTGTCTCTGTGTATGAAAGGTGTCCGTCAAAAGCCATTAAATTGAGGGTACTACAGTAGCATCAGGATATTTTTAAAGAAAGCGCCAAGAATTTTTAAGTAGCTTAGAGAAATAAACATTGAAAGAAAACCATTTCAGACACCGATATTTCGAGTCCTTGCTTTGGGCACACATGTCACATCACATGTCGTGTTTGTTACTTAAACACAAATCCTGTTTGTTACTAAAACTAACTAATGAATATTAAAATGCGTATATTTGCCGTAAATAGTGTTTTAGTTTTATTTTGTAGGAATACTAGCTGATCCGGCAAACGATGTTCTACCATATAAATTATCAAGGAAACCAAATAGCGTTTAAAAAATGGGGGGATTCGACCTATTCTCATACCTACCAATATACAAAAAAAAAAGTACAATCGGTAAAGCCGTTTCAAGGGGGTATCACTACATATTAGATGAATCCAAAAATTATCCCTAGGTTTACGTCAATCAATAAATTACTGTTTTTTTTTCAATTATTTACTAATTAAAGGCCAGTAACACAGCAGTTTTCGCTTTTCAGTTGCAGGTGTCCATGGGCTGCGATAGTCTTCACTTACCCGTCACGCGATCCGTCTGCTCAATTTACCTGTATATCTTCTGTCACTTTATACATGTTACTTGAACTACTGTGGTGGTCACAGCAATCCTACAGATAAAAATTTCAGGTAGAAAATGTCACATTTCAGTCAATCTAGGTATCATAGTACAAGATCTGCTTAGATTGAAACTAAATGGTGTTGTGTGTCAGATGTCTGAAAATATTATTATCGTTATTATGTAAGTAATAAATGTTGTAATATTTTGTTGTAGATTGGAACGGGCTGCTTCAGCCCGCACTATTTTTATGCATACACTGTTATTTGCACGATACCCTTATAATATCTAAATAATCTAATCTTCAAAACGGCTAGATCGATTTTGATAATATTTTACTACCAAGTAGCTGTCTATATAAAGAGTAACTTAGGCTGGGAAGATACGTACGTATAAAATAGGAGTATAAAAGAGGTAATTATATTAGCCTAGTATACTGACTAAATAAAACATTTATTTACTTCAATAATAAATTTATTTTACTCTTAACAATATTATGAAAAAATATACATACCATAGGTGGCCAAATTAATAGGGACAGTGCTCGTATTTATGTAATTTATAGTTTATTATATTTTTTTGAATAAATGATGTTGTTTTTAAGCGGTTATTGTATCTGATATATTTACTGGTGTCATTATTATTGTTTTTGTCAAATGGCAAAACAGAATACGTGCGTTTTTTATCAATTGTGTGACGTTTCTTCTTTGCCAAACAAGCGCGCGTTTCTTTGCGCGGTTTTCGGTATTATTGTTGTATTGTCTAGGTATTATTTTTTCATTAGTTTTAACCGACTTTTGTGTCTTAATTAATCAAAAGGTAAGTAATGCTCCGTATAAGAATAGTTTTGCTACGTTTTGTCTATGAGTTTACATTTTATTAATGGTTCAACACGTTAACCCAAAATTATAAGCTTCTTAGGATGGGTAGGACTTTGGACACGTCTCCAAGAAAATGTAGAGAGATACAAACGTTGTTACTGCACTCCAAACATTCTCAGAGAGACATAGCAGCTATTGCTGGGGTTTCAAAGTCTGTCGTCAATCGAATAAAAATAAAAATTGACAATAAAAAGCCTCTTGAAGCAAATCGTGCTGGCAAATGTGGCAGGAAAAGGATTACAACAGCTCGTACCGATTGAAAAATCAGGAACATCTGCCTCGAAAACCGTAAAAAGGGCGTTGCTCGTTTAACAACTATGATAAACGAAGAGGGCATAAAGATTTCAGAGAGGACAATGCGGAGGCGGTTGGTCGAAAAGAATCTCATGGGAGTGCGGCCTGCCAAAAAACCACGCCTAACCGATAGTATGAAAAAGAAACGACTCCAATGGGCTAGGCAACATCGATCTATGACTATTGCAGACTGGAGTCGAGTAAGTGCAACTATTTTGTATAATGCAATTGGTCAATAACAATTTATTTATTTATTCTACTATTCATTCTATCAATTACAGGTGTGTTTTCCGACGAACCTACCTTCCAAATTTTGGTTGACAATAGTTATTTTATAAGACGACGTCCTGGTGAGAAATTTCACGCTGATTGCCTTGTAGAGAAGGTTAAACACCCGGTTAGTGTCATGGTGTGGTCTGTCATCTTAGCCAAAGGCATGGGACGCCTATACATCGTGGAAGGGACTATGAAACAAGACCAATACAAGAGAGTACTAGAAACGCGATTATTGCCGCAGTTCAATGAATTGTTCCCTGATGATGACGAATACATTTTTATGCATGACTCAGCACCGTGCCACAAAGCCAGAAGTGTGACTGCATTTTTGGCTGAAAAAAATGTCTCTGTTTTGCCTTTGCCAGGGAATTCACCAGACATGAATCCAATAGAAAACATGTTGGAACTCACCAAACGGGCGATCGCAAAAGAAGTGATTACCACTAAGCGACAATTGATTGAAACTCTCATCAGAGAATGGCATCACAACTCCAAACTCCAGGAAAATGCAAAAAAATGTATTGAGAGCATGCCCCGACGCATAGAAGCTCTTATTGCAGCAAAGGGTGGCATCACTAAATATAAAAAAATATTTTATTTATTTTTACCAATATTGATAATACTCATACGAAGAATATAAATCAGTTTTGTATATTTTTTTGTAGTTTTTGTGATCCTTATAGAATACAGATACAAAGAAAAAATATATAAGAGACCTACAACTAATCGTTTGTTACAGAAATCCAATTAAACTAGGAAATTCAAAAATTTCGATACTGTCCCTAATAATTTGGCCACCTACTGTATATAACATCCATCATATAATTATAATGATATGGTTGTATTGCCAATTAATGAAATGCCTGTTTATATCACGAGTTTCTCTTTGGCGAATCAATTATTCTTACCTAAACTTAACAGTAGAAGTAAGCAACAGTTAGCTAGATAGCTAACGTATTTCCATATTTTTGTAAGGTCACCATGGCAAGTTATAAAAATAACGTTTTTAAATGTCGCAACAGGTATAAAGACAGATAGATCGACGATGTTTATGCACATGGTATGGTAGGCACACCACGTGCAACGTTTATCATCGATTAACGCATTCCCAATGAATTATGAATTATATTAACACTTATTCTAACTTGTCATAAAAATATGAAGCTAATGGGTATCTTATAACAAAAGCTATGCATGTACAAAAGACCTGAAAACACAGAAGTTTCTTCGTTAATTGAGCCTCCGACTGTGGCCCTAACTTAATTAAAAATAAATTTATTACAGTCATGTTATTAATTGTTACACTTTCCTTATCTTCTATTTTGTCGACTAAACGTAGAATTGTTAAGACTTGAAGAATAAATTTTGTCAAGAAAGTGAAGTCTTTTTTCGCTATAATAGTTCTACTTGCCGTGAGTAAGTCAGTTTCAGCACTATATTTAGGTAAACGATGTCTTGGACATGGAATAATATGGAATAACTGAGGCACTGAATAAAGAAAATTAATTATTTGTGGTAAGAAAAATAGTAAAACGGTTTTACTGAAATGACTCAAAATAGCTACAACAGCAAATGTCATGCCTGATACATAGCAGAACGTATCTCCAACGAAAACCTTTGAAGGATACCTGTAAGAGAAAAGCAATAAATTTGTACCATATAACATCGAGATAAATTTACATGGTAAATCCATGTAATTTTGAGACCATGTGAGCAGTGGCGGATTACACCTAGGGCCAACTTGGAACGTGCTTATGGGCGCGAGGTTACAAAGAATTTTAAACGCGCGCGCAGAATTTTAAACAAAGAAAGAATATAGCCAAACGTAAAAAGAAATGTGTCAGTAAGTATGCACATACTAACACAATATAAACGATTCTATAGAGATGTTTAAGGGCGACATCTAGACTTTGTATTACGTAATTGTCACTACTTCTATGCTTTACTTCTATGAAGCTGGTACATGTGCACAAAAACAAAAGCTGGTACATGTGTACTTGCTACAACAGCAACTGTAATTGAGCTTGTAATACATTGCGATAAAACATGGCTTACTTTATAAAGAACTTACCTACGGTTATACTTAAGTTTATATTTCGAGGGCACAAAATCAATTCAATCAATGTGAACTTACCAATTGTGCTTTAATAATGCTAGTGTTGTTGCAACGTATGGTATCAGAATGTAGAGTGCAAATATATGAGCCTTGAACTGGTCCCCTCTCAATTCAATAATGTCGAAAACAATTATTGATAACGCTATAATAACAGACTGCCCCACTTCAAGGCCATTGATTCCAGCCAGTATGTTTATTGCATTAGTGCAAAATACTGCTAACATCCCCATATAGATGTAGTATAGAAATCCTGAAAAGGTTTAAAAGTTTTAATTATAGATTTATTATCAGTAGTCATAAAAAATTGCTAGGAATAATAATTATAGTTCAAAATTAAAAAGCTTGCTTGCTTGCTTAACTGACGAACCTATGCTTTATCGTCTAACCATTGTACCTATATAAATTACCACTTATTTGATTAAAAGTGACTTCCAAGAGTTGTTTACAGATTATTAATAAGCATTTAGTAAACAATTGTCTTTCAATACTTTATAGGATCTCAATTAGGTTTGAGAAAATAGTCACAAATCTATTTTAAGCGCTAATTGCCGAGCAAGATACCGGAGGAATATCTTTCGGACTTCTAGAACGCAGCCCGAGACAGTATTGTCACGGTATATATATTTATGTTTACGGGAGTTAAGGCGCTAAGGTATTAAGCACATACCTTTGAAATGCCTGACGTTTGCCAGGCATTTCCGTAAACATAATTCTACTTATATTATGAAACGTGATAAAGTTCGTATTGTCACGGGTTTGGCGTTGTGTTGCGCTGCAATGAGGGGGCAAAATCTTCCAAATCCAACTTCCAATTCGGGGTCATAAGAGGTTTATTTTAAAACCCTGAATAAAAACACATGCTGTATACACCTGTATGTTTTAATTATAATAATAATATTTTCACACATCTCACTCACGGCCGCCTGATCCCAAACTAGGCAGAGCCTGTACTATGGTATTGGTTTGATAGTATCAACCAGGGCTGTTGCGATTATCAGTATCAGCATCAGCATCCGCAACGATGGATGCTTTTTTTTAATGCTGACATTCAAGTCGTAACGTGTTCGTTGAAGGCGGGACCTAGCGTCAGTCACGTAGAGTTTTAAGCAATCATAGACAGTTTTACAAAAAAACATAACTCTACCTTGGCAGTCCGCTAAAACCACTAGGTACACAATAAAGAACTATCTGCACAGGCTCAGAGATTCCTATCATCTCTGTTTTTTTTAAATATAACTTACCATTAATTCAAGTACTCAAATATTAATGTGTCTTTTATCAGCTCACAAAAAATAATCGTTTTTTTTCTTTTAATAAATATTACGTTGTGACGAGCGTGCGCATTATTGATTAATAATATAGTAGTACTAGTAGTACAAGTATTTATAAACGTCGGTTATTATTATAAATGATTATTACAAAAACATGTATCATATATGTTTACTTATACTATAGTTAGGTATATTTTGTTAACAAAAAGAATGTAATTATTAAGTACTAGCTCTGTCCGCAGCTCCGCCCGCGTGTATGTCGGTTATTCGGGTAAAAAATGGCCTATGTTGCTAGCTCGTTACTTTCCATTAGTTAAAGACTTTTTAAAATTGATTGCTTAACCAATTTTAAAAAGTCTTTAACTTAGTTTAGGCGTGAATGCGTTACAAAGAAAGAAACAATATTACTTCCACATTTAAAATATACCTAAGCACACTACATTTTAAATACTAATATATATATAATAATAATATATATATATTAATAAGCTAATAATTTTATACTAGTATATGTTTTATCAAGTTACTTATTAATATCAGTATCCGCTGTTATTGATGTGAAAAAATCAGCATCCGCTGATACAGTAAAACACAAATCAGTAACAACCCTGGTATCAACCATGGTAACAGTTTGTTGGTCACTATAATTAACAATAGGTACATGTAAACAGCAAATGGCATGGCAAACAAGATGATTGTGGGCCTAAGCCTTAGTTGGTATACAGTATTAACTTTATCTATTTTAGCCTTTACTTACCAATATTAACTGAAACACCCAGCCAATATCGTAGTTGTATGGGGACTACAAAAGTAGTAGAGTTGAAATTAACATAATAAACTACTAGCAAAGGTAGGGATGCAACTGTAGGTAGCAGTAATTTATACCTCCATCTCAGATCTAAAACATCATCTGCAAACCCTAAGAGTAGCATGCAGCAAATTGACAAAAGTCCAGCCAGTAATTCTGCAAACTGAGAAAAAAATATTTAAGGACTGCACTGCACTAAGGGTTATGTTTTGCAAGTATATGTGTGTTTGTATATATTTTACTTTGGCACACTCTGTAGCCTAAAGGGGTTGAGAGATTTCGTAAGTATGTCTTAATTGTATCACTGGGTACACATAAATAAAAAATGCCAGTTTGTAAATTTTAAGTATCTATTATCACATAGTCTCAAGTGTTTTGTTTTTTCAATACTTAGCTTGTTTAGACTGATTAGAAATCACTTAAACTTACATTTTTTTAAATTGCAATAAATAAATCCATTACATTAAAAAGGATAAATGTTGGTTAAATTTAATGTACACATAAGAATCTAATAATGTACATTTGGTAAAATTTTATATATACATACCTCTAAGTTAAGCTAAGCCTATAAATGTCTAAGGTTTTTAGCAGTCACACACTTTAATTAAGGGGTATGTCTTGTATCAATAGGTAGTTATCTGCTATTAACTTGTTACTGTTTGGAAAAAAGGTAAGATTTAACAAAAATCAATCACAATTAAAACCTATTTTGTAATAATAACTTAATATTATCATAAATTTTACACCCTAATAGCAGATTTCAAAAAACATGTATAATATTTTGTGTCAATTCATAAAAAAAATTCTATCTCTCTGAGGGTATACCCATTATGTTTATTAGAACACTCAAACAAGTAGTTTTATAATTTCTGCTCCTGCCTTTCCTTTAAGCTATTAGACATTCTCTTATTTTGATAAAATATTTTTATACAAAAACGGTTGAGCGCATGTGTCACATAATTTTATGTCTCTAAATTTAAGTGCCTAAAACCTTTCGTGTATGAATATAATTTTTTTAAACCTTACCTCATTGTGCGGGAAATGTTGTCTATCCATTAAGCCATTTCCAAATACAATGGGGATGTATAAGAAGCTTGTTACCAAGAAGACACATCCAGACACCACACCTATTGCTTCTGGGCTACATTAAAAACAACTTTTAAAGTTGTGGTTTACAAAGACAAGTTACAGAATTACCAAATGAAATGCAGTGTCACTTAAAAGTGTATGAGAAATACTACTAATATGTACTTACATTTTATCTTTATTAGTTTTACATAAGTCCACACCGTATAGGCCGGCTTTCACAAATAGGTCTTTGAGGTTCGGTATTAGTCCATCTGTGATTTTGTACGCTAGTGCGGACAATATTAATAATATAAGTATTTCCCACATTATGAGATTGTTGCAAGGGAATTAATATAAAAAAGTAATTCAGTACATTGCATTAATTCATTGTAAAGTAGTAACTCTTAATCCTGTGGGATCTAGATGATGGAAGTGGAAGGAAAATATAAATCGACGCAATGACAGCAGACTGACAGCTGACAGTAAATTGTTGACATGCAGTATTAAGGCCAATGCACGTTGAAATTAATATAGGCCGATGTTAGTAGCCCAAGACAGGCGAGTCGAGTGAGTGATATTCATTTTTTTTATTATTTAAAGGTATACATTTATTTAAAGGTGCAAGAAGTGAAAAATAAGGGAGGAAAATCTAGTATCTAGTACATAAATAAAAATAAAAAAAATTAATGAAAATTAAGTTAGAATATTTACAACATTTACACTCCGCATCATCGCCTACTGGTAGCGTTCCCAGAAGACTGGCAGCATTGCCACGTTGAATGGCAATGCTAATTCTCTGTGCTAGAAAAAGACCAGCCTTCTGATCACGAGAAGTGTCAATCAGTAGTTTAGCTAGCTGTTTATATATAGTACGAGCACTTGGACCCGATGACCCTAGTTGACATTTCGACCAAACGGTTCAATAATGTAATTTCCTAGTAATTTCTGATATTTACGCCGTTTCAGGGTTTCGTCGTAACCAGCAGTGCTTGGCAAATGTGATGGCGCAAGGGTGTCGACGCAGGTTGCGTCCCACATCAAAGGCTTTCAAAAAATCCTTCCAAGGTCTCTTCGAAAAAAATACGTGAACCCAATGGTCTGGTTCGAGACGATTCTCATTTCGATTTCAATTTCAATTTATTGTTAATAAAGAAAAAATAAAAGAGTAATTATTTATATAAAGTAATAATGCAAGTGAAGTCTTTGGAACCATTTTCAAGTTGTGGATAAAGCTTTTAGTTTTTTGAATTGTTTAAATCAACTATGTTTTTCTCTATGGAGTGTAGAGGTTAGGAGCACTATCCTGTGCCAATTATAATCCGTAAGAGCCATTTAAAAACAGTGAGAAGATAAAGGTTTTTAAACGGTTTTATCCAACTTGATCTGTTTGAGTCAAATTTAATAATTAAAAATTTTCCCCTTCCTCTTAACCGATTGATCTGAAATTTGGTGCACACCTTTAGTCCTGATGACAATGCAAAAATATATAGTGAATGGAACCGCAAGAGTATAGTTAGTAATAAAACTCGAAAAGCAACTATAAATCACTAGTTATACATAAATACCGAATACTTTCATATGAACAAAAAAATGGTGTTTTCCGCTATGGGTTATACTTCCTTTGTGCATAACTATAAGTAATTGGCATGTATGCTATTTCCAGATCAGTCCGTTTCTGCTATGCATTAATGTCGTAGTCTAAAAAGGGCGGACATTTATTTTAAATTAAATAAATTAAAAATTAAAAATAATTTAAGGGCTAATATAATTAATATTTAATATTTATTTTCAGCAACATTCATTCAACAAAAAACAAATCTGACATTGACATACTTTTTGTAGGTATTGAAAACAAATACTTTGTAAATGGTTAAACTACTTAAAATAAGTAATTGTAATAAATAATTATTTAAAAACAAATTATAATACATCCGAACGGCAGCATTGATCCCGTAATATTGTAACATAACACTTATGAAAATGAGTAATATGGACGAAATTGAAGAAGAAGCGAAAGCAGCAGCCGAAAAAATGGTCATGAATATGATGCAGAGACCAGGGCAACTTGAAAAGGTTCACTATTTAAACAATATCTCAAAATTCCTTGTCTAAAATCTTTTTTTTTAACTATCTCAGACAGCCAAAAATTATGCTAAGAAGAGAGAAGATCAATTCTAACCTAAACTATTGTTTTCTTTCTGACATCATCATCAGCCTATCGTAGTCTACTGCTGGGCTCTTTCATTGCACGCCACTTTGATCGATTTTTGGCTTCTAAATAAACATCTTATTTTGTTTTGATAAAATTAATAGAATTAATCTATATTATAAGTCTGCTGCTGAAGATTTATTTATGTATATAAGAATGTTTTTAATTCTATCTTTAACAAATTAGATTTTACTATGAATATATTTAAAAAAGTCATCTTTAGTTACCATATAATCTTAATTAAAGCAGAATCTTACATAAGTAGGAGAACAAATCTTTGCTTAAGAATGAAAAATAATTCCTTATTTCAACCTTCACAGTCATTTTGTCATTTACCAATTATTTATAGAATTGTTTATTTTAAAAGTAAAACATGTTAGAAAAATATTTAGTAATGACAAAAGTACTTTAATTCAAATAATTAAAATTAGACAGTTGTATATTCCTTACAATTTGTTGGTTGTTGTTTTACAATTGTTTTTGTTGGTTTACAATTTGACAACATAACATACATAATCATTGTGAAATAATCAAATTTATATTTATTAACTTAAACATTTATCTTAGGGTCATGAAACAAAGCTTTACAATTAGAAAACAAAATTAGGTAAAATATAAAAGATCTATTAAAAAAAAGTAATTACTAATAGTTTAATTTATTGTGTTATCAGTCACTTCTTCATGGTAACAATGATTACAAATACATTTCATCTATAATATTCTCACTGATATCTTTTTCAAATGTTGTGACACCTACTCCATTTCTATAAACACCTGTATCTTCAGCCAGAATATTTTGTTTGACGTCTCGCCCTGTTGTTATTAGATTTTTGCCAATTCGTCACTTTATCAGGCCCAGTAAATTTATTTTCTACTTCAAAAAGATGGTTAGAACTTTTATCAGTGTGCACTGATTCACTCTCTATAATATCTTCTTGTAATTTCCTCATTATTTGAGAGTCATGTTCAACCCTAGGAGCCATTTTATATTAAAAAACAAACAAAAACACCAAAGTTAAACCACCACCAAATAGTAGAAAAATATTTCTATACTTTTCAACGACGGGCGCGCATAGTCCTTTCTTTCGACTAAACTAAAAGATTTATGTAAAACACGGGGCAGGCGGAGAGGGTGGGTATACAGCTAATTTTGTTTGTAATGAACTTAGAAGAGGCTATTTAAGACGAAAAAGAGTTGTGATGAAAGTATTGGATCATCATTTCACAGACGTAAAAAGCGCCATTTCGAAAGTGGTTTATTGGTTTTACGTCAACAATTTGCTTTTAAATGAACATAAAACTAAGTGTATATGTTCCACTATGCCGAACATCAAATACATCAAATAACACTAGATTCTAAGCTGCAGTGGGGGCCTACATATTGATAAATTATCGAGTAGTAATTATGGTTTTTTTTAAAGAAAAATTCGAGAGTTGACTGATGATGATACAGCACGACTTGTCTACTTCAGTTATTTTCACAGCATAATGTCATACGGTATTGGTATTGGTTGTGGGCTTCGGTTTCCGCATTTAGACTCAGAGTGGTCCTTTATGCGTCGAGGATTGGTTGACTAGGTGAGCCAGCCAAGCTCCTTCCAGAAGCGCAGAAGCCTCCTGGGGCGTTCACAGGCTTCTAGGAGCAACTTTATATCGGGGATGATACTTGCCCGTTGTGTGGCCACTCCCTCGCATTCCAGGATTACGTGGATGACCGTTTCTTCAGCTTCCAGACATCCTCTGCACAGGGGACTGTCCGTTGCATTGATTATGAACTGTTGTCGATTCAGGGCTAGATGTCCTGTAATAGTTCCGACAACCATTCTGATTTCCGGTCAACTCTCGAATTTTTCTTTAAAAAAAAACATAATTACTACTCGATAATTTATCAATATGTAGGCCCCCATGCGCTAAAACTGAACAAAACTTCTTATCCAAACAATATCACCAACATCAAAAGAAAAAGAAATAGTAACAAATAATATTAATAATTTTAATATATAATAGTAACAAAAAATATTAATAATTTTAATATATAGCAAAGCGCAATACGCTTTTAACAAATGTGACTCAACTCTAACAAAAATATCACTAAGTGATTTAAAAGAAAGGGCACAAAAATCCCTTTAACAAACTCAAGTTGGTCCAAACCAACAAAGAATCACCAAAATGGTGTAGAGAAGCATCAACAAACCAACTCTCTACCAAACATGAGAAAATTAAGTGTAAAACCAGTAACCAAATTTACACTTCTAATAAAAGCTAACTAAATGTGAGGCTAAAATTTAAAGCAAGAACAAACTAACAAAATCTAATCTTTAACAAAACATGATACAAGTCTCTACTGTCTTATTGTACCTCTCCACAGGGTCAGAAGTGTGTACAAAGTGCTATGAAACATTTTTGCAATGTTACAACCTTTAACGAAATCTACAAAATGCCTAGAAAAGAATTGAGTAACCTAAACACAACTATTATCTTAGAACAACCAACTTCAAGAAACTATTGGAGACTATTAAAACCAAGAATACAACTATTTGAACCACTATTCAACTATTTGAACTACTATCCAATAAACCCAAAAATGTATTCCCACTAATTGAAAATTCTAAATAAGGCGCTTAAGAAATAAAACAGGCTAAAAAATATATATGCTATAAACCTATAAACGCTAAAGAAAATCTTGAATAATCCAACCAGTCTAAAAATTCCATTCTGCGAGTGACTCCGTCAGACCCTTCAGTGTGACTAACCATTTTTACAACATCGAGACATCCCCAGTGTTCTCAGAAGCCGGAGCTCGATGAAACCTAATCAGTGTTTTCACTCAGGTGAGCTTTCTTGGCCGAAATGCACACATCACAAAACCTTGTGGTAACCCCAACTTCTGACGCTTGAGACAAATCATACCAGGAATCGAAGAACAGTTCTTAAAGGTGTGACAGGCTGACTCACCATTCAAACAAACAACGCTAGTATAGTTTAACATGATAGCGTTGGACTATACTCTTTCAAATTCAAAAGGCTTGGAGTAATCTTTAAGAGATTTCCAATTAACAAAAACTTCAAACTGACAAAAACTACAAAATTCCAAAGCGGCAGTCCAAATGTTAAGTTCTTCAAAGTTAATTAAGTTTAAATTTATTTAAAAGTGAATCGTAGTGAAAGGATAAATTCAAATTTATTTAAAAGTCAACTGTTGTGAAAACCTAAGTTTAAATTATTTAAAAGTTAAATGTTGTGAAAAACTAGGTTCAAATTTATTTAAAAGTTAGATGCTGTGAAAAGCTAAGTTTAAATTATTTACAAGTTAAATGTTGTGAAAAGCTAAGTTCAAATTTATTCAAAAGTTAAATGTTGTGAAAAGCTAGGTTCAAATTTATTTAAAAGTTAAATGTTGTGAAGAAAAGTCTAAATTGATTTAAAAGTGAAGTGAGAAAAGTCAAGTTTTAATTTAAATATCTAAGTTCTGTATTAAAAAGGATTTAAAGATTGCAGTAACCACTAACAATTGTTTTAATAACTAGATAATAACAGTAAAGTTAAGCTAAATTAAGTTAATCTTAATTTACAATAAGTTATAATATAATAATTCCAAAGTGGAGGTATCTATAAAATGTTTCTCGAGCAGACTTATAATTAACATTCAAAGCTATTAAATTGTAACACAAAATGCTTCAGTAACTATACCCTTAATTGAGAATACAATAGGCAGCAGTATAACTTAAATTATTGTTGTTTGCTAAAGCAAAAATAACATTGTGAAGAAAAGTCACAATGTTGTAATCTAATGTTGAAAAATTGTGAAAATAACCTCACTTAAATAATAACACAATTGGAACAAAATTATCAAGCAAATAATACACAATGTATGTAATACAAATGTAGAATGCAGTAAAGACAGTATCTAATCAGTTATCTAATTAACCTACAGACACTACTTCAGTCCCTGAGCGCTGGCGACAATTGTAATATTAAAAAAATTAAAAAAAAAAATATGGGTGTTCTGCTGTTATAAAGAAACAAAACTAACTGGTGGCATCACAAATACTAACAAATTAACAAACTAACAACTCGGGCGCCAGATACCACCTTAAAAGAACACAGAACCAACCACAAACACAATAAATGCCTCGGACAACTCGGTCAGCGCTAGACCTTTAATCTAGGACGGGGGGCAGCTAAAAAATACAAAGATGTTAAGTTCTAGTGGCAGTTTATTATCCCGTAGTGCCTGTAGAGTACAAAGTATCTTAGGACTCTAATTACAATAGGTAATTCTTATACTCCAATTAGTACTGTCGTTAATGCAATCCTTTTCAAATAAATGAATAAACCAAACTAAAATTAAATATGTTTTAAGGGTCACATAAAGACTCAATAAGAAATAAATCTAAGGGTAGTTGTGGCATCGACCTACTCTCTAGTAAAAAAAACACCCCTTGGGGGGCCTGCAGTATCCCACGCCAGTGCCCCCCGTCCTAGATTAAAGGTCTAGCGCTGACCGAGTTGTCCGAGGCATTTATTGTGTGTGTGGTTGGTTCTGTGTTCTTTTAAGGTGGTATCTGGCGCCCGAGTTGTTAGTTTGTTAATTTGTTAGTATTTGTGATGCCACCAGTTAGTTTTGTTTCTTTATAACAGCAGAACACCCATATAATTTATTTTTTATTTTTTTAATATTACACTAGCTAACCAATCCTCGATGCATAAAGGACCACTCTTGAGTCTAAATGCGGAAACTGAAGCCCACAACCAATACCAATACCAATACCTGCCTCTAGGCTCCAAAAGATAAACAAGTTGTTTAGAGGTCAATGTGTCCGATTTTATAATATAATTCCAAATTATAAATAGATTGCATAGAAGGCAAAAATGGTTCGCAGGCTATTTCTTAAGTGGAAATGTGATGTGGGTTAGTAGGTGGTAGGCTCCAAAAGATAAACAAGTTGTTTAGAGGTCAATGTGTCCGATTTTATAATAAAATTCCAAATTATAAATAGATTGCATAGAAGGCAAAAATGCTTCGCAGGCTATTTCTTAAGTGCAAATGTGATGTGGGTTAGTAGGTGGTAGGCTCCAAAAGATAAACAAGTTGTTTAGAGGTCAATGTGTCCGATTTTATAATAAAATTCCAAATTATAAATAGATTGCATAGAAGGCAAAAATGCTTCGCAGGCTATTTCTTAAGTGGAAATGTGATGTGGGTTAGTAGGTGGTAGGCTCCAAAAGATAAACAAGTTGTTTAGAGGTCAATGTGTCCGATTTTATAATAAAATTCCAAATTATAAATAGAAACTTAAGAAATCTTAAGTGGAAATGTGATGTGGGTTAGGTGTTTTTTATTATTTTCAATTTTTTATGTTTCACTTCACTTTCTATTTTATTTGATCTTTTTTCCATACTTATTTTCCTCTTTATTGTCTTTTTACCTTTTAATCCTTAATAATGGAGATACTGGCACACATCGGAACAATGTTGTGGTATATTTAATGATGCCATTGTATTTATATGTAAATTGCAAAAGAGTGGCCATGAGTTTTGTTTGCCCTTCTCATAAGGCTGAACCCCTTGGAAACGGTCGGTTGTGGATCGGCACAGGCATATCATAGATTTTTTATAAGCATAATTTTTATTATTTTTATTTTCTTTTAGTTTACTTTTCTTTAGTTTATTTGACAAAACAGAGATTGTGTGTGTGTTGATCTACGACTTTAGAGTCTACATAAAAGACGATTTACAACAATTTCTATGAAATAAAGATCTTTGAATTTGAAATTTGAATCATCGTCAGCAACAGTCAACATCAATAATCCATTGCTGGACATAGGCATAAGGAGGATCCTTAGAGAGGAGGTTTTGGCCTACTATGCCAGACACGCTGGCCCGTCTGGCCATTGGTATAGGGTTTGTTTCAAGCATTCCTTCTCTTTGCAGTGCTGTTGTCCTGTATAGTTTGCTCCCTTAATCGGCTCTTACGACACCCACGGGATGAATATCCGTATTCTTAATTGGTCACCACACGGAGTATTGGATGTTATAAACAAAAACGTATCAAGTGGGGTTGATTTGATACCACGCTTGAAGGTTAGACAAACTAGTGATATTTTACGAAATCATTTTTTTGTTTTTAATATTAACATGACAGTGACTGTTTTCAGTATCTTTTACACTTAATAATACCAAAATCATCAATCTTAATATATAAACCTATATACAGGTGGAACAGTACAAAAAGAGAATAACTCACAAGAAAGCCTCTATAGAAGCTCAACTTAAATCTGCAGTTCAAGGTAAATTGGATGGAGTCAGTGTTGGCCTCAAACAGTTGCAGGAATGTTTAGAAGATGTACAACAAGTGAGCTTAAAGTATGTACCATCCCCTAATATTATAACATCTATAATATTATAACTATAAATTATTATTATTGTGCATCAAATCTGTCAATTATTATATTACTTGCAGTAAAATAATAATAACGTGACACATTTCAAACACGGCGGTCTGATTCCTAACAAGTCAGAGCCCATATTATGGTAACCAGGCTACTGATGAACATACTTATATATATATGTGTACATAATAAAGATAAATTATAGCCAGACCCAGAACAAATGATCTTGTTCATCACACACTTATTTGTTCTGGGTGGGAATCAAACCCACGACTAAACAAAGGGCGTAGTAATATCTTCATTAAATCTGCTGATAATCTTATGTTTCCATTTTATAATTGTCAATCACAGAATGGATGAATTGGAAGAACTATTGAAAAGTGTTCCACCTCTGGTAGCATCTTTGCAAGCGGTGAGGGAAGAAGATTCTCGGCATTCTCAGTATGTCACAGCAATGGACAGTCTCAAACATATTTTCACAGTACCAGAAAGTGTGGCTAAAACTAAGCAATGGATAGGAGAAGGCAAATTACTTCATGCCCATCAAGTAAGTGGTGTTTAAAATACTAGGTTTCTATGACGAAACCCATTCAGGTGCCATATGAATAGAAGCTTAATGAAATTAGTAGAATCAGAATGGAATGATTAAATCGGTATGGTGTGAAACTTATTGCAAGAAGAGACATTTCCTCTAGATCAATAGACTATTGTCTTGTCACCTACCTAAAGATTGCATGTAAAATGAATGACAGCTAATCAAGTGCATAATGCCAAAAAAAAATTGTTACCCACCTTTTAAGGAGGAGGAGGAGGTTATCCACTCGGATGTTTGTATGTTTTTTATGTATGTTCGGGCATTACTCATTCATGTATTTGTAAAGGGGTTTATTCCGAAATGGTTTCATTTAAATCTGATGATGAGATTCGGAGACAGACAATGGAACACTTCAAAAACCGACAGCAAGTCAACCGCAATTGTTGCTAGGTTTTTAGTGCTCTTTGTTATTATTGTTTCAAGTCAGTTCAACTTTTTTTTAAATGATTTATTTATAATAATTTTTCAGTGTCTGAATGATTTAGAAAATTCAAGAGATGACTTATTATATGAGTTACACAGACTGCCCAACCAATCTTCTCATGATAAAATTATGCTGAAGGCTTATTTCGAAGATGTAGAAATGGTGTCTAATCTTCTGGAGAAACAAATCAAACTTATTCTGGCAAGAACATTAAACACTGTCCGCAAAGAACCTACTGTTATAGTCACGGCTCTAAGAGTCATAGAAAGGGAAGAAAAAAGGGATCAAATGGCAATGCAGGTAACCAATACTGTAACATATAATTGTTATTATGGTGTATAAAACCTAACAAACATTGTATTTGTTAATAAAATTTTGTTGGTTCCACTTTCATGCCTTAATAACCAAGCACCCTAAAAGAGAATTAGAGTAATATATAAAATCTATAATCATAAGCAACAGATTAAATGATATAGGAATCTGCAAGTTTCTTTAATGTTTTAAATTTCTCCTTCACTAATTAGATACATGTCACATTACACCAACAGTTCACTGATGAACATAGGCCTACCCTTAGAAATGAGGTTTTGGCCTACTATACCATGCTAACCAAATGGGTTGGTATAGGGTTTGTTGGGGTGCTGGCTAGAAAACCTCCTCGTGGTGCACCCTGGAAACGCTGGCGATGGTACTGTTTCCTCCTTGTCCTCTTGGAGGAGAGGATTATCGCCAGCGGCCAATATTCTAGCAGAAGAGGCAGCCGTTCATCGGCTCTCGGGCAAGGCCTGGTCCAGCAGGGTGGGCGTGTCTGCCGGTTGCCCTGCTGGCTCTTCGCTCTTCGGAGCATGGAGGAGGAAACCTCGGTAAAAAACCTGATGGCGGGGCCCTGTAGGGGCCACAGTTTTCTCCGCTGACAGCGGTGGAGTAAGGAGGACGGGCTCGGCGTGTACTCACACTACCACCGAGCAGGCAGGGGGACGTAGTCTCCCTGTCAACCGTCGGCATATCGTAATCCCGAGAAGAGCGCTGTGGTTAAGTCTCGCGGCTCTGATCGGGGGCGAGGGTCTTGGCTTAACCGCCCGGACCGCGAGGAAGATAACCTCTCTAAAAAATTCCCCGAATCCCGTGTTCTGGTGCGTGGCCAGGGGATGCATGGCTGATGGGAAGTTCAGTCGCGAGCGCACTCCAAGCCGAGGTACCTGCGGACCCCTCGGTTGGGTTAAAAACTTACGCTTGCCCGGGTAATGGGGGATCTCTGCCCGGGTGGACCTTTATTTCTCCCCCACTCGTGGGATCAATTATGCAATCTTTTAATAAAAATACCAAGAAACGATCGGAAACAAACAAACAACAGACAAAGGCAAGCCTAACGGACAAGGAGACGAAGAGCAGGAACAGTGGAGTGGATGGGTCATCCACGGAGGGTGAGATAGCGTCGGGAACGGCTATCTCGATGGGGCTCCCAGAAGTCAGTCTGACGCTGGTCTCTGGGAGCCGAAGAGCATCAGATCGGCTGCGCTCCGGATCCGCCGTTTCGTCGGATGGCGCTGACGCCATGGAGGCGGAGCGAAGCGACAGCCGGAAACGAGGACGCTCCAGGGACGAGGAAACCGACACGTCCCAGGAGATGATGCCACCAAAGGTGGCAAGCAGCCGCCGAGGGAGGGCACGCAAACCTGCCTCGGCCCCGGTCTCGACCCCGTCAGGCTCCGCGTTCTCAAACGCGGAGTCGTACAGGAACGTACGGGTGGACGGCGAGGCCGTAGCGGAGGAGGAGATCGCGGATCTCCTGCTCAAGGTTCGGGAGCCGGTGGGGGGAAATGCCCCCCAGGCTCCCGTGTCCGTGCAGGAGAGGGCGAAAGCGGCGGTGGCCGTCATTCACAAGGTGGCCACCAAGTCTGTGAACCTTAAGGGCTCGTTTGTGAGGGCCCTTAAGGACTCCTCCTCCGCTTTGTCGGAGGTCGTGGAGGGCCTAGTGGGCGATGTGTCTCGCCTGCAGGTGGCCAACGAGAGGCTGACGGAGCGGGTGAACGAGCTGAGCGCTCAGTTCGCCCGCTTCCAGGCGAACCTCCCGGAGCGGGAAGCCCCGTCCGCGTCCCAGCCTGCCCCTACCACCAACTCAGGGGCATTTGACTCCCAACTGCGTGAAATCCTCATCGCAGTTGGGAATATGCTGGACGGACGCCTGGCTGGCCTGGAGGCGAGACTGCCCCCTGCGCCGATTGTGCGCCCCCCGCTCGCGTCGGCACAGCGCCCTAAGGCCGCCGCTCCGACCGCGCTCCCCGTGGTGGGAGGCCGCGTTTCATACGCGGCGGCGGCGTCTGCCCCTACTCCATCGGCTCCTCAAAAGCCGAGGAGGGGGGCCAAGGCACCGGCCCAGGCGCCGGCCAAGGCACCGTCCCAGGCGCCGGCCAAGGCGCAGGCCAAAGTGCCGGCCAAGACGGGGCCTAAAACGGCGCCGAGGAGCGGAGTGGCATTCCCTCCGCTCCCCACTCCGACACCCCTGCCGGGCCCCTCCGCACCTGCCCCCTCCAACGAGGGCTGGCAGGAGGCGAGGGGCTCCAAGAAGTCCCGAAGGCGGGCCAAAAAGGCTGCCAAAAAAGCAGCCCAAGCCCAGCCTCCGCCACCGGTGGCAACGGCCTCCACAAAGAGGCCGCGGAAGCTGCAGCCGCCCAAAACCGCGGCTGTAGTTGTGACCGTGTCCCCGGAGGCGGCTGACGGCGGGCTGTCCTACGCGGCCGTTTTTAAAAAGGCCCGGGACAGCCTCGCCAACGACTTTGGGACGGTGGGGGTCAGGATGCGCCTCGCCCAGACGGGAGCTCGAGTCCTCGAGTTCCCTGGGGCTGAAGGCGCTAAGACGGCGGACACATTTGCCGAGAAGCTGCGGGGACTCTTTACAGCCACGGATGGTGTAAAGATCGCCAGGCCTACTAAGTGCGCAGAGCTGCGCATCTCGGGCCTGGACGACTCCGTAACGGCCGAAGATGTCCGCGCTGTAATCCGGGAGAGGACGGGGTGCAGCGCGGACAACGTCAGGGTCGGCACCATCCGCCCCGGTCCAGGAGGGCTTGGCGCCGTGTGGGTCAGCTGTCCCGTAGCGTCGGCCAAAGTATTGGCCGACGCCGGCAGGCTGCTCATCGGTTTCGTGAGCGCCAGGATCACAGTCCTGGCGGCGAGACCGATGAGGTGCTACAAATGCCTAGCAGCGGGACACACGCGCGTCAAGTGCGACAGCTGTTTTGACTGCGGCGGACTGTGTTTCCGCTGCGGTCAACCGGGGCATAAGGCGGCAGAATGCTCTGCCGCCCCTCACTGCCCAGTGTGCGCGGCGGGCAATAAGCCCGCCAATCACCAGATGGGGCAGAGAGGCTGCAAGCCTCCCCGCAGTTCTCGGCAGACGTCAGGGGCTAGCCAGTCGACCCAGGCTACCCCCGACGTCAATATTGCGTCGACGTCGTCGCCCATGGAGGAGGTTGTAGAGACGATCCAGTAATGGATCAAGTCTCCAACCTCCTGGTCCAGACGAACCTGAACCACTGTGCCGCGGCGCAGGATCTCTTCCTGCAAACCATGGCACAGTGGTCGATAGGTGTTGCCGTAGTCGCGGAGCCCTATTCTGTCCCTCCCCGTCCAAACTGGATGGGTGACTGGGACGGCTCCATGGCAGTCGTCGGTTCCACGACGGCTCATTCCCCGCCCTTGTCGCTAAGAGACAAGGGCACTGGATATGTTGCCGTCGAGTGGGGGGGGATCACCATATATGGTGTTTATTTCTCCCCCAACCGGAGTTTGAACGACTTCGAGGTTTTCTTAACCAGCTTGGAGACCTCGATACGGCGACTAGCGTCTGGGCACGTCCTTGTGCTGGGGGACTTCAACGCAAAGTCCATTGCGTGGGGTTCCCCCAGGACGGACGCCAGGGGCGAGGCCGTAGAGGAGTGGGCGGCCTCGGTGGGCCTCTGTCTTCTAAACAGAGGCTCCACCAACACGTGCGTGCGACAGCAGGGGGGGTCGATAGTGGACCTATCGTTCGCTACCCCTGCCCTCGCCGCACGAGTAAGGAACTGGCGTGTCCTGGAAGAGGTTGAGACGCTCTCGGATCACCTGTATATCCGATTTGAGCTCTCCCGGACCCAGGACTCCAGTAGGGGTCACGTGGCGCCGCGTTTATCCCGCTTTCCGCGGTGGGCTGTTGCCAGGCTGAACCGGGACCTACTAGAGGAGGCAGCCATAATTCACTCGTGGCTGTCTCCTCAGGCTCCGACCGAGGAGATCGACGTGGGGGCTGGCCGCTTTCGCGATGCGATTACGCATGTATGCGATGCGGCCATGCCCCGCGTTCGAGGTCGTCGGCCTCCAAGGAAGGAGGTCTACTGGTGGTCCCAGGAGCTGGCGGACCTCCGTGCGGCCTGTACACGTGCCCGGAGGTCCTACACGCGCAGTCGGCGGCGTCACCGTGGAGACGGTGAGGAGGACCGGCTTCATGAGGAGTACCGACGGGCGCGGAAAACTCTGAAGCTGGCCATTAGCCGCGCCAAAGAAGAAAAAAGACAGGAGATGCTGGAGGGTCTTAATCGTGACCCCTGGGGTCGCCCTTACCGCGCGGTGCGACAAAAGCTCCGCGCGTCGGGCCCCCCCCTTACGGAGACTCTCCAGCCCAGCTTCCTGCGAGAAGTGGTTGAGGGCCTTTTCCCACAACGGGCGGAACACACTCCCCCGTCGATGGCCGCCTTGGCCGGAGACGACGGGGAGCACGGGGAGGATAATGTTCCGCCCGTCCGGGAATCGGAGGTAGGGGCGGCTGTTCTACGGATCCGTTCCAAGAACACCGCCCCTGGGCCAGACGGGGTACCGGCCCGAGTGCTGGCCCTGGCCCTCAACCACATGGCAGACCGCCTCGGGGAGGTGTTCGACGCTAGCTTGGCGTCGGGACGCTTCCCTGAGTGCTGGAAGAGCGGGAAGCTGGTCCTATTGAGGAAGCCGGGACGGCCTGCCGATTCGGTCGCGGCCTATAGGCCCATCGTGCTGCTGGACGAGGCGGGCAAATTGTTTGAGAGGGTTCTTTCTGCCCGCATCGTCCGGCACCTCTGCGAGGTGGGCCCCGATCTGTCGGACGCCCAATTTGGTTTTCGGGCGGGGCGTTCGACGGTCGACGCCGTGTTGCGCCTGAGGGCCGTGACCGAAGAGGCCGTGAGCTGTGGCGGCGTGCTGTTGGCGGTGTCACTGGACATCGCCAACGCATTCAATAGTCTGCCATTCAGCTGCATCAGGGAAGCACTCCACTATCATGGGGTGCCAAAGTACCTGAGGCGGCTAGTGGCAGACTATTTAGAGGAGCGTACCGTCGTGTACGAGGACCGAGAAGGTAATTTGAGGTGTCGGCCCATGTCGTGCGGTGTTCCACAGGGGTCTGTTCTTGGACCCCTCTTGTGGAACATAGGGTACGACTGGGCCCTTCGCGCCGATTTCCCCCCCGGGCTGGGTGTAATCTGTTACGCAGACGATACCTTGGTGACAGCCCGGGGGGCAAACTTCCAAGAGGCGGCGCGCCTGGCCACAGGGGGAGTCTCCCTGGTGGTCGGGCGCATTGAGGCGCTGGGCTTACGGGTGGCCCTAGATAAGACGGAGGCCCTGTTATTTCATGGGCCCCGTCGTGGTCCACCCCCTGGCGCCTCCATCGTGGTCAACTCGGTCCTCGTACCGGTTCGGGCCCAGATGAAATATCTGGGCCTGATCCTCGACGGGAGGTGGCTCTTCGACGAGCACTTCCGACAGCTTGCTCCAAAGCTGGTCGGCGCTGCGTCTGCCCTAGGGCGACTTTTGCCCAATATGGGTGGACCCAGCGTCGCGACAAGACGGCTGTACACGGGGGTTGTCCGGTCAATGGCACTGTACGGTGCACCGGTGTGGGCGGCGGCTCTGACCGCCCAGAATAGGGTACGCCTCTGGCGCCCTCAGAGGGTAATGGCGGTCAGAGCCATACGCGGTTACCGCACCGTTTCGACGGAGGTGGCGTGCGCGTTGGCCGGAACTCCCCCGTGGGATTTGGAGGCGGAAGTGCTCGCCGAAGTTTATCGGCGAGTGGCTGACTACCGGGCGGAGAGCGGATTTCGCCCTCCGCCCGAGGATGTGCGCGAGTGGCGCGAAGCCGCTCGCCGAGCCACGATGGCTCGTTGGTCGTTCCGGCTGGAGACTCCACGCGCTGGCTTCGCCGCCGTGGAGGCTCTCCAGCCGGTCATCGCCGAGTGGGCAGGGCGGCAGCACGGGACCCTTTCCTTCCGGCTGACGCAGGTGCTTTCCGGGCACGGTTGCTTCGGGAAGTACCTGCACACGGTCGCTAGGAGGGAACTGAGTCCCGCCTGCCACCACTGCGACTGCAGTGAGGACTCGGCCCAGCACACGCTGGCGGTCTGCCCCGCATGGGCGGCGCAGCGCCGGGCCCTCACTGCAGTCATCGGAGTGGATCTCTCGCTACCGGCCGTAGTACGCTCCATGGCCGGTAGCGACAGTTGTTTTACCGCGGTCGCAACCTTCTGCGAGGTAGTAATCTCGCGGAAGGAGGCGGCGGAGAGGGCCCGGGAGGACGACCTCCACTCAGACCCGATCCGCCGCCGGCGAACCGGGCGGCGGAGGCCCGCCTACCACAGCCTCATGCCGCCCTGAGTGTGGCCGCGGGTGGACGGGGTGGGTTTCCCCTCCACCCGCATTAGTTTGGCCAGCCGCGAGGGGGCGGCGTCCGCGTGTGCCGGACGTCGCCTAAAGAGAGGAACACCATTGAGACGGAGCCCGCACCAGGAGCGGGCTGGCGCTAGTAGGGGTCCGGATGTCTTAACAACAGCTGTTCCCGGATCCCTCCTGTTACAGGCGCAGAGTGGCACACCGTGTGGTTTTAGTCGGTCCGAGTCCGACACACCACCCCGCCGCAAACCCCGGAGGGGTGACGGTCCGAGGGGATTTCCACACGTAAAAAAAAAAAAAAAAAAAAAGGGTTTGTGTCAAGTTTTCCTTTTCTTTGAAGTGCAGTTGCCCTGCATAGTTTGCTCCCTTAGTCAGATCTTACGACACCTACGGGATAAGTAGCGGATGGTGACACTCCGTATTGTTATTGTTAATAATTACTACATGGAAATAAAATATTAAATAATTAAATTAAAAACAGTAAATACAAATGTATAATACATTTTGTAATCACTTTTCAGCAACAAATACAAACTGGTTTCATGCCACCCGGTCGTCCTAAAAATTGGCGCGCTAAAGCTTTTGAGGTGCTTGAATGTGCAGTCGCGCAACGCATAGAGGGCACTCGTGTTGATGAGCGTGAAGATAACAAGTTGTGGCTTGTGCGATACTTGGAACTTACGAGACAACTTATTTTAGAGGATTTACGAGTTGTCAAGACCCTGTGTGTACCATGTTTCCCACCCCACTATGATATTGTTAACAAATATGTCAATATGTACCATATCTGTTTATCTACAAGTGTAAGTAAATAAATTTAATTTTTTAAAATCCGAAAATTCATTTTAACTTGCATTTGCTGTTTACACTTTATTTCATTGTTGTAAATTATTTTTGACAAGTTTAACTCATTCAATTCAGGGTCATAGGTAAACAGACAGACAGACGGAGTTACTTTCGCATTTATAATATTAATGGTAGGGTGGTATTATCATATTATTTGCCTGACGTTTCTACCAGTTTAATCTGATTGTTCACATACTGCCTTACACAGCAATACCCACTTTCGGTCATCACAATCGATTATTAAACACTGCATAAGATTTGAGGCAGAAATAGTACATGATACCGATATTGTTTTTTCAGCTGCAAGATGTAGTGAATAACCATATAGAAGGTAATGAATATGTTACATTATTATCTTGGATTCTAAATACTTACCCAGGTCATGAGTTGATGGCCAGCAAAGAGTTGAACATTGATGTCTCAACTTTACCCCCACTGCTCAGTAACGAAGTTATGCAAAAACTGCAAGATGAATACCTACAGGTAATTCACCCTACACATTGAACAAAATAAATATGATAATAAGTTTGATTATTTATAAAAACCTTCATGATCATGACACAGGCGTATTTTTTAAGTTTTAAATACTGTATAATGTTATAAATACTGTGTTAGAATGTTTTGGCATAATGCATACGTACATTATAATAGAACCTGTTTCTTTGAGTTTATTACATTCATCAGTTGTAAAAGACCTAAAAAAGAAGTTTATTCCAAATAATAATATTTGTTCCGACATTATAGTAATCTTTTATTATAGAAAATGGAATCGAATTATATGGAATGGATGGAGAAGACGCTGGAGTCAGAGCGGGCCGAGTGGGCGGGGCAGCGCGCACCCGACGTGGAGCCGCACTCCAACGCGTACCACACGCACGCGCCCGTCATTATATTCCAAATGATCGACCAAAACTTACAGGTTACACTCTCAAATATATTATGCTCCAAATCATAATTAGAAAAATCTTCCAAGTGCATGTTTTCAAGTAATGGAGACTAGGATATGTGAGGGGTTGGTGGTTTAGTAACGGTGTTACGTAATTATCGCTGCTAAGGCGACAATCAATGTCGGAGACATCGTGTTTGACTGCACAGATGGCGTGACGGTGGTTTAATGGATCCCCTCGCCTCGTTTAAGTGTTGTGAGTTCGATCCCATCATGGGATCATCATCATCACAACAATTTATGCAATATGCAAATTTTTGTTGTGAGTCTGGGTGTTCTTTGTGTCCGTTTTATGTATGTTTGTAAAGTCCCTCGCGATACAGGAAATAGGAGTAAAGCGCATAAAGTATATATAACGTAGTGCGCGTATAAAGCGCACTTTTAACTCACTGTATCGCAATACAGTGTCAAAAAATAAGTGTTTGACACCATTTTCATCCACATAATAAAAGTGGCAAAAACTGTCAGATAAGACAAAGATGAGATCCAAGAGCGTAAAATGTTTCTCTCTCTCTCTACAGAAGATCTATTTCAACAGAGTAATTTTTTATTTTAATATTTCATCATTTTTGCCTTTTAGGTCACTGAAACTATAAGTAAAGAAATAACATTTAAGGCGTTGCTGCTTAGTATCGAACAGGTGAACCGCTACGGGAATATGTATAGAGAAGGAGTAATACAATTTAAAGTGAGTATAATTACATCGATCTCCTGTAGATTTTAACACGTAACTCTCAACTAAATAACTTATTTGCGTTGTGTATGATAGACTATTTTGTTGTGAAATTCTGTCCAGAACGCTCACTTCGCCGACCGATCGCGCGTGGCTTACTTCACGCACCATATGATCACGATAGTGAACAACAGCGAGCAGATGGTACGCCTCGCTCAACAGACGCAGACCCGGCACTGGCCGCCCGCGCGACACGACCCGCCCGCTGAAGCCAAGTTCGATAAGATGCTTAATACTTTCCAGGTAAACCAGGGGGAACCTTATCTTAACTTATAATATGAATAACAAAGCAAATTGCATTTGTTATAATTTAACTAAACATTCGATTGTCAGGAATTATTATATAATATAATTACCCGAGGTTAACACAAAAAATATTCTCTAATCTGCATATACTTAAATATCTAATTGTGAGGCACACGATATAAGTTGTTCTTCAAAAAAAGAATAATAACATTTTTTTATTTACTAGTACGAGACTATAGTACTTACTAGATAAATACTGTTTTAGAAATACATAAAAATAAGTAAACACAAACGTATTTTTCTTGTTCGATCGAATTTATACTCTTAGCGATCACTAGGTATTTTTAATCTCTATAACCACTCACCACAACACACCAACAACAAACAACCGTTTTGAGTTGAAAGTGGCATCATGTAAAACATTAAACCAAAGCTGTTAACAGATACCTGCCTATTATACATTTGTATACTGCTAAGGACGACCATTCTCCAATAAATATTTTCAAGGCAATAATTTTGCTAAAACTAATTATTTTGGGCACATCATATGTTCAAGTGTTCATTCGTTATGGGTATGTAGATTTGATTAATATTAAGCAAAAAATGTAAAGAATAATTGTTTTTAGAGTTTACGAGACGAAGCCGCCCGATTTCTCCTTGAAGAAGCATTCTTGGATCTAGAAATTCATTTCGAAGACCTCTTTACATCAAAGTGGCTGCCTTCAACTATACCGGTCGATACCATATGTATAACACTTGACGATTACTTCCAAGATTATAATCATTTGAGGGATAAAAATTTCGAGTATGTAATAAATGAAGCTCAAAACTTGGTTTACAAGAAGTACATTACGGCAATGTTGTCAAAGAAGGTGGCTTTTAAGAACGTGGAAGAAGCCCAGCAAGCTGCCACTAAAATTGTGAAAGAGGCGAACCAAATAAGATCATTTTTCAGAAAAATTGCGCCCCCAGGTGTCAATGTAGATTGGCCGTTCGAAGTCATCAATACATTAGCGGAGGTAAGGGGAGCCGAATTCTTAAACAGTTATGTAATTAAATTTGTTGTTATTTATTTGGGTTAGAGTTCTAACATTTTCTGTTAACACTGTATAGTTAAAATGTCTAAAACTTGCGCTAATGCAATGCTTACGGGCAAATTTACTATTTGGCGATTACAAAATATCGATACATCGACTTTTACTTCGATAAATTTTATATTTAAGGCTTAATAAAATATTTTTTTACCTGACCTGTTGGTACCTGAATCGCGATGAATTTTAACGAATTAAAATTCATCACGATTCTGGTTCCTTGAAGCCGTTTATACTAGTTAAAAAGATGTCATTATCTCAGCCAAAAGACGTCTACTACTGGATACTGGATATAGGCCACCACAAGGCTTACAAAATATATTAAAAGATAAGCTGGTATATTACTAATTTTATTGCTAAACTTATCAAGTAATACGGGGCATATGATAATTTCTGATTGGAATAATCATCATCATTATCATCATCAACAGCATTTAATAGTCCACTGCTGTACATAGGTATCTCCTTTCCTTAAAAAGGAGATTCATCATAATCGTATTTAACTTGAAAAAGTTCTCGCTTCTTTAGGACAATTTTCCACTAGTATATATTTCACCTACACCTGACCTACCGTTTTCTGTATTCGAATTACCAGTTTAAAATTGGATAACAGGTGTTGCGGTGCCAGGACATCGAGATGCTGTCCCTGGACCTGCACAGCGTGGTGGCGAAGTGCCCGGACATGAGCGAGGAGCAGCTGTGGCGGCTGGTGTGGCTGCGCGGGGACGTGGCGCGCGCGCGCCTGCGCGACACCGTGGCCATCGCGCTCGCCTCGCGCCCCCCGCCCCGCGCCAACTCGCACCCCTCGCTCTTCAAGCACATCACCTTTAGTGATCGCCTTCTTGCACACTTCAATTTGTAACCTGGATCCGCGTGAGAGGTTTCGATTGCGACCACATCTATTGTAGCAGTAAGTTCGAAGGATTTTTTTGCGTTCCCCTTCAGTGAGAAAAGCAGGTAGATACTACTGATATTAAGCGGCTACTATCCTGCAGTGTCATGAAAATTTTGACCGCCTTATCAATATAATGTTCAATATAATAATAATGTTCAATAGACGTGTCCGCTTAACCGTGTTGACGCTGTGCGTCATCAACGGTGTCACACCGATGGTGAATAAAACAATTTAATTATTAAAATACAAATTACTTAACATTATTTTTTATAATTCAATGACCTACGCTGTGTAGCTGTGGGCGGTACCTTCTACTTTGACTATATTATTGTTAATACTTAAAAATTATAATATATGATATGTATACAGTAATAAAATATTATTATACCTTATAAAATATAAATAATTGTTAGTTATTGGATTTTTATATTATGAAGAAATACATATTATTTAATCAACAGAAATATCTTTGTTTCTAATACATTTTAAACCTAATGGACGTTATGAAAAACCTTTAAATAGGGCAAAAACCTGAAAACAAAAGACTAAGCAGTTTAGTAGCTTTGTATCTGCTGATTGTCAAACAAATTTTTTCTATTGTTGTGTAGCTATTGGCGAGTTAAAAAAATTTTTACAGCCAATGTACAAAGCACGGAAAGGAGAACCACACTGCGTAACAAATGGGCCGGCTTTCAAGTTCTAAAAATGATTATGATTGAAATCTAACTACTCAATTGATAACAAAAAAATTTGCAGAAAAAATAAGTTTGCAAAGTATAACTTGTACCATGAAATGTTATACTTCTGCAATAGAGTTAACGACATGGCGCAACCATTAGCGCACACATCTGTTGACATTGGAGATCCAAAAATGTAGTCGATTAAAAAAACAAACGAAGTCGGTATAGGCTCATTTGTGCACGACAAATCACCAAAAGTTGAGACACCACCGCACAAACCGACTATACTTTGTTCGTGAACATTGTCATTGGGACTTCGACGAGTGGGGTCAGGTTCTCTTCACTGATTAATGCAGAATTCTGTTAGATCGGATTGATGGAAGTCAGCGAGTATGGAGACGTAAAGGAGAGCGTTATATCCAGTCTAATTTGGAAAATACAGATAGATATGTTTAGGAGCTCGCACGGAGTTGGTGCTAGTCGACGGCGGGAATCTGACTGCTGATAGGTATATCAGGGAGATTTTAGAAGAACATGTTGTGCCATTTGCCCCCTTTATTGGCAACGACTTCATTCTAATGAAGAATAATGCTCGGGCTCACAGTGTTCGCTCAGTACAGGCATACCTAAACCATGTCAGTGTAACGGTGATGGAGTGGCCAGCACGGTCCCCAGATATGAATCCAATTGAACACGTATGGGACTTGCTAAAGAGGACTGTCAAATTAAGCATGCCACCTCCCAACAATCTGGGCTAGTTGCGAAAAGCATTACTTGAAGAATGACAGTTTAATTAACTGTAAACCGTCACAAAATCTTAAATTTTTAACTGTTTCTCTGTCATTACGAAATGTAAGAAAAATTCATTTTGTTTACTTCAGTTTTTTTCATTAAACTTTTAAGTATCGTGTTGCAAATTAATGTAAAACATGTTAATTTAATTATTATTTGTTTAAAAATAAAATTAACTAATTTATATTCCCCCCTTTTTTTGTTCCGCTAATTTTGCCGGCGTGGGTAATAGGGAATATGCACGTGACACCAAAATGGACAAAATATTTTTATTTGTAATTTTTATTGCTAAAAAAAGATACCCATGAAATTGAAATTTATTATAATTTAATAGTGAAATTTAATCATCCAAAATTGGCTTTTTTAAGATTCCCTCGCAAATTTCTAAAACGCAACGCTATTGGTTGAATAAAACGTGACGTCAACCTACACTGTCAAGAGTGTCAACAAGTTGTGTATATTTGTAATATTTGGTTTCTGGTGATTATTTGTTAATAACTAATACGTTTTCAGTGTTAAATGATTAAATTCCCGTTGAGAAAGACTCAACACAATGACTGAATATACTTTGTCAGGTGCAGTTTTGATAATATTTGGGCACAAAGGAACGGCACAATATTTATAATAAGTTTTTATTGGCTTTCCATGGTAATAAGTTAATTTTTATCACTCACTTCTTTAACTTTCAGAAACTTTGTGAACTTCACTCCGTTGTTGACATCGAATTCGTCTGAAAGTGTAATCTGACGTCACAAAAAAAGCGCGCCAAAATGGACGTGTTCAAATTGCCCCAAAATTATAGTGATTTTAATAAAAAATTTTTGCTTAACGGTTTATATTTCGGATGTGTTATGTTTATTTTAGGTAATGTAATAACTAGTAGAATCGTTAAAAAAAAATAAAAAAAATACATGCATATTCCCTATTGAACAATTCTCAAAATAATGCTGAATAATTTTTATTTTGACTTTAAAAAACAAAATGACAGTACCCTACTTGTTAATGTTTCCAATTAATAAAGATATAATCAAATTTTATTATTTTTTATAAAACTACCTTATTTATTTAATATTTCTTGAAAAAAAATATAAGTTTTGAAGGCAATGGTCTAAAAATGTTCTTATTACGTTACCGAATAAAATTCGTTAAAAATGAAAACACGTAAAAGATTGCAAATCTTTTTAATAAATTTTAAATATTTTAAATGAAAACACAGACAGAGAACACAAAACTTTAATTATTAGATCAATACTTTAGAAGAAATAGACAACATTTTGTCCATTTCGTTACCTTTGGAACACATGCTTGGAAAACATTTTAAATTATTAAGTTCACAGGCAGAATCTCAGTCATTTTTAATTAAAATTACAAAATAAATCAACAATCTATGCTGTAACATTCTTAATTGTTAAATTTTAAATATTAACAGAAAAATCAGTCATCTCAATTAGGACAGTAGAAGTAGGAACTTTGGTAACAAAACAAGAACTTATAAGGCTGAGTATACAATACACTTCAAAACAATGTTTTCATTTAACATAATTCGAACTTAAGATTGAGAATGATGTTAATTGGCTATCTTAGAAATTACAAATTTTGTTCGGGTACAGTATTTTAAAAGAACTGTCGTTGAAAGTATTCATTAGTACCTACAGTAGTACTATCAAAAATATAATTATACTTATTCTAAAGTAAATAAATCAAAAATCCTTATAGGTAAGTATGTCTAAATCACAAATGGTATATTAAATAAACTTAAGTATTATTTAGTAATAGTTATGAAATTATTATAAAAAATACGCATTGCAAATCTCACACTCGTCTCGAGTGTAATGAGCATATAAGAAAAAAATCACAATTAGGGCACCAAACATATATATTATCCAATAAACTCTTCATGACTTCAGTATTCATCGATGATACAAAGTGAATTTGCAGGATGATAGATGGTTCTGTCCGCCAATTACAGTTAACACATCTTGGTGATCTTATATAGTGTGTTTCGTTCCTAGGCCAAGGCAGCTTATTTCTTAGATAAAAGCGGAAGTCAGACTTAGACAAAAACTTGTCAATGTTTATTAATACTCCCATTTCTAAAAACGGAGGACTGTACCTAAAACCAATAAAATGTTTAATATATCTGTTTCTTCATAAAATCTATCTGTATGTTATTTATATTACCTACCCACTAAAAGCTGTTCAAAATGAATGAAAACATGAGGCACAAATTATGAAGTCCATATCTGTCTCTCCACAAATGCAACGCCGACAATAATATCTACGAGTATTACACGTCATACATCTTACAACGAGTACCCAACTAGCAAAGAGATCGTATAAGCAATTACTCTCACGACTATGTATCGAAAAACACTCGTATGAAAGATCCTATTATTTCAAAAGGCCGTTTAAAAGCAGCTGTCTAGATATTTGCTTTTTGTCTCTATAAACATGTCTAGTAAACGTGTACTCGACGAATTCATATCGCATTTACTCGATAATTATATAAAGATATCTCTCGATCACCTTCATACAACCGTAAGTCCTATGACAGCTCTTTCAAAGCAACTGAATTTCTAATTTGTCGTAACACTAGCTTTTATAGCACTATCTTTCGACATGTATTTGTTACAGCATAATTATAGAGTAGGGTGTCCCGAAATTTTTTTATTCTTATTTTAGCTACTTAAGACCTCTCAAAAGTTGCGCTGTTAGACGTAGATTAGCGTAAAAATAATAAAAAAAATATTTAAAAATATCCTTAGGGCTCTACCAGCATTTTTATTTACGAATCAAGTCATAAATCAAGTTTTATGAATCAATCCTGTTTTGTCTTGTAATTTTATCAATAAGAAAAGCCTCGGCTATGATTTGCAAGTATCGACAGGTTGTCTTAGCGATCAATCGGTTTGGATCGGACTTGCAAAATTCCTACAAAATTCATGTTTTGACTTGATTTTCGTATGTGCGCTACTTCTACAACAGTGAGACAGTTCGTCTCATTTCTATTTCGATTTTACTCTTGTAAGGAGTTGTTCTATTCTTCTTTGAAAGAAAAACGTAATTTGCGTTACTTAATCATAAAAATGTGTTCAAGGCGAAGTGAGACTACTTGTACTATATTGGGACCTTATAAAGAACTTGACGATCGCCAATTACCTGTTATAAAAGACGTTATTAAGTGCATTTTATTTACTAAAAGTGAATTAAAACTACAGAAAAACGGAAAAGATCCATCGAACACAGAAGTCTTTTCAATAGTTTCTGGAAAACTTAACACAATTTGGACCAAAGCTTCAATTCCCATCGTTTCTAACGTACGGGTTACTCAACTACTAACCGCATATTTTAACAAATATTTATCACTAATAAGATATCCTAAAAGTAAGAGAAACGATAGCTATGACAACAAAGTTAAGTGCTTTTTGGAATCGTCAAATAAGCTTTTTGACATCGCTGCTTGTAAGTGCACTTCGTTTGAAAATTGTTCCTGCA